GTAGTGTACAAAGCCTCGGTCCCCAGATGGCTTCGAGGGCCTAGAGCAGTCCATTCGCCTATCGTCAGGAACAGCGCCAAAGGACCGCACCTCTCCCCCCCGCCACCTCTGGAGTCTGAGACGCAGGTAATAGTATCGTTAGCCTAGGTGCATACTGCGATGCCGACGGCCGCACCCGCCTACCGTATCTCACCCAACCAAGACCACAGGCGGATCATCCACTCGGCCGGGGCGCTCGTGACCCTGATTTTATTACCTACCGGTCGAGAGCGAGGCATCCATTGGCTCCGCCGAACCGCCAGTAGAAGTGAGCAGGGCCCTCTTCTGTCCCGTTGAGCCTCAACCGCTGCTCCGTTCTCCGTTTCGGGCAGTTCAGCACTCTCTACTCGTGATCTGTATGCCGCATACGGAAGCCATGTCCCCCATTCGGCAAGCAATGCGCCTGTATATACTGAGAGATTCTTTGTCAGGACGACGAATAACACCTCGTCGCTGGCCTTGGGTGCCTGTCATGGCCCTGATGGCGACATATCTCAGTCTATCATCAGCTGATATGACTATGGGCTCAGCAGTTGATGACACCGCAGTTTTGCCCGGCGTCGGCCGAGGCCGCGGCGTCATACGCGGAGCCAGATCTCCCCTCTCTGTGTGGTTGCGGTACGCATTTCACGTACGTACGTGCATATAATACCTCTATGTGTCTCGATCAGTCTGTCTGTCTCTGTCGTCAGCGACCAATCTTTGGGCCTTTCCGCGACATCCGATAAACGTGTGAGTACGTGTCTGCCATTGTAGTTCTCCTTGCTCCCAGCCAGCCTCGTGCCTTCTCAAGACGTAGGTAAAGTCTTGCAAATCCGCAATGTGGCCGCCGAGCGCGGCTCTAATCTCCTCAGGGTTGTCCAACGCAACCCGCCTACCGCCCAGTGATGCAGGATGCGCTGTAAGTTAACCATGCCTGCACATGGAGGATGTTGTTCGACGCTTCTTAGCAAGCGTCCATCAACTACTTGGCTATGCACGGTACTTGATCTCCCCTGCCTGGCACACGTACATGCATGCACAACTGCCAGGGCTTCCACAGGGTTGCCGCGTCAGACGGCGGTGAGCGCGCCAGTGTAGCGAATTTCGTACCCGGGCGCGGCCTTGATGGGTCACGGTGGCAGTGATGGCTGCCACGTGGTTCGGTCACCGATGATCGACCGTACACATGCTCTAGACCGTTACCGAGAGGATATGGAGCGGAAGGGGAGGGGGGCCTGGAGCGGTCACGCACGTTGCAACGGTGCGGGCGAGCGGGCATGCAATGCACGGAATGACAAATCATCGCGACGACAAACCGCGGTTCGACCCCCCTGTTGGCCACGGACTTGATGTGAGTATGCTCCGACGAGGAGCCTATCATGGAAGCTCTGGGTCTGAACAGTCTTTGCGCACACCGATGGGAGGGTCAATGCAGTCGGATAGTTAGAATGCCCGTCTGATGCCGTGGATGATTTGTATGTATCAGGCGATGTAAACTCTACTGCCTCGATTGGAAAGGAGCTCGTGCTAAGCCTGCAATGCAATGCGCAGATGGCGATGGCCGTGATTCGATTGCAGTAGCGAATTATGGGATCAGGCCTTGCATTCGAATGGGTGGTATGAGCTAGGCATTTTCATGACTATTTGGCCGAGGGAGCGCAATCCGTGGCTATACGATGGGCAAGGGAGTATGTGATTCGCCTTACAGTACCGGAGAAACTTGTTATCCTTCATCGAGCTCAATGAGCTGGATCTCCGCAGTGAAACTCCGTGATGGGTTGGACTTGGATCTAAGGGGGATATCTTCAGGGCTGTTATTTCGTGACTAACGTAAGGGGCCCCTCTAAATAGTTCTTGATTCCGGCATTCCGTTGGAATGCCGACAAGCGCGGGCTCAGGATATTTCATTGCCTAATGTGATACTCTCAGTGAACAGCCAGAGAGATCTGTATGGTTACCAAGCTGTGGTTGCTTTCTGACTCGGAATCTGAACATGGTTCGTTCTCACGCGACCTTCGCCGTCATCTCTATCCGGAGGGCCACAAATTGACTCAATCATCACCCGTAGAGACAGGTATACACCAGAACGTAACGGGAAAACCGCTGGAATAATCTATCATGTCGTCCCTGTGCTTTCTGTACCCCCCTCCTTTCACTCATGAATATATTGGAGAACACGAGTTCTTATGACGTTCGGAACCATTTACCAGCACGTTTGCATATTGAAAATCGGTATCCAGGACTTACTGTGAATGTATTGCTTATCAAGATTAAGCAGGGAGCGTTGGTTTCAATGCAAGGCTGCCCGGACTTCCTGGATCAAGTCCATATCACCGCTCTTTCGCCGCTCAATCATCATGGGTAACCTTATATGGCCATCATAGCGTACGACACCGCCTTGAGACGAGTGATTTGGGGTTGAGCTGAAAAGTAAAGCACCTGAAATGCAAGCGATGATAACCCGAATCTCAAAGGCCATTTCAAGGCCATTACACATAGCTCAGTTGGAGAGGTGCCAAAGAGGACCCGGCCTACTCTACCACCACTCTAACTTGTGCCTCAATGTGGGTTTCTAGATAACAGGAATCTCAATGCGATGGTGTTTGACTTGCTGCCAAAGCCATCATTTCGTCGCCATTCACTTACTCTTAATCAATGTGAAAGCCGTGAACCGCAACCAAGCTACACTGAACCTCCAAAAGTCTCCGCATTCCTCGTCCAGCAAGCGAAGGATATATTTGTTATAAATGGATAAGCACTCTGGAATAAGTGACCAAAATGGCTTTTCGGACTAACGCTCTCTGTTTCAAGTCCTTATTCAATCAATGTGAAAACAGCATTGGTATACTCGACTTGATAGAGGGATGCCGGACTGACATTTATGGGGAGTGACTGTACCTTGGCCACAAAGCATGGAACATATGGCAAACTGGGAAGGGAACTGGCCCTTATATCCATCCAACGGCTGTTTTCTCGCTGATGCGGTACTTGTTGTCAGGTCTATACTTTCTTTTCGATACCAATGCCTAGAAGTTGAAGCCATCTTGATATGGGTACGCTGCGTACGTACCAGAGTGTTCTAGCGGGCCACTCTTGCAGCTTGTCGCTCGCCTCACCGTTGGAACCAACTATGTAGTCAATGGTACACAAACCAAAGGAGGAATGAAATAGTCTCATGGACTCGATTATAAAAAGCATGCCCATCGCCGATGATTCCAATAGGTTGCGGATGTCACGAGTACCTTGTTTTTTGCATGTGGTCGTTTGGTACCGGCGGTATAACGCCTTTAGTGTTAAACACCAATCCCCCTCGCCGTGCTGTGTTTCCAATACGTATGATTGATTGATTGATTGTATTTATCATGGGTGCAGTCCCTTAACAGGGCAAACCACGCCTCCCAGAGCCATTGCATCGCAAGGTTGTAGAGGTGTCAGTCTAGATACATTCAAATCCGCGCACCAGCCTATCCTCGCTGTAGCGGTACCAATCTGGAGTGTCCAGATGGTTTTTAGTCAATACCCAAGCACAATTCTGTCAGAAAAACCTCCTGTCCAGTGACAAAGCGACCCAGTGGACCTCAGTCCTCTGGTGTACACATCGTTCCAGTAGCCGTTCGCTATATGTCGCATTGGTGGATAAAACAGGTATTTGTTATCTGCTGGCGAGGGAAACCACAAGGGGAAAAACCTCGCAGGAGTGGGTATTGTGGAGACAAGCTGCTTGGCTATCGGGCTCTGCGATAATAGGGCCTCTCCACTGTCGTGTGCTGGTTATCGACTCGCACAAACGAGAACACAACCAGGCGCATTTGACCATTGCGCCATACGGCCTTCCAGTACGTATGATCCTCTTATGTTCTAACAGTCTACCCTTGAGAAACCCACGAGCAACAGGAAGTGACTGTGAGAACGGTAAGTGAGAGCCATACACATCTCCGACCCTCAATGAGTTGTTTGCATTCATTGCTTCTTGTGGCTGTCAGTGTTCTCCAAGGCCCAAGCCTGCACAGTGGCCATTGATATACCACGATAGGCTTTCGTGATTAAGTGTCAAGCGAAATGCATCCCTCAGTATACGCGTGTTCACGTCTGCATGGACATATGAGTCTAGGATTACCAATCATGCAAGAAGCAAGCATAGCTTTGGGGAGGAAGCGTGGTGATCTGTTCGGTTAAGGAATATAAACGTCAAAGCTGCCTATGATGCACATGTCTAGAGCTAAGGGGATCAAATCTATTGCAAGAAACGGAGTTAGGAAGAGTAAACTATGTAGTCCTCGAAGCCTCAGGTCTATAGGTGGGAACTGATGTCTTTGTAGCAGATTCTCTTGATAGGACGGGCCCGACTTGCGGAAAGGTGCGCACCTGTGAATAGGGGCTGATATGTGGACAGGAAACAGAAAGCTGTCAGAAGCGCTAGGCCGACCGTGATGAGTCCTATTCATTGGTACCACGAGCAAGTATATGATTCACGCGGGGATGGAATATAGGAGTCTATTGTAACTTAGAGGTTGCAGTTGTGAATCACGAAGAGTGAATTGGGAGTTGTGACTTGTGAAAGTCGTTTAGAAGGTTTGCAGGTGGTTCCCAGGTGCGTTCAGGGGGAAATGTGGATCCCGAGGTCCTTCTGTACCTAAAGCCGGAGAAGGTTCATCCGGCCAGCCAATCAACTCGCCGAAGTTGCCCCATGCCCGGCTGCGGCGCGTCATGCCCTGAATCAGGTCCGGGCCAGCTGGAGCTTCCAACTGTAAGGTAGCAGCTCCCGTCCCGATTACTGGGCCAAGCGATAGGTGGCATCAACGAACAACTAACTACCTGCGAGTTCAGTCGTTGATCGTTGATTCACCAACGCACGCGAGCAGACGCCCATTGCTCAACCCGACTCCCCTCCCAGCGATATAATGGGCTCCTAGCTGCTCTCTGCAGCTCTACCAAATTCTCGATTCCCGATTCACGACCATATCCAGCCATCGCCGACGATGCGGCTCCTGTGGTATGCCGGGGTAAGCAAGCTTCCAACCCAGCTCCGCGCCGAGATAGCTTCCGCCCAGCTAACATGCATCATCGCAGACCTCCACGGCCCTTGCGGCCAGCGTCGTTGCGTATGCCTTTAACCAGCGCGCCAACTTCTACTCTGCCATGGTCTACCTGTCGCAGAACAACCTAAGTCTCATGGTGCGTGCTGTTCCCACTACCCTATCCCTATCCCTATCCAGCCCCTCCGGCCCTGGCAGGTCCCCGGTTTGCTAACCTCCAGCGATTTTACACAGATCCTAATCAACCTCATCCTCTTGGTCTATAGCTCCTTCGTCTGGGGCCTTCAGCGACTATGCTACGGCCCGCTCCGACCCGTCGAGATCGAACAGCTCTACGAGAAGGCCTGGTTCGCCGTGACGGAAACGTGCCTTGCCATGACCATCTTCCGCGAAGAGGTCGGAGCTTGGTTCTTGGTCATGTTCACCGCCTTGGTCACTGGCAAGGTCTGGGAATGGATCGGCGAGGGCCGTGTCGAGGTCTTGGAGCAGCAACCCCCGGTCAACCCACGATTATTCCACACCCGACTCAGCATTTCTCTGCTCCTGAGCGTCGTATACGACACCTGGCTGTTGATCTATGCCGTCAAGGCCGTGATTCAACAGGCTCGTCCTAATATGATGGTGATGTTCCTGTTTGAGTTCGCGATCTTGGGCACATGTTCAGTCCGAACCGCCTTGCGCTATGCTCTGTCGCTATGGGAAGCGAGAATCGTAAAGAAACAGACGCAGTACAGGTTGGAAGAACGTCGCAAAGAAGTCCGTGAGCAGCGTGCAGAGATTATGCGACGGCGCGAGTCGGGCGACACGACAGAGGCCGGAGCCGCCGAGCAAGAGGAGTTGCCGAACGAAGAGGACATTGACGAGATGGACATCGAAGTACCGGGCTGGGAGTCCAAGGGACATTGGGTTCTGAGTCTCGATCTCGCGACAGGTAAGAGATTCCTCTTCTACATATCCGATAAGTTGCCCTAACATGATACAAGACTTCTTCAAGCTCGTTATCTATTCAGCATTCTTCGGTATCCTTATGATGTTCTACGGGCTACCCATCCACATCATGCGCGATCTCTTCATGACAGCTCGGTCGTTTGTGAAGCGACTTGGCGCTCTGATGCGGTACCGGAAGGCCCTACAAGACATGAACAAATACCCCGACGCCACCCAAGAAGACTTGGATCGGGAGGATACCTGTATCATTTGCAGAGAGGACATGCGACCGTGGGACCCGTCTGCCGTCGGAGCGGTGGAACGTTCTCGGCCCAAGAAACTCCCCTGCGGACACATCCTGCACTTTGGCTGTCTCAAGGGTTGGTTGGAAAGACAGCAAGTATGCCCCACATGTCGGCGCTCAGTCGTCATTGATGGTGCTGCCCCTAATGGGGATGCTGCCGTACCGGGAGGGGTTGCCGGTGGTCAACCGCGAGTGCCTGGCCAAGCGGCTCCGGCCAATCGAGGCGCAAATGCCGGACAGCCAGCACAAGGCCGTGGTAATATGCGTGTCTTTCAGCTTGGTCCCATTCGGTTGGGCTTCGCACAGGGGAATGCGCAGAATATTCAGGAGATGGCTGAGCGACTCCGTCTTCCCCTTAATGGTGCCAATGCGCCTCCTGCCGCAGCCGCCCCAGCCCCGGGTCCCCAAGCTGTTGAGCCTGCCCTCGCCGCGCTTGGCGGCATCCACGACATGCAGGTACAACTGCAACAGATATCACACCGGCTACAGCAAGAGATGCACCGGATACAGCAAGAGTTGTATACAGCGCAAGCAAGCCAGGCTGAAATGCAGACGTTGTATGCTTTGACATCGGAGCTAAATCGACTTCGTCAGATACAACAGCAAGATCAGGCTGGTGCGCCCATGAACCACCCCGGTCAGCCGAGCGTCAACGTTCAGTTTGTGCCCCAGGCTCAACAAAACCCCTTCCAGCCCATGCCGCAGATGCCTCAAATGCCGCAGATGCCACCGTTCCCTGGCTTTTCGCCTCGTGTATCTCCGCCAACAGTTACTAGACACGGTGGTGTATCACAAACAGCAGCGATTCCGGCAGGTAGCCAGGATCTTCCCGAAGGCGTTGTGATTCCTCCGGGATGGTCCCTTCTACCTCTGCAGCGCCTGGATGGTCCGCCCTCACAGCAGCCTTCTGGGGTCCAGCCAACACGTACGGTTCAGCCAACCGATGCTCAGGGTCAACAACAGCAGTCGACGGTGCCAACGAACGGTGGGGCCGTGGGTGACCATGACGCAACCGCTAGCTCGTCAAATATTGCTGGAGGACATCTGGATAATCAGAACGGTGAGGCGCCCGGCGGACACTCGGATATCCCCTCGTCGACTTCTTCGCACGTGCAGAGAGATCAGCCCGAGGTTGCTGCACCTACACCCATAATGCCCAACTGGGGTGGTGCTGCACAGCTCTTTGCTAACGGTGAAGCTGGGGGGCCATCGTCGACGACACCGTCAACAAACGAGCCGGAGACGAGCGCGGATAAAGCGTCCACTCGTGAGGCTCCACGAGCTGAATCGGCAGCTCGCGGGGAGGATGAGTCCTCTAGTAGCACAGCAAAGGGTAAAGCGAAAGCAGTGACTATTGAGGACGCAGATGATGCGGAGGACGACTAGTCGGCTGTACCTACGATAACCGCCAGACTGGCTCTGTATACACACGGACGATTGCATCAGGGCATGGCGTTGGCGGCGTTGCAACTTTTTGTGGACAAAAGAAGCCGGACTGGATGTCTGTCCGGCCTGGTTCGCGAATATACCATGATTCACTAGAGATACTGCCCTACGCAACTTAATTGCATAGAGAATGTGTGGTGGGCGTCTGACCTTGTGTACATATTGTGCTTTACCGGTGCCCTTAAGTCCATCACCCCAGAGTTTGTATGAGCCGTGTGAAATACAGCTGGCAAGTGAGGTCATACATGGGTAGGCTAAAGATGTGACAAGGAGCCTGGCTATGCTCCTTCAGTCCTTGCCGTTCCCCAGGGGCTAGGCGTTATTGCGTCAGGTTCGGCCGTCTGGACATACATGATATACCATACACCTCCAGGAACCCACATGCTATTCCAAGCTATTGAATCCCTTGAAGGATTCTTCAGAGCGGGAACAGAAAAATCCATTCTACGTTATTAACAAATTAGGTGCTACACTCCCCGGCCATAAGTCTCCGAGCATCCCTGTTTTACACCAAAACACCCCAACTTTACGCGATCGTGATAAATCGAGTAAAATAGATACAACTTAAGTACTTATAGTACATATAGTTAAGTTTACTGGAATATTAAAATGGTTTATTTAAAAACTTTGACATCTTAAAGATAAAGGTCATAAATGTTACTTTATTAAAGGTTAAATTTTTGATAAAAATAATTTTTTAACATATCTATTTTTTTTAAAAATCTATCACATAAGGTTTTTTATCTTATACGTGTATTACATGTCATTTAATATTATATAACTTTATTACGGCTTATACGATTTTTTAAACATTTCTTATAGCTTTATTAAGATTTTAGAATTTAGATTTTAAACTTTACTTTTATATATCTATTTCTTAATATTCTAGTCGCTAAGAAAATAAATATTTAGAAATTAGTTACGAAAACTTCAGCATTTTCAAATATTAGTTTATTATAACATCTTATTTTAAAAAGCTTTAAGTCTTTAGTTATAAAAGCGTAAAGGTAGGGCATTTTGGTGTAAATGCGGGGATGCTCGGAGACTTATGGCGGGTCAGTGTAGCTACAGTGGAGCAGACGGTCATGGGCTTACCGGTAGTTGATCCCGGTGAATGGAACGTTCAGCTAGCTAGCTACGACGACGATGCACAGGTATGAGCATATATGTATGGGCCGCCATTGGGTGTGTTTACGGCATATCTATAATAAGGTAAATATACCTGGGGGTATGGGGCACGCTACCATCCTGAACACCGGACATGGAAATCTCTATGCTGACGGTACGTTCCCTACTAATTCGACACATGTAGCACCCAGCTTACACTCCAAACCGAGCTTAGATTCTGTGTGATTACCTAAGGGACCATACCGTCGGCGTAAGGATTCCGCTGGACACCTCTGTTTAGATTTCCGCCCGTGTAGGTAGTCAAAACTTAACGGATCCGGTGGGTCGACGGCAACGACCGTGATGAGATCATGAGAGTCCACCAACGACCACGGCTACTTGGCCATTTCGCTGGTGCCTGTTCGGAAGACACCGTCTCTCAATAGGAAGTCTGGGGTTAGAAAGCTCGTGCTAAAGAACTCAAAATGCCCCAAACGTGTCATCTCCAGTGGACCGGGCGAACTGCTACTCTGATCCACTGCCTACTCACGTTTATGGGATCGAATCTTGTCCATGTCAGTAGGCAAGACACTCGAGAGCAAAGACCATAGATACAGCTCTAACTCTTCCACCCACGCTGAGACCACGGACGCATACCTCGACGACCACGGCTACTTGACCATTCTTTGATCAATCGTAGTTTTATTGAAGCTCCACCTGGACCTATCCCGCATACTACGCCGCAGACCTAGATACTACGCCGCACACATGCATCTAACCACCGCCGCAATCCTGCTAGCCCTCGGTTCTGTAGCCGTCGCCGACATCGAGGGTGTAAGTCCACGACTTCTCTTGGCCTTCTCTCGGCCTTCTCCCTGGCTACGCTATGGGCGCCTGCTAACGTTGGTGGTTAGATCTGCAACTCCTACCACAACATTTGCTATAACACACGTAACGTCACCGAGAAGGCCTATTGTACAACTGGAACCGTACATCCCACATATTTCTTGTCCACCTACGCGATAATCATATAACACTGGGATCGAGGCGAAGAGATGCTGATGATATCTTCTGCAGTGCGCGATCGCAAATGGCGACGAGCAGAAATGCACGATCCAGAGTCTGGGGCCCAAGGGGCACCCGGATCTGAGCTCTGCGACGTGCGGGTAGACGGTACTGAGCGTCGGTCTGGTTGATATGGTGTTGCTTTCACGTCGGGGTTCTTGGGTACTGGGCTGCATATGGATGAGCGACGGGTATATCAGATGTCAATCTACGGTCGAGGCATAGGGATGGCGAAGACGGCGTTCGTGATGGGAACAACCCGAAAAAGGACTTGGATATAAGGGTATACGCATTGGGTACTTGGTCGCGGCGTTCATCTGGTGCTTCATTACACTTTGCGATTAGTTGGGGACCATTCGAATATACCAAGAGTTGTACCGATATCTGTTTCTCGTTCCCATACGTCAAGAGCTGGCTTACACATGCACTGCAATGTTAACAGTGAGGCTTACATGGGTTACATGTCAACCCCGCCGCTCAAATGCCGAAATACCCTCCAGCTGACTCCTTGGCCATCCAATGACTGAGAGTAAACCCTTCGAATCCTCAACTTCGATGTTATCTTGAGCTTCGCAGCGTCACTTGCCATCACAGCTTCCATCAAAGCGAGCGGACATGAGCCAGCCAACTAGCAGTTCCGCGCCGTCTCGGCGGCGCCAGACGGCACTGGCCGTTATAGACGCCTACAACTCGTGGACGATGGAGAAGATCATGGCCGTCCGCAGCGACGACTGCATCACCCAGGTTCTGCCCAGTAAGCCAATTCCTCCTAGACTCCAAGCCCTTCCCTCCATACGGCCAGCCTGACACTATCCCTCATCCTTATCAGAGTCCCTTGGTCGTCCAGCCATGGACAACGCAGCCTACGAAGTTTTCTTTGCAGGGATGCTGCCGCACTTCCGCGACTTCAAGGTCGAGGTGAACGAAGTGTTCGAGGACGATCGCGCCAACAACGTGGTGCTGTGGGCGCGCAGCACGGCGACCACCGACATCGGGCCCTACGCCAACGAGTACATGCTCATCTTCCACTTCAACGAGGCGGGCGACAAGGTCACGCGCTTCTTCGAGTGGGTCGACTCGGCGAATACTCAGGCTTTCTTTCCGAAGCTGCGGGAGCATGTTGCGCGGAAGCAGGCTGAGGGGGATGTTTAGTCGCATGTTCAGGACTTCTGAATGGTGTGTTTCTGTTTGATGTGCGGGGAGTGAGGATTTCCGCCTTGGGTCGCTCGATATCAAAAACGCGTATGGGGTGAGCTTCTGTGGTTAACTAGAGAAAGCTCTGTGTGTGGATGAATATTTACAGATTACCCTTCCCCGGCACGCATATAAGACTGCGACCTAAGGGCATTCTTTAAACCGCGAGACTCGGTTAGTAAACCCATGAAGTACACATCGTGACTCTCAACAGCTCTTGTCGCAAGCTTCGCTTCAAAGCCTTGGGTTCCAGCCCAGGTGCAGGTAAAAGGAAACATACCATTGCTAGATGAAAACTCTTCAGAGGAAAAGAAGGAATTAATTCTTGTGATGAGGCTGTCCTGTAAGCCAATGTCTGTACTGGAGGCCAGACGTCCATACGGCCAATCTTCATACTGGGGGTTTCCCGGGCGAAACCTAGGTGCGCCCCCGGACATGGACGGTCCTAAGTTCATTAACAAGAGAAACCTGTTGATGCAATGTATCTTGCTCGCAGTCTCCTATAATGGCTGTCGTATTCATGCCTACCAATAGAAAAGCAACCGATTCACACATACCCCAAGCGTAACATACCTCCTGCCGCATCCGCTTAAGGCCCCCTATCTTGGAGCGACTTTGCTACTGTAGAGCGCTTGTATGCGTATGGGTGGATGTGACCATATATTGGACAGATACATCGTGGTGAAGGAGCTCATATATGGGAGTAGAGATGCTCTTCAGAGATAGCTAAAAGACACTGGGGATACTGTCGAGCTCAGCTCACACCACTGCCCACCTCACGCCATTACCAAGGGGCTTATCAAGTACCTAAAAACCGCTGACATACTACAACGCCGAGGAGCGTCACAATGGTCAAGAGAAGGTGTGTAAGCTTTCGATCATGAAGAACACAGCCGCCTTACCGATGTCAACGTGAGATCGCTGTTGGTAATCCGAGTAACGTGGGACGTGGGGGTGGCGGACGGAGTCACACCTGGTGTCAGCCTGTGATACAACAGCACCCGTGCCGCATTCAAGGGATGCGTAAGAGACAGAAAGGTTATAAATCACAGACCAGCAGCCAGGAAGGTGATCCAACGAGCACGTGTCTTATGTTGTGGTGATCACATACTCGTCTGTAATGATTCACTGACTGAAATAAAACCTTACCGACGCAATTCGCCAAGGTCCCTGGAAGCGGAGTCAAGTAGCCTACGCAACTCTTATATCAGAATAATAAATAAACAAGCCGCATGATTATCTCCCCAAGGGCTAAGCAAGCTCAACGGCCTAGTGCTAGTCCACTCCCCAAACACACAGGATAGACTGACCCAGCAGGCCGGTACGACCGAGCCGAACAGCAAGCCACAAGACCCTTCTCGCATAATACCGTTTCACAGATATTTGGCGGTCAGGGAGACCCAATAAGCATGCCCCGGACACATTACACGATCGGTTCAATGCATCCATCCCCAGCCATACCACCCGTCCCCCATGAACCATGCAGCATTGACAGGACTAGAGGCTAGAGGCTACAAGAACTCCAACGGTCTCACGTCATGCCATTGGTTGACCGCCACTTGGTGCATGTCCGCATCGGGTAATCTTGCTGACCTCCCTCCTGCGTCTTTCATCGGGGTCGACAACCAACGTGCTTGCATAATATGATACATCATCCAGAATGCGAAGACGTGAGCATCAGCTCAGTCGTGTGACCGTCCACGAGGAGGCCTAGACAGACCCAGACCTAATCCCCTCCCTTGCTGCTGATCCGTACATGCATACATGCGGATACATATGCGAGGGATGCATGCCGTAGGGCTGAGGACCGATGACAGAAGTAAGCAGATAGCGGCGACGTTACCATCGGGCTGGGATGCGATCGACGCCTGATTGGGTGGCTGGGGAAGGCGGGTGGGTGGACGATGGTAGTAGAGGTGGTTTGTTCCGAGCGGACTGACCGCTCGGAGCGGTCGGTAGCAGGCATTTGGTGTGTCTGTTCTAGTGCATGAACCGGTTTCTGATGAGCTCCTCTCCTTGTTTAGGGAGGCATGGATGTGCGCTCCGGAGGAGACCAGCTTGTTTGTTACAAGCCGTACTTGCTTCATGGGCTAGTTCACTGGGGAGCCTACCTCTGTCGTTGGGTGTCAAGTGAGGGGCACCATGGGACATCACATGTCAAGTGTTTAGGCAAGTCATTGTGCAGAGTAGAATGAAGATGTCTTCAGATAATTAATAGATAGATATGCAATGAGAAAACGCATCTGCTAGAGACGCTGCAAAATGGGTATCCCTATGTCCAACCAATCTGATGTGCGATGCCGTGCCAGCCCCAAGACCCATGCAGCAAGGAGATGATGATAGCAAGGAGATGATGATAGCAATGACAGCGATGCCAGAGAAACACAAAAGAAAATCCCAACTCCGTATGTATGCAAGCCAGATATGCCAAGTGACGATGATGAAACCCAGGCAGTCAAGAATTACTCCTCGGCCGGCAGAATGAACCGAACTATCTTCTTTGGCTTTGCAGCCGGTATGTCTATTGGTTGTGTCTTGTCCTCCTGAGCGTCCTGGAGATCTCCAACGCTCATTCCCATCTCGCTCATAGTTTCCTTCTCGGGTTCCTCCTCGATGGACCAGACGTCGGGACTCGGCTCCCGCCATGAGTGTCGCCGCTGAATTGACAGGCTCTGAGGCCTCTTCGGGAAAGATCGACGGGGTGGCGCAAATCGCTTGGATGGGCGACCCCGAGGCGATCCAACATGGAATGCCCTGGGTGACAGGAGTGCTTCTGTGCTCCGAGATAGGGTGTCTTGGGGAGAATTGTGCTTTGGGTGGTCGAAGTAATCCTCGAAGCCGAAGGGGAGGGACTTCTGAGGCTTGAAGCGGATGTAGTCCTCATTGTCGTCTTCGTCGTCATCCAAGACGGCACAGTCGGAAGCTTTGTATTTGGGATTGTACCGCTTGAGGCCATCGAGAGTCGACGGACTTATACTTCGAACGATGTCCCGCGGGTTGCTGGAGTCCTCGATACCAGCATCAAAGTCAAAGTTGAATTCGAGCTCATCGTCTTTGGCAGGGGCGGGTGTTAAGAAATAGGTCAGGGGGTTTTCATGAAATGAGGGTAGGTCGAGGTCGTCGTCGTCTGTTGATGTGTAGTCATCATCCAATGACGGGGTAAGACGGCCAGGACTCGAAGGCCATGAGTCAGGCTGTGGCCGAGGGCCGCTCACTGGTATCATAGGCATATTGAATGACTACCAGCGGGATGGAGAGATGAGGTTGGGTAGGAGAGGCGGCTCAAAACAAGGCGACCATTCCCGCAGACGGTTGCCCTCGAGCTGCTAGCAGTGGGGAGAAAGCCCTTCTTATCCTGCCACCTCCGGTATAATGTTGACGGTGCCAGACTCAGTTCGGCAAAAAGGGTGTGCTAGAAGACGGAATCGGATACGAACTTCGAGCCGACAAGTGATGAATCGTGAAACACAGAGTGGTACGAGGCAGAAGGAGATGGGGGATATGCCGCAGCTATATATACTGCCACTAGGGCAGAAGACTCGGAAGCGCAGGGTCCAGAAGGCCAGTGATTTGTTAGTCACCCGTCGATTTAAGATGCTGCCTTGTGAGTTGACAGGCGGAGAAGAGGGTGGTCAACAGGGTGGTCAACAGGGCGCCGCAGCTGCGACACAACCCACTACCGAATACGACGGCGCGACGGGCGGTGTTCTGTCGCAGTGAATCACCCAGCAAAGTCGCAGACGTAAGAACCAAGGAAACGAGTTCCCCGAAGCGGCACCGCGCGTCTGGGATGGTGTGCGCGCTCGCTGATAGTCGGGCTGGTGGTGTGCAGCGGATGGCCCCTTAGTAGAAATACGAGCAGGCAGGTCGCCTGCTAGTGAGCGAGTCGGTGAGACAGGAGGCCACCATCAGTTCGGTCAGATAGGCATCTGACGCTGCTGCACCCACCCACCGTCTGCTGAAAGCACCCACACCTCGAGCCCGGGGGTAACTGTGGTTGTATTTGATAGTGACTCTGGTAGGCTCGTGAGCCTTCGTGTCATTAGCCTCTTGTCTCGGTTGATCGGACTGCCTGACTTCAGGATCGGGGCGTACGCACTGCAGTGCAGCGTACCTTGCATGCGACGCGATGCCTGGCTGTGGCGCGGCCAATACAATTCCACTTGGGTTCTCGCGCACGCAAGAAGACCCCTCAGTGGCCCTCACTAGATGGTCGAGGCTGGAAGTCGACTTTGACATGCTGGCAAATTGACAGGTAGCCGCGCTATGCGGCGCCATGTCGCCTGAGCACCTTACCCAAGGCCCAAGGTGAGGTAGCAGACAGGGCATTCCCGGAGGTGTCGTCGGCGATATGAACCCCGAGTCTAGTGACAATGGCAAAGTCGGTCACCACCATCGCAAATGGCAGAATAAGGGCAAGAAAATGCCATTCCTGCCCGTTGCTTGTGGGAAGGCTGTGCGATGTTATTCGCCCGACACTGCTGGACACCACCCCGACCACACTCGACACCCCACCACCAGCTTTCGGCCAAGATGCGAGCCGGCAATCTGTGGGCACTGGAGTCTGGCATGCCCGCAACCTTGGTTCGAAGGGCTAGAGGGAACTAACAGGCCGGCTAGTTTGGCACATAGGACTGGTGTTGGTGGTCTCAACAGTATCAGATGATGCGGCTTATCAACAGCTTCCACGCAACAGAGGAGGCGGAGGAGGCTCCAGTGCGTGATGGATTCGTAATGCTCATCATATCCTCCGCTGTGCCGGGCTTGAATCACCACACACTCTCGGCCGGGACCGGGCTCGTGAAGAGAGACACATGTATCCCTTGGGGTTACATGAATCAAGTAACTAGTCCAGGACAGGTCAGATAGACCTCTTCGGCCTTCGTTCAGATAATCCAAACTCGACAAATCTGATGCGCCTTCGGACGGGATGCGAGTTGGTGGAGAAGGTTAGTCCATAGATCTATCCGTCTGCAAGATACGTTAGACTACAGCTACTGTAGTCGGACTGTGTGTTTAGCGAGAGCTTCATGAATCATTAGTCAGCAGCGTTCGTATCTTGACTGGGACAGCTGTGGATATTTCCAGGTTTTTCCACGAGACCGCGACAAGCACTCCCGCAGATGATCAGACGACTTGCAAATCCAGAGCGAAACGAGGATATTGAACAGTCACTCTGGCTCGCGATGGGCAGAACAGGGCAGAACAGGGCAGAGCAACCATCCAGAATGCTACCTAACCCGCAGCGTCAGGGTGCCGGGGACCTTGAGCCTTGAGGGGTTGGGAATTGGGGGTTGGGCAAGGTCGAAGTACATGTAGTCGAGGAAGCGGTTGGTAGTAGATTGAGGGACACAAGCAGACAAGCCGGGATGGTCGTTGACGCGTAGATTCGACTCCACGCATCTGCAAGGCCGACAAGCATGGTGTTGGTCCGGAGATCCGAAGATCTGATGGGCTGGAGATGCAGATAATTGAGTTTGTAGGGCTGCAGCCGTGAGCCCAAAGGAGTTCCCGCCCAGAGTGCCCAGCATTCGAGGTGGGACAGGCTGGGGGGAGCAGGCTGGCAGGGAGCAGTGCGTCACGTGTTGTGCCTTACCACGTGCCCTGGTTCAGTAGCTCATGTGAGTTCCAAGGTTGCCCGATAAATACTTACGCTACAAATCCTGGTCTTGGTTCCTCTCAACTTGTCCCTATCGCGAAGCCTTTCCTCCCAGTTCCCATCAACGATCGTCGATCGCTACCCGGCTAAGTGATTTAGGTGCCTACTGTATTCACAAGGTCAGCCCACTGTTCTTGGACAGACGTCTCTTTCTCATTCGGAAGCTTCGAATAACTTGATTTCGTCACGTCGACGTATAAGCCATCTGCCAAGTTCAGTCTGTCAAAATCATCGAGGGTTCGTATCTTGGGATATTCACGCTTATCAGGGTCTCAGATAACAGAGCCAGTGGGTCGGATTTCGCACGAAGCGCCTGGCATGTCACACTCTGCTGGTAGAGAAATCTCGGCCGTTTCCAAAGGCATGGCGCACTTTCAGCAGAAGTGACCTTCGATGGGGATCTTCAACGATTAATCACAGTCAACATCCGCTTCGTTACCCAATGTCCATCTCCGAAAGGGAAACCATGGACTACTATATGTCCCGGGCTTCGCTCACAGCTCCGATTCAGTACCTGTGGCCGATCCGGTGCTTTCCTCTGTCCGCACGAGGCCTTGCATACACGACTGAAGGCTATTCAGGACGTCACCTGGGGCGAACTCAACCCATGTCGGGGTTGGTAGAGGAGCAGGCAGGTCGGAGTGATGAGGAAGCTCCTCTATTTCTCTATTTCACATTCAACGACCTTGAGAGGTGAGCGACAGAAACGTACTGGCTGAGCGAAACCTGAAGTCACCATCGAGGGCTTGGGATGCTGCACCAAAATTGATCCGTTGTCATCAGGACTTTTGGCCATCTCACGGCCGAACGGCCCGTGTTGTTGCGGAACACGCGTATGGACGGACCACAAGTGTGTCAGACACATGGAGCAGACCACCGGGCATCAGACATATGAACCACAAGGATCATCCCGAGGGAGGAAAGTGCAAGACTACTTTGGATCTTGCGGGACAACGGATTTGTGGTACAACGACAGTTGGGTTGTTGTGCTGTCTTTCTGGCTGGTGACTTCAATGGCACCCAGAAGACAGCATACAGGGCAATTACGACTCCCGGCAAAAACACGACCGATATCTCGACTTATACCCGGACACCAACGTCAAAGAAACGAATCAATTATAGCTCTTTCGGAGAGCCCGATGAACAATAGCCAGGGCGAATCGACTTCTCTTCGTTTAAAACCCGCGCGATGCTTGTCGCCGTATCTTTGGCGCCTTGCCCGACAAGTCCGATGACGACAAGTGTCTTTCAGACCATCGCGCAGTCGTTGCAGATATGGAAGTCCATGACGCAGACCACCCATCGTTGGCTGAGGTAAGCGGCTCAAATGAGTCGTTTGCCTTCGCTTTCGCATTCGAGGCAGGCCAGACCATTGTAGAAAGGTACGTCGGTGTCCAGTCAAGGCTGTCTAACTTCCGACAACTGATAACTCTAGGTGATACAGTAGCCTTACATGAGCTTCCAGCCTTATTCCTTTGGTGCCTATCCACCCTCTTGGAGCCGGCCTGATCAGCAGTCCCGGTCACCTCTGGGCCCGACCTAATGTCTCAATGTGTGGCGAAACGCAGGATATAGGTCCCTTATCGCGCCACGGTATCGATATGAGAATGATGAGGCGTTCTTTGAGATACGGCCGACATGGACTCCTAGCCCGAAACACCAACAATCACATACCACTAGACGGATATAGAAGGTACTGTCGACCTAAGCGGAAGGGATTTGTACCGCATCTGGCTTATTCGTGGCGACACCGCTTAACCTTCCCCATGTAAGTCAGGAACCGCTGGTAAGAATATCGAAACTTGGGCAATATGCGATGACATAAGATCAGTCCACGAATGTCAACTCAGATGCCCCCGTCAGGCACTTGCCGGATGTCGACTCTTTAACGACGACCGATGTCACCGTTACCGGGAAGCAGGGTCGGCATCTGAGTGGCTCGAGGACAGGACGGGACACAAACTTTGGGAGCGCCAGTATAAAACGTCTGGGCTTAATCGCCCTGACTGGAGATGCACCAATGGATCGAGACTCTGCACAGCCAGAACTCCAATTAAGCTTGGCTCTCCGAGGATTTGGTATGCTCGTTTCCCGACCTGTGCAAGACGGGGCTTGAGACACGGTCCTTTGGCGTTCTTCAGACTTCTACGAACGTACGGGATGTGGTGACGCGAGGATGCCCTTGGTTTCAAAGAGCGGTGAGGCTCTAATGGTGTTGAGAGGAAGATTCGAACCCGCCCAGGCCCTCCAATTGCATCGGATCGAACCGCCAAGTAACCCCACCGCGGAGGCAATCTGGTGTAGTGCTTGCTGCTCTGATTGACTTTTACCGATACGTTGGATTGGTTTTGTCATTGTGGTGTCCCGGCACATGACGAACCTCGATAAGGCTCGACGAATCCCTTGCCAGACTCACACCGAAAATTGTTGCCGTGCGGAGAAAGGCTTACTATATCATGGTCCGTGTCTCAGCACTGTTGCCGATCGAGGTCAGAACATGACTTTCATTGCTTGTCTCTCCCCGTGTGCTACGGAAAGACGACTCGTCGCAACTCATATTATCAGTCCTGCAAAGGATCACGCAAGCACCCGGCGATGGCAGTCATTGTCTTGCTGCTCAGAACCTTGCACCTGCATCAATGCTTTGTTGCATGCGGCTACCAACTCCATATGAGTGGAGTTCCCACTCAGAGTGAGGGTCGAGTGACCGGCTTTCCGGGGGGCGGTGATGATTGATCGGTGACTTGGCTGGAGGTTGTGTGAAGCTTCTGGTACTAGGGCCTACCAGGAGAAGCCAATTCACGTTGAAGAAAAGCACGCACGGACCCCCCATATGAGTGAGTACACACCTAGAGATCTACTGGGTCTGGGTCTGGGTCTGATGAAGTTGTCGGGCGTTGTGAACAACAGAGCCTATGGACTCTAAGAGTTTGGGGACCATCGAGCCTTTTTTCCCGGGAGATCTTGATCAACGATCCTGGTAACAGTGGACGGGATCAAGGGTAACTCTTCCTGACGATCAGCACAGAACGATAGCGAATTTGGGGGTTGGAGCATGAAGTGATAGGTGACATGCATAAGTGCTGCAACTACAGGCGGCGAACAGCGCTGAGTTCCGTTCGAGGGAACAGGGGCCAATTGATGTGCATGCGCCGTCCCATCGTGAGATTTCTGCTTCTACACACACCAATCAACCCCAATGTCCTTCAACCGAACCTATTTTCCGTCTGGGTCGAACACCCCCATGGGGAGGAATGCTTTGACATGAAGCTCACTGGGTACATCCCCGTGGGCTCAAAGCCCTCATAGTCAAAAGACGATACCTCCAACCAGCCAGCATAACACTCCCAGAAACAAAAGCCATCAATGGCCACTCCAGGCCACGCACTCTCACTGGCTGTAGCTCATTCGTTGGAACATGTAGTGACCGGTTGAACGTCAAAACTCGTGCTTTCGTACTCGGTAGCACCGGGCTGAGCTGACAGTACCTATGTCCCAAGGTTCGAGACGACACGAATCTCAGCTGTCAAACAGTGTTGTTGCCATCCATCCTTCGGGTGACAAGTGACAAGTGTGCAGGCCATGAGCAGTCGGTGTCGTAATTGGGGGAGGTCAAGCTTCGTATGCAACCTGTCTTATGCCGGTGGGTGTAGTGCCCTCCAGGATCCCGGATTCGCATTGTCGCCTGCTACGCAGCAGAGCTCACACGGCGAGTCAAACCGAGGGTGCACGATGACTCCTTTGCCAGTGGCCACGGTTTCCGGGCAATGTCGTCGTTCAGGCTCGGCTGGTCCTATGAGAGAAGGAGACGGGGCGTAGCTAATGCACGTTTCCTGCAGTCCTGGACAGAACCCAATGGGGCTTTGGCTTCCTAGCCTGCTGGAGCTGGGCATGGCATGAAGTGATGCGTTGGCGTCTGTCTCTGCCTGCGATTCTCTGCCGTCTGCCTGCCAGCAAATGGCATCCCACAGCGGCCTTGACGGGACCACAATTCGGCAGCATCATACTTTGCCTTAGAAACCACTGGGGATTCCCACCCGGTTCAATAAAGACTTCAGAGTCTCCCTTTTCCTCTTGGACTCGCTGGTCGGTATAGAGCCAGGAAACCCAAAAAGCCGCGGAACGAGTGAAGACGGCGCGAAAGCAGCCGACTCGTAGCGACACCATAGGGAGGGTCTCGCTTATTCAGAAATCGAGATACCGGAGCCGTATTGATACCCAAAGGTCGAACTTGGGCATTAAATTCGAAATCACCTCTTTATTCCCTTCCACAGCCCGCCCAGACACCGCCAGGCACTAGGACTTGGTGTCTGTCCTCTTGTCTATCTACCCTTCCCTACCCTACCCTACCCAAACTTCTCTCCTGAAGAACGGCGTATCATCCCAACCCGCACCCACTCGCAGCCTTACAGGATTTCGCCACTTATTACCCGGCGCGAGAACCAGGACCAGGCCAGCCAACAGGAAGCAGAGTCGAGCGAAGATCGACATCACAGTCCGACAACACAGTCCGACAACACCGGACGATTGTATGCCTCGGCGGTAATTACTGGTTTGAGAGACGTGTCCTGGGGGCAAGGCGAGCCGCTCACTCACCAACCCTATTGGCGAGACGTCCTCTCGTCTTCATCAACAGATACCGTTGGCGGGATCATCCCTCCTCAGTTCGAAGATCTGGAAGGCAATCACTTTTTTGTGGGATTGCTTGCACCTTACTTTGCGGGATAGCGACCCTCACCCCCACCGTTGGGTACCGTTTTCGCCAATAATCCCTACCCGGACCCCATCTCATCCCCGAAAGGGGGCTAAAACGAAAACCTGCGAAGCCCCGAAGGGACGCCAAGAGCACTGCACGCACTCAACGAGACTGACTTGACTGCCACTGGCAAGGAACAGGGAGCAAGGGGAAAGAAAGAAAAGGGAAAAAAAAAAGTTTTGACGATCCTCCCCCAGACCTCCATCTCCCGCTGTTTCAGTGCGCAAGGCACGGTATCTTCCTATCGATACGGACGATATCGATAGACAGGCTGCTAGGTTGCCCGCCAACCCGCCCACCGCTGTCCCGCCGCCCACGCTCTCCGTCTCACCACCAGCTCTGTCACCTCAAGCTGTCACTGTCAGGACTGTCCCCCGTCGTTGCTCGAGAGCAACCGTTTCCCTGCGGATCGATCCTCAATTCCACGACGACACGACAACCTGTGTAACGTGCAACCAGCACAGCGTCAGCGCCAGCGTCAGCATTGACACCAGCAACGGCGTCGCCAACACGCCTCCAGTCCGTTCTCCTCCTCCCACCTGTAACGGGATCTTGTCCGCCACCGCCCACCTGCTGTGCCTCTGGTCTTGTCTCTGGTCCTGCGTACTGTACGGTAACCCCCCCCCCAATACTGAAATACCTACATCCCACCATCATTGGCCTTCCTGTCGCTCAACACACCCGCCTGCATACCTACATACCACCTATAACACACACACATACATACGCACACACGCCCGTCTTACTTACATACCTACATACATGTATACATGTATACATGCATGCATGCAAGAGCACAGCATATCCTCCCCAGCAACAACACCCTTCCTGACCCTGTTTCTTCCCTCCCCCAAGTCCATCGACAAAACCCTTGCAGTTGCTGTTGCAGCACCACATCCATATATCTCTCCTGCTATCTGCACCTCTCTGTCGCAGCACACCCTGCGTCCTGAAGGCCATTCAACGTCTTTCGTCCCACGATATTGCTGTGGTTGGTCTAATAAGCTCTCAATCGCAGCCTTTAGACACGAAGCCCTCTCTGCCTGATCCGGACGACCCGCTGCTCTGGTCACTCGACACGACGCACTGCCACGACGCCGCACAACGCAGTCCCCAGGACTGGCTCAGGCCTCTTTAGGTCGAGGCACACTGCCTCTCAACCTCCGGCCGTTGCTCCATCCATTGGCAGATTCATGGTGAAGGAGCGCTCTTGCCATGGGGAAACATTCACCAGCAAGCTCTCGGATTGCACACGTGGAGGAGGCCGATGACGACGGCGAGATTGTCCCAGGCAGTAAACCAAAGTACGCCCGCTCTACTGCTCCCAGCAGCCCAACCAAGAAGCACTCACCCAATACGGGGAAAACACGAAGAGAGTCACGGCTCGACTCGTCATCCGTGGTGACTCGTGGTTCGACCGAATCGTCCGACTCTACTGAGCATCCGTCCTCCCGGAGGACCTCCAAGATGAAATCCAAAGGAGAAAAGGAGAAGAGGAGGTCGTCTACTGTGGTGGTCGACAAGCGACCCTCCGTGCGCTCATCCAAAACAACGCCAGCGCCTTCATCCAGAGCATCTGACGAGTCGTCGACGTACTACGGAGTACCGCATCAGACTGTGGCCGCATCCTCATCGAGACCCCGCTCCCACACTCGGCCTGAATCCTACTATGGCCAGTCCTCGAGGCAGCATCGGCCACCGCTTTCTTCATCAGCTTACTACCAACAACCGACGCCATCGCCGTCCCATTTTATTCCCCCCTCTTTCCCTCCACAGCCGTGGGCTGTTGCTCCGGAACCTCCAATGCCACCACCCGCCGGATCCGACCATTTCAATAGGCCCCTAGCTCTGCGGTTCCAGCGACCCCAGTCGGCAATGGGGTTTCAACACTCCTCGAGTCCACACGACTACGATCCACCACAAGAAAGGTCTCTGGCACAACGGTCTTCAGCACGGAAGACTAGCAAGGACCATGACGACCGCACAGACCGCATGCGGATGCCTCCACCACCACGGCCGCAGTCTGCTCGCCCCAATACTGTGGGCATTCGACCACCGCCGCCACGGAAATCTGTCGTGTTTGACGACGATGACTTGGACGGCGATGACAGTATGTACCGAGCGGTAGCCCGCCGTGTTTCTGTTGAATATGGCGTCGGTGATCTCCCTCCGAGGACGCGGCGTCGAAGCGGCGTCGACTCCATTTATGCCAATGATGGCTACGAGCTTGAGCCGGCATCGCGTAGCCGACGAGGCTCACACACACACTACGATGACCAGTTGCGGAATGCAACGCAGTACCAAGATGACGTTAACGGAGGGCCGAGTGCGCTTCTGACGGCCGAGGCTCTCCGACGGGTCAAGAACGGAGGCAGCAGTCGCTCTACTCGTAGTAGCGCAAGCCGTGATGAGAGTGATTACAAGCACTCGGCGACCACGCGCACGACGAGGTCCGGCAGCGGAGATGATGACATAACCATCAAAGTGCCAATGGGCGCCATTGTGGAAGTTGGCAACGCCAAGATCCATTGCAAAGATGGCGGTGATATTAGTCTTGGTCGTAGTGGCACTTCTCGAGGAGGGAGTGACCGCGCGACTTCTTATGGTGACGAACGAAGCCGCCGATCAGATCGTTCAACCACGACCCGGACGCGGACCAGCTCCCAAGCACCATCGTACCATCGAGGCCTGCTCCCTCTTCCTCCTCCGCCTAGATACGCCCCTCCTATGACGTACGACCCTCACGCTCTGGCATACGACTCTCACCCTCTGCCCTTTTCCCAGCCTCACAACCATCCATTTCCAGATTACTACGACACCAGCGGTCAACATTACTTCTGATCCCGGGTCGTCCTTGTCACAGCATGGGCGTTTGGAGTTATGATGGCCTATCGATTTGGAACAGCGATACATCCGGATCTTCTGCCATATATGGTGTCGTTATTTCCCCTGTGATTTTCTATATCTGGGTGTTTCCCATGGCTGGTTGGCCTGCCTCGTCGCTACGAGCAAGGAGCAAAAGCTGATACCCAGAATGGTTCCCAAAAGATTGGAAGATCGAAGTGTGCGCATGTCTCTTTTCCTTTTATTTCTTCACATCTTGGGTGTTTCCCCGGACGACTTCAGCATGAACCTACCAACATATACGAGGAATGAGTGATGAGATGAATGGACGACGATTTGGATATGCTGGTGGACTGTTGTGGCTGTGTGGCTTTGTGGCCCGCTCGGGAGCTTCAACATTACATTCTAATTCTCTGAACCCTGATCCGGGGTGTTTGTTCTCTTTCTGTCTGCCCCTACACAAAACTGGCCGAGCCATGCTGTGTGCGATACCCTGTGCTTTGAAGCCGAGTTACTCACGTTCGCATGGCGTAAGAGTTGGATTCATACTAGATCGGCCTGTACGGCAAGGAAGTTCGCACTTCTGTTGTTGGGCAGCACGGGATACCTATTTTGCGAGACGGACTACCCCTATCTTTTCTTGGGCTGGATTCTCATTACTGGTTAGACCTAGGAATAATTCGGCAATTTGTATGTGTCCGGAGACCACACACCCTCTCATGGAGGCAATGAGGTCGAGGACAGCAGAACCCATCAATGAATAGGTCGGGTTTCACTGTATCCCGTTGGAAGAATCCATCAAGAGGTTGCGGCGCGACCTCGGATTGCATCTCCTTTTCTCTTGTCAAAAGGTGACTTGTCCGTCATCCGATACCGACTATAGATAGATGATAGCTGCATTAGATAATGATATCCTACACGCCTAATGGGAAGATATGAAGACATCATGGCAATGCTCCATCGTCATTTGTGTAGCCAGTAATGGCGTCTCCTGTGCACAATTGTACTACAACGATACTTGGATCAACGAAGCTGCCCGTCTGACATGCAGCTGATCCCGCATTCTCCACGCTGATCCCACGACGTTGTGTGCGAGTGTGGTGTAGCTCTCGATCGTTTCTTCGCCACAGACGTGCGTGGTGCTACTACCGGTTTACTGTCGACTGTTGGAGACTCCGGCTCGCTGCATTGGCCGTCTGTCGATCAGACTGCCGTCATCTCACGCCCAGCCAATAATACAGTGTGATACTGTAAACGGCACAAGGGTAGCACAATTAATACGGGTACTTTGAATATACCTAGGCAGAGCTACGAGGCTCCGAGTTCGTGATGGGGAAGAAGCTGCAGAGCTGAGCTTTTGTGGTGATGGGTGTGTGAATGGCGTCGACTGACACGAGGCATCCCTCCCTCGGAGCTGAAAGCGTTGGCAATTGAAGGATCGTTCGTTGTCGAATGAGCTCTTCTACAAGGCAAGGTCGACGGGGCCGGAGTCCGGACTGTGATGGCTGAGCGCTCTTGGTGGCTGTACGGATTTACCCCTGGCATAACTACATGTTGCAGGGTGGTGGGTGGTTCTTGATATATCCATCCAATGGACTGAAAGGGGCAGCCAGCTTTGAGAAGCACTCAATGGAGCTACTTCGTGGAGAGATGGATATTCGTGGTCGAGGTTGACACAGCTGTGAAACCACCGCCCATCGTCATGGTGAAGCTGCAGACTGCAGACAACCCTTGCCATTGGTGTTCTCAAAAATCGACATCGACAGACCGACCTTGTTGCACGAGCTTACCACATTTGCTCGTATCGAGCAGATACATGCAGAGAGTTATTACTGCAGCTGCTTGGCCCCTCAGCGGCTGGCGATACCGATCCGGTTTGACAAGAGGCTCGGGAGCTGGACGCATGAAGTTGCTTGCTGTCAATTGGCTTGGCGGTGTTGATCGACGGACGGTATGGGTTGCTGCTCAACCGTGTCAAATCGTTAAAGATGGAAGGTTCAATTGTCCCGTCTGCCCATCTCCAGCACGAAAAATCGGCTTCCGTCCCAGTGAAACGTTAGCGGCCCTGGGCTGACCCCACAGCTGGTTGCTGCTTGGGATCTGTTTTAGCGGGGCAGCGACTGTTGCCCAGTCAGCGCTGTTGACTTTTGACATCACTGACCAACCTCCCAGCAGTGGGAGCCCAGCCACGCAGTTCAGTCCATCTTTCAAGCCTGCCATAGAAACCACACGACAACCAGGTTGCAAGGCAGCACAACACTCTATCTTACATCACTTTACACAATCAACTTGTAAGGGTAAACAGCCAGGTATCATCACCAACACAACCAGCCAAATTCTTGGGTTCTTGTGTAGGCCAAACCAACATACGTGCGAGCATCAGAACCTCCTCTACTGACTTGGCTGGTTCTCCAGCAACATACCAGCCGAGTCCCAACCAGACGGACTACCAACACTTCATCCCATTCCAGGCGAATCATTCCAGTCGACGCCGTAGCCGATTGACACCATGGCACCTCTCCTCCCGACCCTGGCTGCACACGCCCGCAGCCTCCTCTCCACCGCCGCGAGCACACGCAATGAGCTGGCGGCCCGGTCCGCCTCCGAGCACCTCTCACAACTAGGACCGCTCGCGGCACGGTCGGTCCTGCTCGCTAGGGACGATGCCAAGAACGCCGACGGCAGCAACAAGGTGGACCCCTCGCATGGGGTGATCAAGCCGGGCGACGTCAACAACACCTTCGTGTTCGTGCTGTTCGGCCTGATCGGCGCGGGCCTCGTCTGTGTCATGATCTGGTTCTTCTTCTGGGCCAAGAACGGCGGCTTCTACTTCAAGGAGAACGACTGGGACGACTACAAGACGACGGTGATGCGGCGGCGCGGGCCCAACGGCACGCTGCTGTCGGGCGCCACGCCGAGCACAAACCTGGGCGGCGGCAGCGTCTACAAGGACGTCGACGACGGCAGCACCGAGTACACGGGCGGCCTGACGCAGGTGACGCGCGACACGGACGACACGCAGAGCACCTTCACGGGCATCACGGGCGGGGTGTCGGACTTTGTGGGGCGGGAGCGGCGGCGGCAGCGGCGCGAGCGCAAGGAGCTCGAGAAGGAGAAGAAGCGCGACCGCAAGCGCAACGACCACCGCCGCAAGGTGGGCGAGGACGGCGCGCTCGTCGACGAGGACGCCGAGGCCGCGGCCAAGTCGCACCTGCGCGCCTACCGCCACGAGAAGGCCGCCCGCGTCGGCGGCATCAACAAGGAGTGCGAGGGCAGCCAGTGGGACGGCTCCACCAACCCGGACAACTCCACCACCGCCGGCAGCGACCTGCTCAGCAACCGCCAGAGCACGCCCACCTCGACGCCCACCAAGAAGAAGAAGAAGGAAGAGGAGTCGTCGTCTAGGCGGGAGTCCAAGAAGGAGTCGGGCAGCAACAGCGCCGCCAACAAGAAGAAGTCGGGCGGCGGCATCCGCAAGGTCTACAGCTCCGCCGACCGCACCGCCGACCGCGAGAACGACCGCATCCGCGCCGAGGCGCGCCGGCTGGCGGAGAAGGGCCGGGCTGCTGGTAGTAGTCGCCGGGACTTCAGCTGGCAGCGAGCCGACCTGCGCAGTAACGCCATTGAGGAGGAGGATATCAGCAACGCCGGCGGCAGCAGGTACTTGCCGCCCGGCAGCTATGCCGAGAGCGACGCGGGCACCAGCGAGCTGGGCACCAAGTCGTACCACCACGTCATTCCTGGCTTGTCGAGCGCGAGTGGCAGCGGGGCGGGCAGTGCGGTGGGAAGTGCGGTGGGAAGTGACTACGCTGAGGAGAGGCGGAAGAAGAGGGGTGTGGGACGGTACCGACGGGGCGAGGAGTAAGGGGGAGGCCTCGAAGGCGGCCCCGTGTGGAACTATAGGAGGAGATTCGGTCTTGTTTCGGGTTTGCATGAGGACACGACAAGAAGTGCAAAGACGGACAGACGGATGGCACAACACCATACAGTCCACACTACACAGTTGCTTTTCTGGCCATTGCGATCGCGAGACGATACTGGGATGTATGAAGCAGGCGTCTTGTTTGGTCCTTTCAAGGGTTGTTTGGCTGGGACTCAGGTTGTCGGGTTGGTTGCGTTTCTGTAATGTAGATATAGCACACACACGCGCATACACTCATGATCAATGAATGAACCGGTTATAGAAATTGCGTAGGTTATGACTTGGGGTTTGATTAAGCTCTTTTGGGCTTTCGTCGCCTCGTGTAAAAGTGGAATTGGGACGGTACACGTGGGAAGCGTAAGTTTCAAAAGCCCCTGGCATATAAAGTCAGGGGTTTAAACAGGGCGCAAACACAAGGGGAAGGGATGTCACAGGAGCTTTGAAGGCAACGTCACCATAAGTGCTAGTCTTGGGGCATAATTATACCAAACCTAGAACGCTGGCTCTTGATCTTTCTGTGTGTGTCTGTAGTCCTGCAAGGGCGCGCTTTTGGGATGCAACTCTGCTACGGCTTCGAGCTCATCACGGCATACTGATGAGATCAGACCACAATCGGTGTTTTGGCGAGGTAAGTTTTTATTCAACTTGCTCGTGGCAGTAGCCCAAAAGACCGGAGAGCATCATTGCAGTGCCGTTGATTAGGAGATTGAAGCGTTGCTGACTATCTTTCAGGCTATACTGGGCGCAGATCGAGAATGAATCATCGTACAGGACCAGAAAGGAGTGACTGTGAGCATGTTGACGCCATAGAAACTGGTATGCAGTAGGCCGTTGAATTAGACCTCTCTGAGAATCCATCATTTGCCACGGGGCAATCGTGAGACCACTACCGCTGGACCTCTCTTCCTCCCCGCTCCAGGTCGACGTCTCGCCAGTCGCCGCCGCCGTGCTCCTCCGCGCCGTCCGGCAGGCCCATCCGTCAACCAGACGTTCAACACTGGGGGCGCGCGGGCTTCGACTAGATATACGATCCCGCAGCGGCAGCTAGCCGGCGGACCTGCTCGCGTACTCGGGCGTCCTGCTGTCGTCAAGTGACTTCAGCGACCCCTGCTGCGTCGTGGGCAGCAAGCCCGATAACGGTCTCGGTGCACCTCAGCTACTCTGACGAGTATGGTTCCTGAGGCCTCTGCTGGGCGTGGTGGACACCATCCCACGTTGCGGAGTGCCGGGGGAAGCGATGGGGATGGGCAGCAGGAAGGAGTTGGTGAGGATACAAGCCTTGCGAGCGATCACTGTGCTTCCGGGAGCGTCTGACTCTTCAGGTTCTGTGCTATGTTGGCTGCGTTGGTTGTGAGTGTACTGTTTTTCGTGAGACCCTTAAATGAGCAATTATGAGAGGCTGAGAAGGGGACAGGGAATGAAGGGCCCTGCGAGATAGCTGTATCCCATTATACACCTCTTCTTGTAAAGCCTCTTCTCATCTTCTTTATTTCCGGAGAGACTGAAGCACCTCGATGTCATAGGTAGTGTTCCCCCGTGACGGTCATATAGCGAGGCTGAGTAAAAGTGTAAAGGGGACTCAGGGAACCTCGACAGTTGAAGAAGATGACATCGAATCCGATCACAGAAATCCTCAAGTGCCAGCAGTTGGCACGTAAAGGATGAAGAGTCACTCATGCCGTTGCCTCGAGACAGCAGCCTCACTGTCCGGCCCCAAGGCTTTTCCCACCGACCATCTGGTGGCGGCCTATCCGGCAAATCTCTCAACCACCTGACTCATACCGCTACTGGATCGAGTGACGCAGCCCAAGACGTCGTTACTGGTGGGTGAAGTCATCGAATACAGGAAATCCAGGCGTTCACTTAGCTTGAAAAAGGGGGCCCAGGCCCATCAGAGAAAGAGCGACTGTAAAACAGAAAACCATAGGTTGTAGGGCTGGCCAGTCAGACCTTTGATACGTGGCTTTCGATCCCCAGATACCGGGGTGCGGATCGCCGTTCATAGTAGTCGGGCACCTCGTTACCAGCAGGTTACTTGGAGAAAGGGGGCCGCGGGCAGCTAATAAATCTAGACAGGATGCAGACCCCCATCTTGGAAGCACTCGAGAAAGCATTCCGCAGATTTAGATCTGTACCTTGCAGGAAACTCGACACACCAGGTAAGTTACCTAGTAGGTAGGTGAGTCTTACTAGTCGTCGAGGTTCTGGATTTTCCCAAAAGGCATCGTGAAAACACTGGTCGCGGCCCAACTGTCGATGTACGCAAATTGGCCTAATCCGTCGTGGACCAGATCGATTGGACACGTCCCCTTCACATGCCGGGAGCATCCTCACACAGTGGCCCAAGTTTCTACCCGAGTGTCAGACTCGTCATCTTCTCACCCTAGCGAACACAAATCCGTGATAATCAATTTTCGCTCGTGGGTGTTCAACACATGTAAGGGAAGGAGGGGTGGTCCTAGGCTGCATGCAGCCGACGTTCGAGATGTACCGCAGACACGTTTGGAAGGACGAAAATTGCAAAACCACGCAGAGATATGCGCCCACAGCTAGGTAGTGCGCGGCTTACCCTCCAACTCCAACACCCCTAGTATCTACACAGGGCAGGCAGCCAATGGGGACTCGACGTATCGCGTTCCGACGCAACCCTCCCTCAGAGAAAGATGTGCAATCTGCATTCCACTTGGAGACGTAAGCATATATGTCGTGGGACCAGAGGTTTGCGCACCTTTGGGTGGGTACAGTACACGGAAATCCTGGATGGTGGTAGTGGCTAACTGTGACTGCAAGCTGGTGCAAGGTGCTGGACGTAGTGGAATGCAACAAATGGCGGCGAGCATATAAAAGGCCGCATTATACCCACAAACCAGGAGGATCATATGATGGCAGGAACCCGGTCGACCCAGGAAGCAAGCAAGAGAGAACAAAAGACCCAGAACGTGTGAGAGCCTTACTTGCTGAAGCTGCTCATGCCTCACCGAACGCCTATTGACATGTCAAACGTCGATAGGCCTCTTGTTTACGACACAGAAGCCCACTGATGCGGTCGGTATTGATTCGAAGAGTAGGCCGGCAAGGCTCCTCCCTAAGGGCTCACGTGAAACGTTCAACGATCTTGTGTCAGTGCAGTTGAAGGTAGATTGTATGTTGTTACGAAGATGCCGGCCGCAGACGATCCGGAAGCTGGCTGCCTGTAGGCGCTACCAGGTGGGTTGCTCTGTGACCGTTTCCCCGCACACACTAGACGGGGCAAAGGATCCGATAGCCTGCCTGGAGACCGACGATCTCGATCGAGAAGCCGGCTGGCACCAGCCATGCCACTAGTAGGATATGTAGATGGAACTGATGGGCCGGGCCGCAAGACTAGTGTTGCTGACTACGAGATAAGCTTGATGACGACTCACGAGATGCACTTTTTCGATGAAGACGACAGTGAAGCGTCGACAAAACCTACTTGGCGGGGTGCTCTTGTCATGGTGAAGCATAAACTCCTGAATTAGGTAGGTGGTAGAATGAATCTCGAACAGTTCAAGCGAAGGGGATAGGTATGCTCGTGAAAGATGTGGTATTCGTTTATATCAGATGATAGATGGTGCCTTCCCACAATTCCAAACTCCGGGGTATCATAAGTGTGCCAAAGCGTATGAGACTGCTGCAAATAAACCAAGCACGACTCCAACCGATGTGGGTGTTCCGCATCGACAAGGGAAATTACATGGGGGTTTTGTGCCCGTTCGAAAGACGCCCCCTCCCAAATAGGACCTCAAAGTGAAGAAACTCTCCATGAGACGAGACTGAGTATTTTATTACGACCATGGTCCCGTCGCAAATGATGCGCCGCATGGAATCTGGAACTCCACAGGCAAGCCTCATGGCCAAGCCTCCTCGATGTCCCAATGCTTCAAACCATCCAACTGACCGGAGTCGGAATATGTTCTCGAAGGGTGATCGTTTTTTGGGTCGACGGACGCTGAGCTCCGCCCCGCGTAAATGTTCTCGAATAGCGCGGGGGGTAAGTTGGCAGCCTGGTCGCGCCACCAGAAGTGAAGCACGTCCTGCTGCCAACGATCGATATCAAGGATCTTGAGCCGCGAACGGAAAGTACACCACAGAAGTTCAGCCTCCATGGCGGAGAAGTGGAGCTTGTGAAGTAGCCAACGGTTGATGTAGTCACTCTTGTCTCCTGTCCTGGTCTCGCTGAGAAGCAGGTGGATGTTGACTTCACGAGCCGCATCGTCGATGTGCTGCTCCCTCGTCGGCAAGGTAGAGGGTAGAGAAACAGCCATCCTTAGAGACTCCGTTGGCGTCTGGGGGAAGCTCTCGAGCAGATGCGTCGGGTTGGAGAGAAGGCTTGGGAATACGGGATGGGCCAAGGTCTTGGGATAACCTCTTGAGTGGATGCTATCAGACGGTTCGGCTCCAAGGCTGATTTCGTCCCTGGAAGTTGGGTCGCACCCAAAACCGCCCTGCCGAAAGGGGCTATCCTCCGGCATGACACCCTGCTCTAAACATTTGCTTTCCAGATATTGGGCCCTATCCGTAAAGACCCCAACGTCTGCAATTGCCTTCTGCTCCAGGTCATGGTATTCCTGGAGTTCTTCCAGGTCCTCTTCCGTCATAAGCTCGGAGCGCCTCAATTCGAGAGCTCTCTTCTTCCCGGCACCCCCATAAGTCTGAAGCAGGTCGAGGCTGTCCTCAGATAGAGTCTGAGACTTCCTCGCGCCGAAGGCCATCTTTTTCATTTTGGTGTTCGCCAAGAGCTCCTTCGCTAGTTGTAGATCTCGGACAGTTTCCCGAAGCTGTTCGAACAGGGGATGAAAAACCTGGGGGCGGTCGCCAGTGATGCCCCGTAACGCTATGTCTCCAGTAGCTTGTGAGCAACTGTCATCGTCCGTCTCATCACCGAGTGCTATGCTGGTTGCGCCTGCGGCAATGAGGAATTTCGTTTCCTCGGATTCGAGTTCGGCCTCGCCATTCTGGAGGTCGTCTATCATGTCATCGAAGCGTTGCTCTGCCTCTTGGCACTGGAGCAGATTCGTCTGCATGGTCCTGAACAGTCGGTCTAGTGCTTGGGTGTGCGGCAGAACGGCTTGCACAGCTGCCATAAATGCGCGGTCCGCCTCGTCTTTCCTATGACGCAAGTCCTGGACCTGGGTCCGCTTGGACCGGATGCTAGCGAAGACATCACCTAGCACCGCTCTTCTATGTCGCAGCTTCGCATATTGGTCGGCCAGCCGTTGCAAATTTCCCTTTCCCGGTTGATCGCTATATTCATGGTCCTCGTCCTCGTCCACATCACCGAGGCTCCCATATTCGAAGTCGTCTTGCTCGTATCCCAAACCTGGAAGCTCATCAGTCGAGTCATCTTCAGAAATTTCCAGCCCCCGTTTTACTACAGCCAGCTTCCATGTGGGATCGTAGGTACTGGTCTGAGCCCATACAGCTTCACTGAACCTAGAACTTGGCCGTGTGGGGTCTGGCGTTGGGGAGTGGGTTTCGAATGGACTAGCACGAGCGATTGATACCAATCGGGTTTGAGGCAGAGACGGGGGCCGCGGCGGTGGCGGCGGTGGCGGAGTCTTGAATCGGCGCGTGTGTTCGGATGGTGATCGGGACTCGGGAGGGCTTTGGAGCCTGTGAGCCGACTTGCTGCGCGGAGCCAAGCGCGGCTCGATGGTAGAGATGGTGGCAGCCAAGGTCCGGGGCAGGCTCCTGGACACGAAGACGGAAGAGTGAACGGATGGCGGGCCAAAGGGAGCTCGCGACCGCTGCGTGATGCCATGAGTGTTGTTTGTGGTGGCTGACGAGTCATCGTCGGAGTCGGTCCAACCCTCCTCCTCCCTCGCGGTACCGCGGGAAAAAGTCACAGTGCTATTGTCGGCAGTCATGTCGGACACCTGGCTTGCAAACTCGGCGACATGCTCGGAGTCTTCACGTTGTAGGTCATGGTGAGGGCTGACGGCAAAGCCCAGCCCGGCATTCACAGATGTATGCTTGAGAGTTGCATCCATCCAGAGGCTGACAAGCGGCAGCAAGGCGGCGGCATCTCAGAAGCAAGAAGCAAAAATGTAATATTTTGGTGCAGTGCCCATTCACAGTGCCAAGAGCTGATGTCTATGGATGAACGCGGTGGGCGCGTCAGGTAGGTAGGAAGTATGTAATGGTGTAATGGTGGGAAGCTGAGGCTCGAAGCCCTAGAATTAGAATGCCAGATTCCATAAAAATTGGAGGCTTCTACCCTGCATCCAGAAGGGCTGGGATACAGGGGCTGGATAAAGCGTGTCGGCACTGTCGGGGTGTCGGTGTAACTGCCCGTGTAACTTACTGTACTGGTACCTACCTACTGATCAATACTGCCGGACTGGTTCCGTCCTATCAGTTTCTTACATGTAAGCAGTAACCTTCCACTTCCAGGGCAACTTCGGGTGATACCTTATGTCGTGTTAAGTAACCCGGGATCCTACCGTTCGCACAGCACAGACACGACGAGCCCTACGGAACTGACTGACCGACACGGACCATGCAGTCTTGAAATCCTTCGGGTCCGATCAGTAGCCAGCCAGTATTTCAGTGACAGGTTGTCGAGGAGCTAAGCTGTACAAGCAGTCAGCATGCGCGTATATGTACGAGCTATGCAGTCCCAGGCTCTTGTTCCAAAAATCGGAAGGAAACAGGACATCGACAGAGCCTCATCGCGTGGACCGGAGCGCTCTCCCACTTCCCTCCAAGCCCTCTCCCTGCTGGCCCACCCACCTACGCGCATCTTCACCCACACCCACACCCGCAGCTGGCCGGGCAGGGGTCACAGAGAGAGTGACTCCGTTCCCCGACCAGATGGGATGGGGGTGCATCGCTAACTAAACCACTTACGGCTGGTGATATACCAAGTGGTCGTCGGCTGATGGGCTGATGGGTCTGAGAAGTCATCTCCTGTTCCCTTTGGTCGGCTTGCAGCGACGGACGCGCAGAAGACGCCCAAGAAGTTCAGAACTTAAGCACGCCTCCTCTTCCTCTATCTACTGTGGCACCACTCTCGCCACTCTCACCAGCGACCACAGCACTCCTCCGCGGACACCCTTGCACATCGACCCTTGACAGCCTACACTCCACAGGCCTAATAGAGTCCTGTGGGCCTCCGCCTCCGGTTGCTTTCCACTCACTCGGGGCCCGGTGGTGCTCCCAAAGGACACGGGCAAGGGAGCGAAGGGGAGTGAGCCTGTAATTTCCACATCTCTGATAAGAACGCACCCGTTCCCCTCTCCGACATTTCTGGTATTGTATGTTCCGTTGTCTCTTGCGACAGCGGAACCACATTCGGTCTCTCTTCTGCCGCCGTTCTGCCTTTACCTAGGCACCGTACACACCACCTCATCAGCCTAGGGGAGAGTCAAGTGAACAAGTTTGTTGCTTGCATTCTCCAACCCCAAGGTTACACCCACCGTCGACGAGAGCGTTGAGTGCTTGGATGCGCGGCCAATCCATTGTGTGTCTGCCACTCAAGGGGAATGCACACCGTCGTCCCTAAGCCCTCCACCTTGCCCATTGGAGGTTGCCTATGACCCCTGATCAGTTTGTCTCTGCATTCCCACATCGTCTCTTCTATATGACTCTTGCTGCAAAACCACTACAGCTCTCTTTTGCCGGGGGTCGACCAGGTCAATGACCTTTAGCCGAATGCCGTGTGTGTCACAGGACTCCCAGGGCCACTTGAGTCGTCAAATCAGATGGGTTGATACTATCCCCAGAGATACCTATATACCCAACGTCTTGCCGTAGTGTGCAGCGACCAGGTCCCACTCCTGACCGGCCTCCAGAACCAATACCTGCCCAGCACATCGCAGACGCCGGGACAGCGTGCCAGTAACAGAGCCGCATACCTGGGTAGCTGATTTAAGGGCCAGCCACAGCATCGCCTCATCTCTCAAGTTGCTTGTGATAGCTGCCGTTGCCGCCGTTCATGGCCTGAGCTGCGCCCTCCTGTCCTCCAGCATTCCAATAGGAGTCCACAGCCGCAAGATGTTACAATGCAACAGTATAAGAGCAAATCAAAGCCTTCCCGCTCGTGGAGCGAATATAAGTGGTCAGAACAATACAAGCAGTGGTACTCCGAGCGAGTAGATCGGCATGGTACGTCCCCGTGGCTCTCTCATTCCACTCGCTGCGTACTGAACAACCATTCAAAGGCAATCTCGAGTACTCCTGGGCCGGGTCTGCCCAACCCGCCCAAAATGACCAGACAGTCCCTCGCTCCGACCTCTCGATCAATCCCATTGACCACATAATCGACGGTGTTGCCAACCTCGGTGTTAGTCGTGCTACTTATAGCCAAGGCCAATCTATCGACTATCAAGGCCAACATGCCTCCAACGATCCTGCCAGTAAGCTTGACTGCCCAACACGTGGATCCCGCGAGCACTGGGACTGACATAGTGATCCGTAGCTTTCAATCCTGCCACTTCACCGAGCTACACTCATAGCGGCCACTCGCAATCTCGGAAGGGCAAGGGCAAGGAGGTCGCAGCCAGCAAACAGGGGAACTATACTCATGGTCATCATCAAGACGCTCCACGCCAGGCCATGAGCTCCAGCGCGGTACCCTCAAGCTCATATCAGGCTCAACCACATACACAATGTGAGTATCCATGACGGATGACCGCTTGCCATAATACAGAGAGGCTCACAGTCCCAGATCAAACCTCGAGCCTCGGGTCTAGTGGTGGGCGCGGAACAGCACCATCGATGTCACCCAGTGTCAATCTTGGACAGCAGCCAAACACGTATTACTCGGAGCGAAACGATTATACTGCCGAGGACCTAGCATACGAAGAAGCCATACGCAGGAGTAAGGAGAAGTATCAAGGGCAGAGCAAGTCTGGCGAATCATCAAATGCTGCAAATTCAACATATGGCACAGGATCTACGGCTTGGCCCACTACCGTCGACCCTGGCACGTACGCTGCAAGTTAGTCTCGCCACTGAAGCTTTGAAGGCTTCGAGCTGACCCGGAAATAGACCCCGCTGTCGTGGCAGACAATGACACAACGCCCAGGGGCACCCCAGTTCCTTCATCTGCTGGGCCAGCACCGGCATCATATTCCAACTACATCCATGGGACCCCCGGAACCGAGGAACTCCTGGACAGCCGTATGTGGCTCCTAGCCGCCCAAGTCCCTTGTACTTGCTAATTGTCATCAGGCTTCAGAGTAGAGTACTCAGGCAGGTTTCAACCGGGTGAGGTAAGTGGCCAAATCCAACCCCCGAATGGTGCTCCTGTATTCATGAGTGGCTAACCGCTGGTCTCAGGTCTTCAAGATACTATGGGCTGAGCCTCTTGGCCAAGTTGGGATGGACGACCCGATTTCCGACACCAAGGAGCTAAAGACCCAAACAGGACGGTTCTATGTTGGCTTTAGGAGGTTCATCATAGTGACCACAGACGAGAGCCATCATAGTACCTGCGTGTAAGTCTGCCGCCTGCATCAGGATTCCGCAATGTACTGACTGCTAAGGCCAATCTTGACCTACGACCGAAGAGGCTGTGGGAAGCGAGGTGTGAAAGCCAATAAACACGGCATCATCTACGCGGCAGGAAGCAAGCCGAGACTTCTCAGAGACGAACCGTCTCTCGGGTTCTCCCCAGTGGCTCTCAGCATCTACGCGGAAGGCGAGAAACTCGCAAAGGAGTCTCGAGTCAACTACTCCAAGCTAATCACCATCGAGCACAATGTCAAGGTCTTCTTCATAGGCTCGATTGCGCAGGACCATTTCGAAAATGTCCGGTACGCAGTCAACGACTGCTGGGACAAGAAGATGCACAGGTCATCTACGAAGAAGCCCAAGCGATAGGGTGACCAGGCCTTCACTCGGACTTGAGCACCTGTCAAATGTTCTTTCTTTCTGCCTTTGAGCCAACTTCGGGCTGTCAACGACGCCCCCTCATTACGTTGATCAGGGAGATGCCCTGTTATTTCTGGCTGTCTCGAGCCAGTCAGCCTCTCACCAGGACCTCCCACGCAAACCGCGTACTCCCCCCTACGGGACACCACACCCCTAATTCTCGAACGATTCACACACTCGTACGCTATAGAGACTTGGACCAACAGCACAATGGTACGCAAGGACCAGCAGCCGCAAGAGTTTTCACTCTGCGGCAAATAACGAAGCCTGCCCGCGAGCATGGCTAAGCATGGAAACACAGTACATGACAGTCATAACGGAACGAACAGGGTGGTGGACGTCTGGAGCGACGGGCTGCACGATATTATGACGCTTTTTTGCTTGCGATTTTTCTCTGTAATACTCACAAAAATGTCCGTCGAGGTTTGTTAAGTGTGCCTGCCTGTCTACATTTTATTTTTCAACGAATACGATGTTATTATCCCATCCATATCTCTCTGCTTCTGTATCCTAAAGCGATACCTGATAGCTACTCCCCCTTTCATTAATGAGAAGATATGCCCTAAGACCTGATATGTATTACGGATCCAGACGTGAACCTAGTTCTCATTGAAGAGGTCGATGCCATCCATGCCTGTGCATATCAATAATGACTCAGCTACACTCAGCCCTCACAAGTCTCCGTACGCACCATGTTACTAAGACTCCAGATCACACGTGGGAATCCGGAAATACTGGAATAACCATACGGGTATAAGCAGCTTTGGTTTAAAACGCTACCTCAATGCTTATTCCACCATGCTTATTCCGATTCGATGAATACCGTTGTTTGCAAGGACGGGTGGTATACGGAGACTTATGAGGGTTCAGTGTAGATGATGATGACGATGGGTGTTGGCCTTTAGAATGACGTGTGCTCCTCTGCTTGCGCTACTTTATAGCGATACAGGGATCGACGTATTGGATAGAGGTGAAGTGGGCTCTGACAATAAACTCAAGTAGGGTACGTGTTATTTGCTCACATGGGATTGTTTGCCTCACTGGCGTGTAGCATGCTTCCATCTGCTGAACGGGTATCTAGTCCATAGCAAGCGGTACGATAAACTCACACACACAAGCACTGCCAGGGAATCACTCTTGCTCATCCTCACATATGCTTCGTGATACAGACCTTATGCATCTCAGATATACATGTATGAACTGACCCCTCCATGTCTCTGTGCCTTTTGGTAGCTTTCCCAGATGCTGATAAATCACAAGTCTTGTTGTAATCTATCAGTTGTCTGGGTGGTGCTTGATTAACAGGTCGCATGGAAAGGATTCCATCCGAGATGTATCTAAATACATAAATTACAGTGGTGAGGTACCTGGGGCAACAAAGGGTTGCCAGGCAGCCTTCATTAGGTAACCTCCAACATATCTGGTGGGGTTACCAGAATACTCCATATGGGTCCATGCACTGGATCCACATCTCTACCTGAGTTACCTTACCTTAGGTACATATGTAATCGGTATCTGCCGCTGCAGAAAATCCGGGGTATGAGGACCCTGAAGTCGACCCTGAAAGCGCGACACTTTAGCGTTTCGTTAGCGTCGGCTCCCGGTGAACCTTCAAAAGATGAGATTTCTATTTTCGACAGCATCTGACCTGTGCTTGAGCCTCATCCTCCGCAACCGCCCTTGCCTGGGCAACTCAAATGTGCCAGTCGCAATATTGATCCCAATGGAAGCCGTACGATCCCTCCTTCTACTTACCTTCCACCAAACCACATGCACCCACGCGCATGTCCATTTCACCTGAGGCTTGCTTGCTGCGGTACCTGATACCGCACCCTTGACAACCACCTGCACCTGGCACCGGCCTTCTCCCGCACTAAAAACAACAACCTACTAACTCGTCCGTGCTTTATTGTCGCCTCAGGTCTTCACCTTCAAGCATCCGATAGATCCAGAGTGACATTGGCGACAAGGCTTTTCCATCATCACAACCCCCCTCATTCGTTCCTTGTCCCTTGTCGGAAGGTTGCACCGACCGACGGCTTCCCGTCCCCAAACATTCTATCCGACATCGACGCTCCCTTCAGATAAACCAGCATTCGCGTACTGCATCGCGCATTGCATGATGGCTTCCAGTACCCCTGGTAAGTGCTCCCCTTTTCTCCTTCCGCCGTCCCAGCCCCTGTCCCAGCCCCCAGCCCAACAAGGCGAGTCAGGATGCCAAGTAGCAAGCAGATCACCAATGGCCGACTGCCAAAGGCCTCGGCTTGAACAAAATCATTCGGGTGAGTGATGCGATGCGATGCATCCACTGATACTGGACATAGGCATGGGCTGGCCAGCAGCGAAGGTGCCTATTGAGCTCTTCATCCTCATCGCCGTGCACCTCGATGATCGGAGTGATGTCCAGAATATGCGACTCGTCAGCCGTGAATTCAATGCAAAGCTGGCCGCTGACTTCTTTCGAAACCTGGTCGTCCATTTCGGTCGTGACCTTTACACCACTCTGGATATCGCGCCCTCGCCCTCTGTGAGATCTTCTTCTGTCGACATCACCAACCGGCTGATGGAAACCACCACCATATTCGATGTCTTCGGCACAACAATCCGTCGCTTTGGGCTCGCGCTTGAACTGACCGACGAGGACCTTGCTGCCTCGAACGACGACGACCCCCTTGTCCTGCACAAACGCCCATGGGGGATGTACAGATGGCCCAGAACAGCGTCTCCCTCACTTCTGCAGAAAATCGCCGTGTCCTTGGAGGACTCGACTGGCGTCTGTCGCATCTTGAGACGCCTGAGTCGTGTCCAGGAGCTCGCCTTGTCGTGCGATGGAGGGTTGGGCTACCTCCGCGGTCCCGACACCAACCGGTTGGCACTGTCCCAGAAGCCCGCTGTGTTTGGTGATCCGAACCTCAATCCAGGTCACCAAAGTGCCCCACCTCGACTCGATTCTGATGGTCCGTCTCAGTATGAGAGGCTTCAGCAGTCGATGCTTGCTCACGGCATCGCCCCTGATTCTGTTCTTGCCGAGATCCAGAAGCTTCTTAAAAATGAGGGCAAAACTCTGGAGGACCTCGCCTCGGAAGGACGCCAACGGTGCCCATTGCCTAGAGACCGTCCAGGGCGCCGTGGCCTGGTACGCGAGTGCGATTGTTGTAAAGCTCGATCCAAGACACTCCGTTTGCAGCCGGATATGCTCACGGCCGCCCAAAGACAGATGTTGTTGCATCATCTATCAGCCCATCAGGCTCTCATTCAGTCTTACTTGCTTGGAGTCATTGACAACGCAACCACATTTGTCAACCTGACCAATATCAAGATCGCAAGCCTGCCTAGCTTCCACGTCGAGTTGTTGTGCCGGGACGAGTTTTGGTCCAAGCTGCCGAACCTTGAGAAGGTGTCACTAGCGATTATCCCTGACTGGAGAAAAGTGGCAGAACTTGGTCCAGATTCAGTGAAAGAATCACAGGTCTATCCTACGGACGCAATGCCCAAGGTCTTCAACTTGTTGCAAAACTACATCGGTAAACAGCAAGGCATCAAGCATCTCCATTTCGAGTGGCTTTGTGGTGGGGAACTGGCACCTGGCCGACTACAGAGAAACAGGCACATCTTACCGGCACCCTTTCTCAAGGAACACTTGAGGGTCTCGGACTCGCGGCCCGAAAACCTCCTCATTCTGCCTTTCGTCACGCACCTGTCGCTCAAGAACTGCTGGTTCGCGCCTCACGTATTCTTCCGCATCATACGAACAATGGCAGCAAACTCGCTCCAGTCACTTGAGCTCGAGACAGTATCACTCACTGGACCTCCGCACCCCAAGGGCGTTAGGGGTGGAAGAGCTCCACGGGATCGTCACAACGGCGGACAGGCAGGGGCTGCACAGGCAGGTGCTGCACAAGCAGGCGCTGCGCAGGCGAATGCCTTCCAAGTGCTTGTCGCACAAGCGATTGCCGGACAGGTGAACGCTGGCAACAACTTGCCGCCCGCCCTATTGACTCTTCGAAACGCTATAGCACAGCGAGGCTTGATACTTCCAACCAACATATTGAGGAGTATTAGTACGTACCTGGGTGAGCCTGTCGACGACGACTCGGAGCCCGTAGAGGAGCCTCCCACGCTGTCTTGGGCTCATATCATTGATATGCTCACGCCGGGTGAAACCATCCGCGAGACTCTGCACCAACAAGAAATGATAGCCGATCCCCTAATCGAGCCACTTCATCTGAAGAAACAGCTCCACCTCCGAAGACTTGCTTTCAAGTCATGTGGATACGTCACAATCCCCGATAATCGCTTCATTTCCGATCGTCCTCTCGAAGCTGGAGCCCTTGACGGCATTAACGGGTGGGAGGTTCACCGCAAGGAGGCCCAGCCACACTGTCTGAAGTGGTTCATGCAAGTCAACACAGATAGGCTCCTCGGACGCACAAGCTCCTTCCTGGGTAAGAAAGAGCAGCTGGCTATGAGAAGAGTCTTCCGCTTTCGAACAGGGTGGAAAGACGTATATGACGATCGAGTCATAAAAGCGGCGAAAGAAGACGGGATAGTTGCTCCTGGTAAGGGTCGCTTCAGTGGCGAGATCGAGTACCACCCTACGCCCACACCGCTCGAACGATACGCAGGCACTTTATATGCGGCGGACGAGGAAGAGTAAGTCACCCCCTGATGTTTGCCCTTTGCGTGCTTTGTGACATGTATTGCCTTGTTGTGGGGAGCCGTCCTTGACACGTGCGGAATCTGAATGATCAAGTCCTGGATGAATAACTTACTGATCAATTACTATAGTGGTGTGGAGTACGTTGAGGATTACAACACCCTGAGCCTTCACAACGATTATGATGATGAATTCGAGCTTGCAAGGTTACAGAAGGAACTGGAGGAAGAGGCCCATTATCAGCCGGCCCCTCCTCGACAAAGGGCCGGTCGGCTACGGGGTGGTAATAATGGAGGTGCCAATGACGGAGGTGCCGGTGACGGAGGTGCCAATGGCGGAGGTTTCGTCTTGGTTGTCGATGGATTCTATGAAGACGCTCTCGATTGATCATTGTTACTGACGACGGTCTATGCATGCGGGCAGAGTCCCGAACCTTTGATGGTCTCAAGGATCGCGTATGCATACCACCCTAGAGTATCAGCCGTCGCGCTGTATATTGCGGTATCCTTTCGGATATTTGTTTGATTAGTATGGTTGTTGGCGTCCCTTGTTGGCGTCCCTAGCGTTGCACAATGTCAAGTGTGGAATTCTGAATCATAGCTGCTGTGTTAACCGTCGATCAAGCCAGTCGCCCACGGATCAACATCGCCTTCGGGCTGGTCTAGTATGACGATCGAAACATACAGCTTTCCGTTCCTAGCGAAACGCATACACGTGCAGCAGCACGTCCTCTTTTTTCGCTGCTGCTCATTCGCGTTACGGGCCGTGACCCTTGCGTGGTCCAGCCAAGGCTCTTGTGAGAAACGAGTAGTAAACTATACTTGCCTTTGAATGGTCCTGTATCAGCTGCTGCGATACTTGGCAGCTGATGCCGAAGCTACACTAAACCCTCATAAGTATCCGTATACTCCTCATCTACCAAGCGAAAGGTTGCGTTTATTATAAATAGAATAAACAAGCTGGAATAAACATTGAAAATAATTTTATAGCTATGAGCTGTTTATCTATGTTTGCTTATTCCAGTGTTTCCAAGGTTTTACGTGTGACGTAAAATTCTTTCAACGTAGCGCATACGAAGACTTATGAGGGCTGAGTGTACCTAGCAAGATGCTCGTCGAGAAGGCTGTGCCGATGAAGGACAAGACGAAGACGAACGTTGAAGATCACCGATAGAACGTACCAAGAGGATTAGAAGAGCTGGTCGTTCTACTGTTGTTTGGATAGGATGGGAGCGCGAGCGTTGAGCACCGTGTAGTGTACTTGTGGCTGTTCAGTTGGGCGTGATAACAGCAGATAAGTTGTTGCATGAAATTGTGTAGTTGCAAAACCAGGTGATGGGTGACCATGCAGATACACTTCAGATGCAGACTTGATACTTATCTCTCTTCGCAAGATGATGTCGTAGTAGCGAAAAATACTTGTGAGCGTGTGCAGACAAAGAATAGCCACGACACCAAGAAAGCCCCCATATCAGCCAGCTAACATGCCCGCAAATCAACAAGGTGAACATGTGAAACCCTCCAACCAAAGAGAGAAGCAAGAGAAATTTACCCGTCCAAACATGGCGTATCTCCAATCTCCTCATAGACCACGGATGCACTTTGCAGGCTACACGATACCATCTCCTATGGACCGCTTGGTGGCGCACCGCCACTGGCCGAGGGGTCCGCGAAGCCCGGCTTCGCCGACATCGACGAGCCACTAGTGGCATACGTTCAAGGACGCGCTCGACGGACGAGCAGACCTCAACGACATGAAGGGCTGGACCACGACGCTGGACTTTGGCAACGTGCCCCCGAGCGCGGGCTGGAGCGACGACACGCTCAAGGGCCCGGAGATGAAGAGCGAGCTGTTCGTCGACGGCTTGAACGGTTGATGGCAACCTCCGAATGGGGATCCCACCCAAGGAACAAGTACGGGGGTTCGATTCATGTCGACGACGAAGGAAGTTCACCGGTTTTCCACAAGTACATAACTGGATAGGTGAGGGTGAACACTGGAGTCTGGTCAACATGTTACTCCGTAACATGGGAAAAAGACCGCATTCGGTTTACTGAGACATTCGTCGAGTGTTAATTCCACAGGTGCGTCTGTCGTTGGCGACCGTGGCTGATATATACATCCATCTTACTCTTATAGTACAGCCGGATTAGAAAGCCCCCTTTCTTACCAGGTTAACCCGTCACCTGCACCCCTGAACGCCGCCGCCACCGTTGTAGCTCAGGGCCCTCCCCTTGCCATAATCCAGACCGCCGAATAAGCTGAGGCTAATGATCCAAATGAAAATACAATAGTGTCGTGATTAGCTGTTTGTCCTCGGGAGAGAAAAAGCTAGGGAGTTGCGACCACTGACTGTCCTGGACGAGAGTCGATAATACGCTTGTTCATCTGATTTCAGAGTTGTCATAGTGACCGTGCCATACTTCAGGCGTCTTCCATGGGAGGCTGGACGTGTCCGCCATCAACAATGATCTGTAGGTCGATTCGCTTTTCGGTATCGCCGTATTCGAGTCGCTTGTAAGTCTGGATACGGGCTTCGTTCATATCTATGTCGAAGAATCGCACAGTCCGAACGAAACCTTCGTAGTTACCGTACCCGCCGAAACCAGCGCCGCCAGCGTAACACATCCACAGCTCCGGCCTTTGCTTCTCCTCGTCGGTAGAGAGCATGCAATACTCATTGGCGTGGTCACTAAAAATGACATTAGACAAGCAATCGGTTTATGGTGAGCACGTATACTTACTGTCCGCAGCTGACCATCACGATACCCTGCTCAACCAAGGCATCACGGAATCCCGAGTTGAAAGTCGGGGCTGTTACACCTTCTCTCCATCCACCGACGAACGGATTTTCCACGTCTCTATATTCTGGGAGAGGTATGTGGATGAAGGCAAGATCCATGTGGATGTGAGTATACTCCTTGTGCTTCTTCTTCAAGCTAGAAGCAGTCTGTCTGAACCAATCGATTTGGTTCTTCTTGATCCAGTCGTAGCCGCTGAATTGTCGTTCATCGGGCGAGTATGAATGTGTATCAAGTAAGTAGATGGTGAGCGCTGAATGCTTTGAGGTTCCCTGCGCTAGAACCTCAACATAGTAATTGCCAACCCCATCGATGTCATCTGGGCCAGCAGCAGACAACGAGTAGGGCAGCTGTTCGATGAGAGCCATCTGCCCAGCTCTAGGTAGGGTGCCACCTTCGTCGTCATGGTTGCCGAAGATGGACACGTAGGGAATTTTGCGCTTGATCAGTAGCTGGGCGTATTTGAAAATCGCCTACATACGTTAGTGTCATATCAGTCTTTGGTTGCGGTTAGGTTTCCTACCGTCTGAGCATCAGGCGCAGTATCGCCGTTCACTTGGTCACCACTGAGGACGACCAGATCTGGCCTTTCGTCGTCGAGGAGTTTCGAGACAAAGTCAAGGGTCCGCAGATCCGCCAAACACTTCCCGCCTTCGTATTCGTCTGGGATGGCATCTCTGCAGCGACCTACACCTGTGCTCAAGTGCAAGTCGGCCAGCTGCATGATCTTGAACTTCCCGTTGTCCTTCACCCGCGGCTGCGGCTTCGCCGTCTCCTCGTGGCTGCCTCGCCGAACCGTTATGTGTGGGACAGGTATTTCGGTGTTGGCGTCCAGTAAGAGGGGTGTGTTTTGGAGCTGCCACCCGTCGCGGACTTCCACCGCGTCATCGCCGAAGAGCACGTCGACGGCTGTGATGGCCTTCTTGGAGTCGCTCGCATTTGGTTTGGCAGATCGCAATATCCATAGCCCGCCTGGCCTCGACTCCCACCGCACATCGGCCTGGCCCTTGACCCCCGTAGAAGGATCCAGCCGTCCGACAGTGACGTCAACAACGACCTTGTCATTGGCAGTCAGCTCCTCCTCTTTCTTCCTTCGGACGTGAACGTATGCGCTGGACGTCCATGCCTGATCCAGATACAGGTCTTTCTCGACGCGGTGCCACACTTCGGGATCGAGTTTGCAGGAGGAAAATATGTTCACGGTGGAGCATTGAGCTATGGTTATGTCGATGATGATGAGTCCGTGGTGGTGCTGCGGCATATACTCGTGGACGGCATTGGGAAGAAGTCGGAAGTTGCGGTCGAGGAAGAAAATGACAATGAAGGCGAAGAGGGCATAGGCGGCGAGCTTGGACGTGGTGCGCACCTGGGGCGAGAAACACGGTGTCAGCCTGTAAGACTCTCCGAAATTGAAAGGAGACACGGAGCGGGTTGGGAAGAGTTTACTATGCGTCGCGTCACCATCATGCTGGCGTTGGGTGAGGGCGATCAGGAGTTGGCTCTGGCCCGACTTTTCGTGGGTGTATCAGCACAGCGAGAGAAGAGTAGCGAAAGGTGCCGCCTGCTAAGGATCATCTTCGACCATGTATGTGCATATCATATGTCGGTCCGTAAAGAAGCAAACCAAATGGCCAAGGCGTTGGTCGAGGTGCTGGAATGATGGAGACTGAGTCTTGGGCGAGGACGAAGACGAAGACATAGACGCAGACGTCGTGTCGTGGTGGACGCGAAGGGGTCAATGTGGGTGCTCTACGGGAAAAGCAGGCCCCTGTACCAGCTGCCAGCTGCTCTACCCGTAATCTGGGGTATTCATACCGATAAGGTGACCTTCCTTACCTTATCGGTACTAGGAAAAGGCGGTCGGCGGGCCTTCATGTTTTAGTGTCTCGGTCCCACTCCTTCTTCTCTGCTTCCAACTCTTCTCTACCTGCCCGCCTGATACCTTGAATCCTTCACACCTGTGACCTAACCAGAAACATCTGTATGGGTGAACCGCCTCGCCCTGGCAGATTCAATTGACAGCCATACCGATCACATAATCTCAAGAGCCCGAGCCTTGCTCTGAATAGGGAGTGAGACCCGAATTGCGAAGAAGCCAACGAATTTCAAGAAGAATACCATCTACATGATGCCCATCTTATAACGCATCCTTTCACATCATGCCTTATTGACTGCTTGAATTGATTGATGCTGTTCGAGATGTACCGTGTTGGCGTTTGTCATGGTGAGGAGTCATCGCATATATCTTCGAGCAGGCTTTTGGGATACCGCAACCATGTCGGTGGTTGGAACCCAAGCCACAGTTGGACAGCATACAATGTCTGGTCTTTCTAGTGGTTTCTGGTATTGAGACATGAAGAATACAAAACCCAGTCAAGCGGAAATCCCTATCGAGAGAATTGCAATGGTATAATAAGTAAGATGTTATGTTACTGGCCATGTAGGACTCGCCTCTACCAACCTCCAATAGTCAGTCGTTAGGGTGCCCCTGTCTCGAGGGTGGATGTAGTGGAATCGAGGGGAGACGTTGACATGGCAGCTTACAAATTTAGTCAAGGTGGCTCAGCGAGCTGCAACCAACAACATGAACGACTTTGGCTTCGCACGGCACCATGAAAAGGGAACCATGACTGCATACAGCAAGGCAGACTAGAACCTCCAGAGAAGTCAGTTTCAGCATAAGAATGCAAACCGACCACATGCCGTCGAACGGCATACGATTCTGCGGCATGTGTAGCAAACCCATCAGTACAGGTCTGTCTCCGTCCGTCGCCCAAACGACAAGCTCTCGACAGATCGCTCATGCATCCCAGAATCTGCCTACAAACGTCATGTATCCTACTGCCGCCGGGCGCTGAGCAAGCCCAGGAAGCGGAAGCGTTCTTGCAAGCAGTGTCACTCCGCCAAAGCCAAGTGCAGTTTCGAGCCGGAATGTTCGCGTTGCAGGTCCAAGGGCCTGCAATGTAGCTACGAGGACCCAATACGTCCAGATGTTGCCTCGGCGGCGGAGTTGGGAACCGACTGGCAAAACGCGGCAGAGTCCACCGGCGATGGGGAGAGCGCAATGATGATCCCCGACAGCCCACCAGCTACCGAGCTGGTACCCTTCAGCGGCAGCTTTGGCGCCGCCAAAGACATTGTCCTACCCGCCACCTCACCCCGGCTGGTGACAGACCTGCGGGCTGACCCAGTGGTCCAGAGCAGTGTCGAGCTCCTGCTCGAAGCGATGCGCAGCCTGCCCTGCATGATGAGCAGCGTCCACACGTCCCCGTGGTTCATCCACGGCCACTGGCACGCGCCCGAGCTCCCCACGAGCGTCATCAACTGCTCGGGTATTGCGCGGCTGTACATGGAGGAGAAGCGGCCGGACTACAGCGGGAAGGCATCGCTCCGGCCGTTCGTCGACGCGGAGAACAGACGGCTTTCGCAGGCGCTGCCCGACTGCTCGCGGGCGGAGGCCGTCGCTGGGATACAGGTTCTCTTGATGTACCTGATCTTCTGCGCGCTGGAGAATATATCTGTGCATGGCGTACCCGAGGTCCGCCTGCAACTCCTTATGACACTCGTTGTACGTTATTGGAAACCCCACTGACTTGGATATTGCGGATCTAACGAAGAGTTAGCGGTACTGCGAGAGATCGAGAGAGATCGACAATTTTGAGCCGTTCGACATTGACAAAATGCATGATCCGGGTCAGACGTGGGAAAACTGGATCTATGCCGAGACGCGACGCAGGTATGTAACCGTCCACCATTCCGCGATTATACCCGTTGCTCATGCTCCCTCTAGATGCGCCGTCGCCTGGTTCATCATGAGCCGGGTGATCGACCTGAAATTCGGCGTCCTCTGTCCCACCATCATCGGTTACCGCTCCATCCCGCTTACTTCGCCAGGCTCACTCTGGACTGCGAGGACACGAGGGGAATGGGAAGCTCTCCGTGAGATTCATCGCCAAGAAGGTGGACTGCCACTCCGTACCTTTGGCGAGCTGATCGATGCTCGGGCCGCGCCGCCTGACTCGGATATGGGCCAACGGCTGAACGCGTGGCACGCCAGCTGTGATAATCTGGGATTGCTGCTCACGCAAGCTACGGCACTGGTCTAGGTTCCATATATGCTCGACAATTTCCAGAGAAAACTACTATCCCCTCGGCCATTATACTAAGGTCCCGGCCTGATCGACAACAAATCCTATCGGGTCACTTCTTCACAGCGTCGCCATCTGTAGCATGTACGATACCAAACATGAGCCCTCTGACATGGGTTGTGACCAGGTAAGCGGCCTTGGTGGTTGGTCTCACGTGAGATACCCCTTCGCCGCAGAGCAGGACCGGATGAACGATGTGATCACATCTCATCCTGAGCCATTCGATGGACATCACCCTGACTCGATGGACAAAGTCGCTTTCCTCATCCGTGATCTCAGGTCTCATACAGTGTAACCATGGTGTTTATATAACTACAGTACGGAAAGAAGCCATGTGCCATATCCCTTATCACCCGCCTAGGTACTCACCAAGCAATCTCGCCCTTCCGATCCGAAAACGTCCCCGTCGGCCCTCCGGCCCCCAACGTCGCCATCTCCACGATCCTCTCAGCTCCGGTCTCGACCGCTGCCGCCCCCTCCATGAAGCCGTTGATCCGCGTGCTCACCACCCCGGGGCAGACGGCGTTGACCAGCCCGCCGGCGTCGCGCAGCATGCGCGCGTAGTTCAGCGCCAGCAGGTTCAGCGCCGCCTTGCTGCAGTCGTACGACCGGAAGTCGTCGTCGTGGAACGCGGCGCCCGGGTCCTGCGCGTTGGCTAGGGAGCCCATGCGCGAGGATACGAAGACGATGCGCGGGACGGGGGCTTTGCGGACTGGAGCACCATGGGTCAATGAGTGCCCCTTTTAGTTATTGGGAATTTAGAGAGTCGTGTCTGGTGGGCGCAGCTCCAATTGACAAAGAGATAATTTTCTTCCGAGACCTGAAATGAGGGGCAAGAAACAATTGAAAAAACATCACTCACGCAGCGGCAACATCGCCTCCGTAACGCACACGGCCCCAAATACATTCGGCACAAAAGTACGCTCGAAGCGCTGCCGCAGCGTCAGCCCGGCCGCGCTCGGATCCGTCTCCGTCAGCACACCCGCGTTATTGACCAGGACGTCGAGCTTCCCGCCGTGGTCCGTCTCGATGGTCTTCGCGGCCGCTTCGATCGACGCCTGGTCGGCGAGGTCGAGGTGCACGGCCGAGGCGTGCAGGCCCTGCGCGGTCAGGGACGAGGCGACGGCACGCCCGGCGGCGAGGTTACGCGCGCCGATGATTACGTGGTAGGCGTGCTTCGCGGCGAGGGCGCGGGCGCTGGCTTCGCCGATGCCTGTGTTGGCGCCGGTTATGAGGACGGTTTGACGGGGGGTGGATGACATGGCGGTCCTGGGGTAGGTTCGGGTGCTCAGAGATGGGGAGTTTTTATATGAATGAGGTCTAGTTGGTGATCGCTGCTCTTGTCGAATAAATTGAATCGTGTGTTGAACTTATATATACTTCTAATACCCAGCCAGCCGCCCTCTACACCATCCTCCACGTCACCAATGAAGGCTACATACATGCTTCAGGACCATCTATTATTGATAATCACCTCATTGTATCCATCTCAGTAGTGCCCCGTCGTCTCGTCTGCTTTCCAACTGTCGTTTCGTAATCAGGTTGACGGCATCCGTCACGTCCAGTACCCTGAGCGTGCGGCCACTTTTGCCGTGATCGCGGCTACTTCCGCCGTGATCATGCTAATTATCACATAAAACGTACCTACTCGCTTCGGTAGGCTTTCGGGCATTGTGGTTGGTTACAGTAATTACATCAGCATCGGCCATAGCGAGATCTGGTCTCCCCTATTTGGTGCAGGGAACAAGGGACTGTATGGTTGGCGACGGCGGCCAATTTGGCCGTGGGCTGTGTGGGTAAAATGGCCGCGATCACGGCAAAAGTGGCCGCCTGCCGGCGCAACTGCTTGGCCTACCACGCTATAACCGATTTAATAATAGGACCTCAGACGTGGGTCATGTAACTTGGTCCCAATAGCTAGCAGTATTTCAGCCTGGAGAGACCATCATAATCCCTCTCAGATGAGGTACCTCCGTAACTCGTGCCGAACCATCTTCTAAATGACCGACATGAAACCTCACGACGCCAAACAGCATGCGAGATCAAACAGGGTGAACAGAAATTGCTCTATTTCATTCTCAGAAAAGACTGGGGTATCTCTAGACGAACCGCACCTGCCAAAGTCATCTTCGCATGTTACGATTCCTGCTTTCATCCAAACTTCATCCAAGTATCCCCAGGACATCCATGGTCCCGCTGTCATCGAACGTTCACGTCATCATATAACATAACCATATGCGTCGTCATGAAGCCCATTACGAGGATGAAAAGCATCCCCTACCGTTTCCCCGAAACCGCTTCCAGAGCCTTTCGCGCGCCAAAGTCCTCCTTATCTGGACGGCCGATTAAGTGGTAGATGCGATTTCCCAGGCGCAGTTAAAACCGTCAAGGCCTGTCCTGCAGAAGAATCGAGAGTATAGTGACGGGAACTATGTCGCGTCGGAAACTGAGCGAGCCGGCGTAAGCGTGAGCGAACCGGAAACGATGAGGTATGTATGGACCAAGAATGAAATGCCGCCGTCGTCCCATATGCCCGGTGTAATGTATCGGGGGGGACGAAGCTGTAGAGCCGTGCTGTTTTACCGGCCTCTTGATGAATGACTCTGAGTCGTTGGTTCCTGCCCTTCTTGACGAATAGATACTATAGCGGGCTTGCGCCCTTTCGAAATCTTGTTTGATACGGTCTTGCGAACTCTCTCTCTGTATGAAGTTCCCTGCTCCATGCTGATGACCAGATCCTGAAGAATCCCAGCCGGTGAGTGATGTAAAAATCGGCGAAAACCCATATGGTGAAGAGGATATATTCCAATCAAGTGAAATAGTGTGGTATTAAGTTGTGTTGTGATTGTTGTAGGCATGGCGAGGATCGTCCAGGAGACATCAGACACTCGCGACCCGTCCTCTTGCCACTGGCATTCTCGCGTGGCAGACCATTAGTTTGAGGCTCGTCCCCCACTCCTCGCACTCAGCAAGCAATGCGCGGTTGTTCCAAATGCTTTTCGGCATGCCCGTCGGAACCTCATAGCAGCGGTTGTACCACCAGCGTCCGACCTTCGAGACCATTTTCGTGATGTTCTCGTCGCCCTTCTCCGTTTCGTCACTCATCATCTCCGCCAGGCTGCGCTCGTCTTTCTTGCCGTCAACGCTCGAAGAATGCGTGATCGAGCTGGCCACCGGGACACCGACACGACAGTTCTTGATATCGACAAATCCTTTCTTGCCGAGAAGGCGAAGAATGAGATCTGCAGTGCTGCTGAGATTCAAATCAGGATTCCGGGTGGTGACTCGCTCTTTCAGGCGACGGACAGAACGTCGGGTCCTATTACCCATGTTGTTGAGGTCAACGTCAAGGATGGCCAACTCGATGAATCCACCGGGCTTGAGGACACGACGGGCCTCGGAAATGATGTTGCGGTAGTGGGCTTCTGGGGCAGCAGCTGGAAATCTGAAGACAATCGAAGTAAAGCTTTCAGGACCGAAAGGGAACTTATCCATGTGGGATGTAAACTGAATCTGATGATGGTTGGGTGGTGAGAGAGGAAATGAGGAGCTCGACTGGTGTTCTTGAGGTATTGGTGCGCGAGGAGATAGGTTGAAGAACGTTGCGGCGGGATACGTCTCAGCCGCATAGAAAGACCAGTCGTCATTGCCAAGTCCGTCGATGACAAGTATGGAATGGCGCTTGAGTGACCCGACAACATTGACAAGATCCTCACGGACTGGACTGAAGAGAACATGCCCAAACGTGAGCCACTTGCTGACTGTCATCGATCCCACACGAAGGTTGACCTGTGAGAGAGGAGTCTCGTCGCTGTTCCTGCTGCTACCCGAGCTTCTGTGATGCGAAGAGTTTGCCTTGACACTCTGATTCGAGGACGCGCTGTTCCTCTGAGGCTGCACGCGTTCTTGACTCGACAGAGCGTTGCCCTTATTGCGGTCGCCGTAGCCTGAGACAAATTCCGAGACGGAAAAAGGCGTCGCTGGTTGATCGTTACCAAACTTGAAGGCTGCGTTGAGCCTTGCGGTCATATCAGCGCTATAATGACTGGAAGAAGCGCTCCTGCCGGTTTCAATAGAATCCCTGACATCCTTGGCAAGCTGAGTTGTCAGTGTTGGCGATACGAGGGGCTTCGTTGAACTCTCAGCCCGATTCGTCTCGTAGCTTTCAAGATGGAACGGGACACCTCGCGATGACGTCGCAGACAGGGGCGGATCGCCAAGCAGATCGTTGTACTCGTCCCAGACCTCGTCCTCACCAAGCGGCCCGGCCGGCTCTGGAAGCACTGCCGTATGATCAAGGGAAAGCCCAACTCCCGAGCTGCAAGAATCTGTGCTTGTGGTGCATACTGAGTTATTATGGGGCGAAAAGGAAAGAAACTCTTTACCGATCTCGGGAGTTGGCCCCTGCCCCAGCAGTTCCCCTTGACCTGAAGAGCTTGGAACTTTCGCTACTTTCGATGTCGGCTCAGGAGCAATGTCTGATCTTGGCGCGTTGGTAGGACTGGGACCTTTGGCAACCGAGTGCGGATCTACCCTGTCTAGCTGCGGAGGCGGGAATTGAACGCTAATTCGATGGAATGGCCGAGAGAAGCTTTTTGCAGATGTTTGCTCTAGGCGGGAGTTCAAAACCTTTGGTATCCTGCCCACTTGAGGAAGCCTGCTCGGACGACTTGCCGTACTTGTAGAGTTTCCGTCTCCGACACATTCCTGATGTGATTCTGGCTTAGGAGCAGGTGGCTTTCGAACAGGAAGCGCGTTTAATCGAGGTGTAACGGATGTCGAGCCCTGGTTCTGTGATGAATCAATGGGTCGATCACCCGTAGATGGTCGCCGTGATCGACCATGTGCTGATGTCTCATGCGCAGGCATAATTTGTGCTTCTCTCAGAATGGCAGCGACGTCTTGCTCTTCCTCCTGCTCGGATGAGTCCATCATTGTGTAGAATGCAACTGGCTTACTCTGGACAGTTTCATTCGCTGTTGCGACCTTTGCCTCGACTTGCTTTTTGTCCTTTGTTGAGGTTTGGCTTCTACCGAAGAGGTTCCATTTGCGAGGAGATTTGGCTCGCTTGGTCAGCTTCTTGGGCGGATTACTTGGGTCGTGCAATCCACGATCAGGTTCTGGCAGTGACTCTGGCATCGAGTCGTCAGTAAAGATGGTCGTCGCCATGCTCGCCGCAGATGGAGCCCTGGTATTGATCGGCTTGGGCAAGCCAAATGGTGCATGACCAGGGGATTGGAGCCCTCGCGTCGATCTTCGAAATGCAATGGTGGACTTCATCGCAACGGCTTCTGAGTCGCTACTGTCTGAAGGACGCCGGGATTTAACAGATGCCCGTGGCAATGGAGAAGGCCACAAAGTGTACCGAGCATCCTCCCTCGACGACAAGGACGCAGATGAAGCGTTGCGGGAGTCAATGCTTGCGCGACTCATAGGGATGGTTTGGTTGCTTTCGGTCCGAGCCAGCTTAGAGCTACTGTTTCGGTTTTCCACGATCTCCCCACCCGCAATGATGACAGGATTCATTCGTTCCAGAAGAAAGGGGTCCGTTGATTGAGTGATTCCAGGACTTTCAGAGGAAGCACGCGGCAGGTTAGAGGCGTTGCTGCTACGTCTTTTGACCGCCCCGACTCTGCCGTATCCTTCATGACCAGTTCCAGCTGCAGGACCTTTTCGAGTTGACTTCTCCTTCTTCTTCTTCTTTTCTGTCTCTGCGACCTCAGTGGCGGTCTTCGTTCGCCGTGCGAAAAGGGAGAATGTTGACTTGAAAGTTGACACTCCTGGGCTAGGCGTCCTAGTGGTCCGTCCCGTCTCCGATGCGCTTGTCTTGGTGCTAGTTGGGATGCCTGTCCGAGGTGCTGGTGTAGGCTCTCGGTTAACAGGTGCTTTTGCCGATGTTGAGCGGTTTTGATTAGAAGACGGAGTCGTTGATCTCGGCAGTGAACTAGGTGCGAGTTGGCCACTTTGTCGTCTTTCTGTAAGACTCGTAGAAGATAGATTGCTGTGACCGATTGGAACAGGGCCACCGAATTGGGAGTAAAGGTCTGGCGTTCCATCTCTACTAGGGCGAGAGGGTGGCGTAGGTCGCCGCTGCGGTGATGTGAACACGTCTGGAGTTCGATCGCGAGGCGGTTGAGCAATCTTGGTAGGTGAAAGAGACCTCATCACAGACTGGGTAGGTCTCTGTGATGCTTTCGACGGTGATCGTACTTCGCCCACATCTCGGTCCTTCTTCAGCTTTTGCGACGATTTTCTCGGAGGCGGATTTGGGGGTGTTGGCGATCGCCCTCGGCGCGCCTTATTCTCTTTTTGGTTGTCCGTCCGTACTGTTGAGTTAGATGAAGACGAAGTCAATACTTCTCTGACCACAGCAAGACCAGAATGGTCGACGCCAAAGGCATCACTGTCATTCGAGGTGCTGCCGGTTCTTCTTCGGGTCACGGGCGGTCTTGTCTCGGCTGGGCTTGTTTGTCTTACTCTGGCGGGAGAAAATCGTATCGGTGCGACGAGGCCGGGGGATTGCGAAGACATGGAGGTAGGCGTCGTGTCTCGGCTGTACGGACTGGGGCCAGGTGATTCGGAGAACTTAGTTGAAGGGCTGGCACTGAGGAAACTCAACTGGCTATGGCTACTGGATCCGGAAAACTGCGGCGTCGGAGGTGGAAGATCCTCGGTCGCAAGTCTATAGAGGACATCCCTTGAGGGGCCATCTCTAGAAGGCGGCAGCCGAACATCGCGATAGCGATCCAATTCGGGGTATATCCTGGTAGTCTGCAACACAGCTCGATGTAGCTCGGCCTGATGCGCGATTCTCAACTCAACGGGGCTCTCCGTCATGCTACGATCCGTATAAGCAGCGCTCGCGTCGACATGAGCCTGCGATCTCGGTATTGAAGACGAAGAGCCAGTCCTTCCCGAGTCTGTGCGAGATTTATTCCGTACGCTCGTGGGTTCCTTGGACAAGCTTGATTGTTTTCGACGCAACACGTTCCGTGGCTGCTTAGGCGCACCTGTCCGCCCGCCGGTTGGTATCATGGGCGAAGTGCTCGAGCGCCCGGAGCCTGAACCGGCTGACCATGCGTGTGTTTCGTGAGTGAGAGGAGGTCTCGCAGATATGCGTGTAGGTTGATTTTGTGGTATCCGGGCCCGAGGTTGCGAACTTGGCGTAACCCCCAATCGGGTGTTGTCAGCATCTCTGCGGGTGGTGCGAGTCGAAGCCGGCAGTGGCAATTCGCCCTTGTATATATCCATCGAAGCTCCTATCCTTTCCGACTGAGACCTGTCACCTGATCTCGCACGGAGATCGGAGCCTGATCTGATGGAAGCCATGTCGACTTCTTGATCACCACAAGCTGAAGCATTGATTGATCGACCATCATAGAAGCTAAGCGTCCATGGCTAGTAGCAGGGTGTAGGTAAAGCCAGAGAAACGCCTGGACTTATTGTCAGCAAGAAGGCCTGGGCAAGAGGGCACACCAATGGCAACAACCTAGTGGTGCATTGATAAGTTTCCTTACTATATTACGACTCGTCTATAACGCCCGATCGACAAACTGCGCTTCGCTGTTGAGACGAAAGGCCAAAGTCCTCGGTATCCCGCAATATAATCGATAAGACTTTCGGGGTCCAGCCTCAAGAAGACGAGAGGACATTCGAGGGCAGGAAACACTGAGCTCCAATTGACAGACTCAGCGGCGAACTTAGTGATAAGTGATATCAGAGAGGACAAGAGAATTATTTTTCATGTGCTAAGCGAGAATATCGGGTGGTCGGGTCGTTGAAGGATGGTAGAGGGGGGCCCAGGGCTGGGATCTAACTGGGCGAATCTCTTCCTGATGGAGTGTAGCTTTCTCGCGTGGAAGTCGAGCAAGGAGCCGACTAGCTGGACAGATGGATGGTGTGGTGGCACGGTAGGTGTGGTGTGGAACTTCTGGGCGTTTAATAATAAGATGGATGGTGCCCTCCACGGATGACACTGGAGGGATACCCCACTGGTTAAACCGTACAAGAGTCTTGGAGAACCTGAAGTGTAGTGGCTTCCTTCGAGGTCGTACTTGTGTGTTCGTTGATGGACGTGCTATGGACAAGATGCTGGTCGTGTACGATATTGGCAGAGCTGAGGAAGATATGAGAAGAGGGTAAAACAAAACACCATGTATAGGAGGGGCAGAGAAAGGGGATAGTATCGACGGAAGTATCGGAGGGTTCAAAAGATGAGGTGACTGTATTGTATATAGGATACCTGGGTGCTCGGCAGGGTTGGCCCTCTGACCTTGCATATCCGACAAGGCGATGATGTACCCAGGGGTATGGGCAAGGAAGAGGGTACATACACAGAGACATGGGCGAGGGTGGCGGAAAGTCCCCTGTCAACGGCCAACAAGCAACCCCTGGGCTTTGGATCGCGTGTAGTAGAAGCAGTCATCAGGTGCCGGGCTCGCAGGGCTCGCAAAGGAATGGCCGAGTATGCGGTCTGGTTGGCAGTGGCCGCAGTGGATTCTGCGGAGCACGTCTGACCAGATCCGCAGCGAGGGGTCTTGCCTTGACCTTGACGCGCCCAGTGAACGGCGGCTGAGTCACCTCATGCTATGATGCTACGACAGGTTAGACGAGATCCGAATTGTGGAGGGTGTTTGTGTGCGCCGTTGTGGTGGTCCAACGAGACACCACCTAGTGTGCCCATCTGCCCTCAAGTGAAGGTAGACGCGTTGGAGACACGAAGCAGGAACAGAAAAGCAGCTCCTTGAGCTGGCGACGACTGGCCCTGGTGAGTCCCATCCGCGTGTCCTCGTAGCTGCGAGCGAGAGGAGCTGCGCCAATATGCGGGCAGGGAGGTCTTGGACTGTGGAGGATTGTGCATATTCTAACATCCTATGAGAAGACTGGAGAGAGTGCTCGACAGTACTATTCGTCAAAGAACAACCCCGGGCGTCTGCCGGCTGTTTCCTGGTTGGGCAGAACAGAGATAGTCGAGGCTTCCAGAGCCCACTCCCTCTGCTACTCTGCAGAGCATGCTACTGTAAGGGCACACACATGTAGAAGACCCTGTCATTTTTCAGTGCCGGTACGAGGGAGTGATGAGTGATTGATAAAGAAACAGGCAAATCAGAGGATACTGGTGTGCTCAATGTCTTGCAAATTCCAACCGGACTCCTCAGGCTCTGCCCAGTCGCATCGGGGTGGTGAAAAGTAGGTGAGAAAGAATTATGAGGGGCAAACGGCGGCAATGCTGGAAAATCGTCAGGTTTGGCGATGGCGAGATGGATCCGAAGGTGGCTGGTGGCTGGTGGTGGCTCGGGTATTTGCGGGGAATGAGGCAACCCAGCTTAACAGTGAGTGAGTACTCGCTGTAAAGATTCTCTTCAGCGCGGTCAGGCTCGCTGTATGAATGACAACTCACGCTGGATTGCAGAACTTGGAAGGCGCAGTGGCCCATGTTGGCGGGAACATCAGCGCGGGCCGCCCAAAAACTCAGCATCATCCCTGTAGCAGGTAAGGTATCGCCGTAAGTCGTACTTCAAGTCCACTTGGGAGTCTTTCGACTTATACCACTTACGACGAACGCAACATGTACGACATCATACAGCATCACAGTATCTATCTGCCTTGCCAGTGGTACTATGGACTTGGATGATATTCGTCTATTACTTCCAACAATACCGAGCTACCCAAAGTCCTACCTAGGTGCAAGTCTGGGGAAGTCCAATGACCTGCTCGCTACAACGCTTAGCTTCGCATGTCACAACCGACCGTTCCACCACAGCGGCATGTCTCACTCTTGTCATCTTCTCCGAGCGCCAAAAACCGCGCCGGTTCTACAAGCTCCGCTCCATCAAGACGATCTTGGTTCTCTCATCGACGAGTAACACTCATCGACGGTCAGCGTCACCTCACCCTGGCTTTCCTAGCATCCCCATTCCTGCCATGTACCGTGGGGCGCTTGACACTAGAAACGCTTTTGAACATATCTAGGCAATCAAGACATATGTTCATGCACTGCCGGTAGTCGTCCGTTCTCCCTCATTCAGGCTCTAGCCCTGCTTCCGTTTTTAGGACGAGGGCCGGTAGGTCTTCCAGGTTGTTACACCTCTGGGAAGGCAACATTATTCCCGTGCCTGGCCGGTATCACGGACGCGACCTGCAACCAGGACCCAGAACGGCCAGATCCCACCAGTCTTGTCACCCTGTCTGACATCGGACGTCACGCTTTGGAGAACACACTAGGTACCACAGGGGAAGCATCCTGGTGCTTCGATATGTAACGGTGAACAATGTCTCACCTGGTCTCACCTGCAGTATTACCTACCTTACAGGGTGAGCAGTGAGCACGGCGTAAGATATCCAACCAGCTACAGATGAGCCGAAGTACGGAGGGAAGATACCCTGTCTTTCACCACGGCTCGTCATTTGTGGCAGAACTGCGAGGTATGGCATTGCTTTTCCAATTTTCTGATTGGTCTTGATCTCCGAATTTCTGCCCAATGGACAGTGGCGATAGTCGCGACCCCAAAGGAATCAACCCTTGCATATAGGTATCTCACTGTCGCCAATTTGATCATACAGCGTCTCTTCGCCAACCCCCTATGGCATCCGCTCTTAGGGAAGATGCGAATGCATGCGACATCAAGGACGCCATTACAGAAACGCCTTCATGAGGGTGGGCTCGCTGCATCTCCTAGTGCGGCTCCAACCCTCAAGTGTGTTACTCCATAAGGTAGACGCAAACACTTCTCCGAACGACCATCTCCACAGACTACTTTAGCCACGAACTACGGAGGGAACTACAGATGAAGCTTATTCAGACAAACATAGCGGTGAATCGGTACTCGGTTGTGGCTATTCCACTTATCCTCACCGTCGCATTGTCCGAGGCGTCACCATCTACATCATGGCCGCGAAGATGGCCGTTGGTGAGGACTCCAAGAAGCACGGCGTGCGAATTATCATGCCTTCAACGCGGCCCAGTGGCCCGGCTCCGAATCTCGGCCACCTAGGTCGCTTCAATGGTTGAGATGCATGTATATTTGGCATCAATCGGCACATATAGGTAGATGCAGCATCGGCTTCGCATTACCAGGATCGTTCGTCTGTTCGACGACTGCCTAGCCATGACCTACATGGACATGTCGATATGGACCTCCTGTCGCTTGCAGCGCGAGTCCCGCGTGAGCAAGACAAGATCAGCTGAAAGTTGCATGCCGAACCATGCTCTGGGCCGAATCTGGTGCGCTGGCAGGCGGCATCCATGCATCTGTCTGTCTTAGATCGGCCTACGATAGCTTGCCATTGTAGACCCAAGCCGTTGGGTCCACGGGCAAGAGTCCGTCGTGTCGCTGTTGGCGCGATCGAGGAGTTTGTGGCGAGTGCCGTGTCCGAATATGCACTCCGCCACATTCGTATAGCATGCGACAGAGTTGAGGCCTATTCCATGTTCTCAGTGCAGACCGCTGGGCAATCTCGATAGGCGAGGTCCACCGTGGCTATGTGCATGTGGCTCGCGACGTGGCATCTTCATACTCCAGTGCCCATCAACCTCGACAGTGATCTTCCAGAAGAAAGCCGGGAAGCAAACTGAGGGCGGAAGTCTACAGCAGAAACACCCTGGCATGTGCGGCCGTCTCGTGATACATCTCAAACGGAAGAAGCTCTTCCTGTTGTTCCACGGAGCGCAAGGCCAGAGACAGGCTGGGAGGTTCCTACCAGCAACCTCGGAGTGATCCTTCTTGGCAGTTGACTAGCAGGGTCCAGACCCAATCGTAGCCGCCTGGGTTGCCGCGAGCAGGGTCCTTTCAGGTGAGCAAGGGTCTTCTGCAGTACGATTGGACTTTTGCCTGAGACATCCTGGATCAAGATTCCGGTGTCGCCCAAGTAACGTGACGAGAAGATGGTGTGAAAGGATCTCGACTGATTCTTCCTCGGTCAACCTATCTGTCCCGTCTGCACAGTGTTGGGATATCCGTCCGCTCATTTCCCTGGAATCCGGATGCGAGACCACTACGGCGCTCTACGCACTCTCACTTACCCTTTCCAGGCTGGCCGACCTGCACTGAGTCTGCACGTTGGTGACGTCGTGATCAAGGTCAAGATGGCCATGGAATTAGCGCGCTTCTACAGATCTTGTCTCGTGCTGGCGCCAGAAACTGATCTCTGCGCTACCCTTGTCCCAACTGCTGACATGCCCGCCTGGCGCGTACATGCTGCCGCCGCTGCACTGTACCAGATCCACGGCCAAGGATTCTGTACACCGCGGGTAGCGTATGTATGTCTCAGACATTCCAGATCTGCCGTTACTAGTCGTAGCCTGGCTGTTAAGCTTATCGCGAAGACTGCCACGGAAGTTAAAAGCTGCGCTAGTGTTCACCGAAGTCGAAAAATTCATCATCCCTATCCACAGCGTCAATGCAGACCGATCTCGACTCCCGGAGACGAGCCATTAGCGCTGCTTGCCTGTCTTATCATAAGCGCGAGCTGCGCCAGGCCGCGCTTGACGTTGGTGCCACAGCCCTCGGGTCAAGACCTGCTGGCCGTCAGCAAGATCACCGACCCACCTGATGGGCACCCATACTCTGGGCCGTCCCACAGAACACACGGAGACTACTTTAGAGCTCTCTAGTGGGTTGAAGGTTCCAGCGAATGGCAAGCTTCAAGAGCTGTCTCTCCTATGTTGCGATTTTCTGACACTGGCCGACCCGCGATCCACTTGGCCATCCTTCTCACGGCTCTGGCTAGTATCGACAGCACGACAGGTCATATGGAGCCTTGCAAGCCCGAAGCTGGCGAGTGTTGGTCACCTTGCCCTATCAACCCCTTGGTTTGTAAGTCTGTATTTCGGTCTTCTTTCCTCGCTTGGTTTACTCACATTTCCGCTTCCTTCCCATGCGAAAGATGGTCATCTGATTCAGCGGCCGGGCCAAGGGGGCCCAGGTATGACCATTCAACGAGCCATACGATCTATGCCCGGTGATTCACCCTGTGTGGACTTGAGCTGCTGTCTATAATGGAGCGCCTCTTGACTCACGGTTATTCTTGACCACTCGTCGGCTCACTTCTTCGAGGTGGCGTTGTGGAGGCTGACCTCAGGCTATCAAGACCTTGCCACTCGATAGCTAGGATGTCCCTGCCGGGGACATCTGGAATTCACGAGACCCGTGCTAATGCGGATCCGGAGAGAGTGACCGACCAAGCCCTGTCCCTGCCCGTGAAAATGCAGAACGGCCATGGCTCAGACGGACCTCACAAGTGCTGGATTAGGGGCAAATATACACATGCACGTCGGAGAGACGCCTCCTTTGGCTCCGTTGCTGGCCATGAACTAGTCCGCGTCTTGATAGAAGATTCTTGTGGCCTTCTGCCGTCACTGTGTAAGGCTGGTGTTTCAGGTGACGAAGTCCGAGACATCATGAAGCCTACCAGGTGCCATCGATCTCCTGCGAGGTGCATCCAGCTCGCGAGCAAGACATGTCTGTATCACGAGATCAGGTATCAAACCCTAGGTCCCTCGGCTCTCCAAACCTCCTCGCCTGATCTTCCTAGCTTGAATGAGAGGTGCCATTTCGACCGCCGACATGGGACTCTATGTTGACTCCAACATCTTACCTCCCTATCGTGTTGTGTTGATCGAGCTAGTTGGCAGCGTGGTTCAGTCTGCTAGCACGTTGTCCGCAATAAGGTACAGAAACCCGATGCATGTCATCTCGTCGAGGGCTGTGAGAGTATAGCAATCCCTTTGGGTCCCTTCCGCAAGATTGACTGGTGTCTGAGGGCTGTCCACGATCGGTGCGAGCGCAACCCACGAACGGGTGTCGATAGGAGTTCTCCGGCTACACTCTTCAATAGAGCGGGCTTGACGTACCACTTAAAAAGTTCTTGACACAGGTGCTACCTTGAATGTTGCTTCTTGCTCTGCGAACTTCCATGTTGTGCACCGTTTGTATTACTTGCGCCGTCTAGTGTTTACCTATGCAAACATCCAAAAACCCCCCATCGAACTTCCAAAGATTCCAACCGCCAGGAAAACCGAGTATTGCCATCCTCAACCGATCCTTGTGCACCTGACCGCCCTTTCAGCCGGCAATACAGCCCTCACAGCATAACTCCTCGCAGCAACTGATATCATGTCTCGACTCCAGCAGCCTGTCGGTTCCCCAGTCAGCTGAGGCTCGCAATGGACAAGGGTCAGGGGTTTAGAACCCTACCATTCGAATGCTCGATTGCGGGCTAGATGGCAACGCAGTTCGCTTTGCCGTCACTGGCGAGAGTGCACTTCTGGCCGCGAAGGCTGCAATCAGCCACGAACATGGGCTCGTGGTTGTGGCATCGGTGCACGAAGCGCTCCTTCCAGCAGTGGCGTCCGCCAGGATTACTAACGGAACAGAGGTCAACGCCGGTATTTCGGCTTGCGACTCGAGCCAAGGCGTACGGGGCAGCGGCGAATGCCATGAAGAGCGAGTACTTCATGGTGTGATAGGTGGTGGTCCGGACGGTTGCAGAGCATATCGTTTTTCTTCTGGGGCGTTGACGGTGTTGGTGGTCGAGTTAGAGGATTGAAACATGAAGAATTTGCGAAAACGTGATTTCTAGTGGCATGTAGAGGTAGACCTGTGTGTGGATCAGCAGAGACGACGGTTGCGTGGCGGTTCCCGGGTAAGTCATATATACATCGTGGTATATGGTGCTCATCACTGACTGCCCATGCCGTGTAGGTCCTGCAAAGGCACTGTCCCAAGCTTTCGGCAGTGACTCCTGACTTCAAGTACCCATATTCAGCTAACATGAATCACACCGCCTCGCGTTGTTAGTCACAGGGCGTACTTCGTCAGAACCATATCTATTCTTTGTCTGCGAACATACATAACGGACGAATACCCACCTCGCGTACGAACGCCCTGGGAATAAGTTGGCGGCATCCGAAGTACGGCCGGGGACTTCCTTGATGAATCGAGTGTAAAGGTATCTCGGGCCACTGCTTATGATTTGGGCCCATAGAACAATAATATCGGGAGAGAAATTTACAGACTCCAGATGAGAAGACTGAGCCACGGAAGACACCAATACTATCATGGGGACCGATCTCATTATATGATAAGATATTACGTGACAGCTACTTCCATCGGACATACACCGCTGGAATCCTTACAAGGCCACGTGAGCCCCTCGTAATAAACGCGAACTGCCACTCGTCACTGATCCTTTCACAGCATCACATTCTCAAACATCACGTGTGGATATTCGGTATCCTTCACGACCTCAAAAAGCTTCTTCGCAAAGGCCTCCTCATCACACTTCTCGTTCATGTTCATCATGACAACCCCTTCCCCATTAACCTCCTTTCTGCCACAGTACTCCACCAGTTCGCGCATGCCCATTTTTGCGGTGTCGAGGTTTTTCTTCAAGTGTCTCAGAATAAATACGCACACGATAGGGGAACCAAGTTTCCTGCTCTAGTCACATCGCACAACAGCGATCAAGTCCCAACTAATGGGATTCTCATCTTTTCCCCGACCCTGCCTCCTTTTACACAAATGGACCGATAGATCATGTACTCCATTCCGACGTGCCATTCTTCCTCATGGCTGAGGAGCCGGCTTGATCTCTTCCACCCACTTTTCAGCCTCCTGCGTCAGGTCCGGATCACACAGCCAGCGCAGCTCCCAACCATCACCACGTGTAAGAGAGTGGTCGCTCCAGATCGCACCCGGCGGCATCTTGGCTCGATCGGATTCCGGCAGCCGCTTCGCGTTCATCTGCATCGTCAAGCCGAGGACCTTCTTGACGCGCTCCTGGCGGTAGGCCTGCCACTTGGCAATGGACTTGTCCAGCAGCACCTCCGGCGAGAGCTTCGAGAGGAGAGTGGCGAATGCTCGCACGTCTTCAAAGGCTTGGTCGGCTCTTTGACCTGCTGTCGGCGGGATGGCGTGGGCTGCATCGCCAACTAGGATGACTCTCTTGGAGTCTGACATCCACGATGCCAGGGGGCGGAATTACATAGAACGCCCAGAACACCATCCGTTCGACCGGCGTAGCCTCAAGGGCCGGCTGCACCACATCCGGCCAGTCGGATTTGTTCTCTTGGAGCATGTAGAACAACTTCTTCTTATCTTTCCGCAGCCCCTCCCAGCCTGCTGAGTCCAGCTCTGCGAACCGTCGCTTTGATCCGATGAAGGCCTGAGACCCATCGGGCTTCTGTGGCACGAGCAGGAACGCGCCCAATTGGCCATGACCGTCGTGGGGAGCTTGTAGCCCTCGGGAACCAGAAGCTGAGACCTCTTGACGACGCTGCCGATACCCATGAAGCCGGCATACATTGGCTTTACCTGAGGTAAGAAGAAGGTGCCGCACACGGTGGAGTATATGCCGTCCACCCCAATGATGAGAGTGGCATAGGCGACTTGTCCATCTACGAAAGCAAAATCCACCGTTTATGGGCCATCGGAGGTGATGGCGGTCAGCTTACAGTCGTACTGGATTGGGATGTCTCGCTCTCGCAGAACGATCCTCGTCTCGTCCAGAAGCTCCTTGCGCATGATACGGATGGCATTGTAGCCGTAGAGCTTTTCCGAACCAAAGTAGTACTCATCGGTGGTCTGATCCTTACCATCCTTGGAGGTAAGCACGTCGAGCTGCAACGACTTGTCGCGGATGCGCTCATAGATGCCGATACTGTCGAGGACGCGCAGAGCGTTGGGAGAGAGCTGAGCCCAACCGCCTTGTTTCAAACTCCTTTGAACGGGCCTCGTAGACGGTGCAAGCGATGTTCAGACGATTCAGTGCAACAGCAAGAGTGAGACCCTATGAGCACAAGGCATAAACTAATTATACTACATTTACTGAGATCTCTAATGGATGTGTATACTAGTAATCTATTAAAGGCCGGATTTAATGGTCTACCAAGGCTTTAAATAGAGTGGAATTAGTAGTGTATGTACGAAATTTATAGTGTTAAAGATATTCGTACCTTTAAACCTCTTTTTTTATTTACAACACTCGTTTTAACTCTTTTTAACTCTCTGCGTGTTAAGAGTACTCTTTTTAACTCTTTTTAAGTTAAAAGCACTCTTTTTAACTTCTTTTAAGCTAAAATCATTTCTTTTGGCTCTTTTTAACTCTTTATATATATATTATTTATATACGAAAAAATCCCTTTTAACTTTTTTCAACTCTTTATACGTATTATTTATAGCGTTTTTAATATAAATAGCACCTACTGCCGCTTTAAAGCATCGATTGCGCGATTTTTTTAAAAAAAATTACGCGCTTTAACTTCGTTATTTCCATTTATTTATTATAAACGTTTAGATTATTTTTAATGATATTTATTACACTTTTAAAGCACGTAGTATCTTATTTCAGTTTCTTAAAATCGGATCTAAGTTGTAAATAATTCTAATACAAAGCTATAAACGTAATACCTGATAATAATTAATAGGTATTATATTTAAAAAGTTATAAGAGCTTATCGTTGTCATGGTCTGGTATAAGTAGCCCATATAGTGAGTCTTGGAGCCCGGACATTAGTACCTGTACCACCATTGAATGTCAAGCTGCCACGCTTGATATTCGACATCCTTTTGGGAGGAACAGCCGTGGCATGGTGGTTATGGTGAGCGTTCCGTCACAATATCAAGCTTTATTTTTATTAAAAATACTTGGGTATATTTTATTAATATAAGCTATATCGTAAATATGTTAAGCGCTATTTGTAATAAACAAGGATACTAGCTCTTTTTTTCATGTTAATAAGTTAAAAACTTATAATATTAAAGTTAGCTAGCTTTTATATATATTAAAGCTCGTGTTTATTTTTAAAAACTTCTAAAAATAGTATATTCAGTCTAAATTAACTTAAATTTCTTTTTGGAAAAGTTAAAGCTTTATTAATTTTATTTTCACGGGGGCTTATCGGTAACTAATTAATTTAATAACTTAAGGTTAAAATAGTTTATATTTTAAAACTTTTAAACTAAGTTTTGAACGTATTTAATTTATCGAAGTTTAACTAACTATGTTCTTTAACCAATCTTATTTATAAATAAAATAAAAGGTAATAATAGCGTAATGAATAAGCGTTTCGTTAAGCTTATTATAATATTTATTGAATTCTTAACCTAGGTTGATATTAGCTTTAAAATAGTCGTTATTAGGAAAGCAATCGACGTTATCTTTATATCTTACAAGCTATTTTAAAAGAAGTTTATAAGTAAAAAAACGTTTTAAATATTACCATATGAGCTAACTTAACTTAGTATTTTACGTTATATACTATTACTTTTAAGCTATTTTAAAATGTATTTGTATAAAGATAAAATATTAATAGAATATTTGAAAATATTTTAATCGTAATTAAATACGTTTTTTTAAGAAGATGGAAAAGAGTTTTTATTAGCTTATATACTAATAAACCCAGTTTTATTTTACGATCTTAGTCTTTTTACTGGATTTTAAATTACGCGGTTGTTTATAATAAATAAAAACGAAGTTAAAAAAGCGGTAAATTATATATAATTATAAAAGTTATTATATATTATTATTAGATATTACGTAAAAGAATTTAACGTAAAGGTTTAAAAAATAACTTATATTAAGCTTGTCACGGCGAGCGTACTGAGGAGCTGAGACATGGCTTGTAGCAAGCAGCTATTACTATATTGACGAGAATATCAAGACTAGAGAGGAAAGGAAGAGAGAGAAAGATAGGTACAGTGGGAGGTTGTCCCTTTAAGGGGATCTCCTGGTCAGATCCTTCCCTTATTGGGAGGTATCGGCTTGTTATGTGGGAAGGTCTGTGCAGGCCGTCACGGTGCAGGCCGTCACAAAGCTATTAAACTTTATAAAGATATAATATAAGCAGTTAAATCGTTAAATACTGACTATAAGGTTATAAGCTTTATTAATAAGGCTTAGTTTATAATATAACGTATATTTGATAACGTAGCTGACAAGCGAGTTGACATTACAAGCGAGTTGGCACTCGTCATGAACTTTCCAACCAATACGATTCAAACCATCATATCTCCACTAACAACAATAGCACCGCGTTATAACGAATCAGACTTGCAGCTAGCTGTTCAAGCTAAACGACGTGACCCTCATATTCCTATATTTCAGCTTGCGAAACTCTTTAACGTCCCTTGTTCCACTTTGAGCAATAGAGTCAAAGGAATGCCATCACGACGCGACAGCATGCACAATACTTTGAAACTTATGGTTTCCGAAGAGAATGCCATTTGTTCCATCATTCTCGACCTGGATGCGCGAGCATTTCCGCCCCGGTACAGTTATGTTGAAGATATGGCGAATCAATTGTTGGCGGCGTGTGGGGCTGGACGCGTTGAAAAGAACTGGACGCGGAACTTCATTAAACGTACACTAGGCCTCCAGACGCGTTTTCATCGGAAGATAGACTACCAGAGGGTCTTGAACGAGGATCCAGACGCGTATCGCACGTGGTTTTGCCAAGTTGCAGCGGCAGTCGCGAAACATGGTATCCAAGACGCGGATATTTACAACTTCGACGAGACTGGGTTTATGATGGGCATTATTGGGTCCGGCATGGCCGTTACAAGCGCCGAAAGATGTGACAGGCCTAGACAAGCTCAGCAAAGCAACAGGGAATGGTCTACAACAATCTCTGCTGTTAATGCTGATGGTTGGGTGGTCCCGCCGTTCATCATTCTACAGGGCAAAACCCACCTCGCGTCATGGTATTGCGACACGATATTACCACGCGATTGGAAGGTGGCCATGTCCGACAACGGGTGGACCACGAATGAGATTGGTTTGGAATGGATTCAGCATTTCGACAAGTATACCAGACCGCGTATGACTACCGGTAAACGCCTCCTCATCCTAGATGGTCACGAAAGCCACCATTCCCAGGTCTTTGAGGATTATTGTCAGAATAACGGCATTATCACCCTTTGTATGCCTGCCCACTCGTCACACAGGCTCCAGCCTCTAGATGTCGGCTGTTTTAGCCCGCTCAAACGAGCTTACGGTCGCATGATTAAGGATCTCATCCGGCGTCATATAACCCATGTTTCGAAGGAGGACTTCCTTGCAGCATTTTGTGAAGCACATAACGCTGCTATGACGCCAGGAAACATTCGAGCAGGTTTCAGTGCCACTGGGCTTGTTCCTTTTGACCCAGAAAGTGTCATTTTAAAGCTGGATGCTGTCGCTGTCATACGAACACCGTCGCCAGACCCCAATCTGCCACCCACTACTTGGACTTCGAAGACGCCTACCACCATTAACGAAGCGGTAAACTAATCGGTTCATATCCGAAACCGAGTCAGAAACCACCAGGGAAGCTCACCTATATCAATAATTGATGTGTTGAGCTCGTTTTCGAAGGCTACATACGGTCTTATGCATAAGGTCGCTTTGGTTGATTCCCGGGTCCGCGAACTAGAAGAGGCCAATCACCTACTAAGTAAACGCCGGAGAACAAAAAACAAACGTCTAGTGAAAAGAGGAGTACTTTCCATTGAAGATGCAGTAGATCTTTAGGCTGCAAAGGATAGTGCTGAGCTGGCAAAACAGGAAATGGGTGAAGGTAGTCGTCGTCCGAGGCGGGCGGCAGCACGTGGGCAACGGTGTGGCGTTTGCAGCAATACTGGCCATAATGCACGAACTTGTACAATAGAGATAGAAAGCTCTAAGGAAAAGGAATCCGATTGATTGAATTGAACTGAATGCGTTGTGGTGAAGTTATTTGACATGGCAGTTGGAGAGTTCATGACAAGTGCCAACTCGCTTGTAATGTCAACTCGCTTGTCAGCTACGTTAGTTAAAAAAGACTTAACTTTTCATATTTTAACTTAAAGAGTTTCAATATCTATATTGAAAAGTAAGTGTGATGGTGCAGCTACCATCAGGGCCTTGTCATGTGCACGTCACGTGACTTGGCCAACGTTGTCCCGTTCTGAAAGGTGGAGCGTTGTGGAGCTAGTCGCACAGATCTATTACACCACCTAATTTGGCTGGGGGACCTGATCTTCTTTCCCTTCTCTCCACCAAGAGATTTTGGTATATATATAGTAATTGGAGCCCTTATGTTCAACAACCCTTATACGGAACGTGACAGTAAGGATTTTATTGATATATTAAAAAAGTGCCTTATATACCGATTATAGCGTTTTTATCGCTAAATTTAAGCCTATAACTTATTATTTTTATTATTAAATTTCTATTATTAGCGTTATTAAAGGTAAAAAAGTTAACCCTATTATTAATGTTAAATATTTATAATATTTTAATAATTTTTATACTAATATTTTCGCTAATATAATAAGTAAAAATGTTAAAATCGCCGAAGATTAGCTTTTAAAGCTTATTAAACCCATTTTTAAAATATATACTAATTACTAAGTCTTTATTCCTCAATATATATATATATATTATTAAATGAGATTTAAAAGATATTAAAACAACTTGCTTATAGTGAAAGAACCTATTAACAATTTAAGTATATAAATAAGCGTTAAAAATATAATCAGATTTATTAGTTATTAACGGATTTAAATATCTAAATATATTATAAAAGTTTAATCAATTTACTTTTTTAAAAAGGAGGTTTTTGACGATTTACTTTAAAAAAAAACCAGAAAAATACATTCTTATCGAAGTTTTATATTTGTCACGATGCCTGCGGCGTTGTGGTGGAATCTGGTTTTATATTCTCAAAACAACAAGGTGAGTAAGGAAAGGAATCCAGGTGTGCGTGCACTCAAATGGCTGTAGCACTTATGGTGGTGTCCTTTCTTATCTAATCTACACGTGACTTAATGACTAAGCATCCATCTATCCAGGTGGATACGGCTGTACACCGTCACAATATTATATTATTAATAACGAATTAGGTTTAAAAGTATTTCAGGTTTATATGTAAGTAATTAGAAGTCTTTTACTGCTTATTAAAGCGTACCTTTTCTGCCTTTTATATAACTTAAATTTAGTACTTTCACCTTATAATATAAGGGTATGTTTTAATATATAAAATGCTTTACAACGTTTTAAAAACTATTGCTAATATATTTCATAAAGCTAGAACAATAGTAAGAAATATAAAAACGGCAAATTTAAAAAGTCTTATTATCTTTTTAAACGTTATAATTATATTTTTACGTTTGAACCTTAATTTTTAACGTTAAAAAGCTTATATATAGCGAAGAAAACATTAAGCCAAGTACTTCTAATCAGCTTAAAAGATATTACAGCGAAAAAAAGGTTATTAACTTAATAATATGTTAATAAAAAACGAAGGCTTTAAAAAGGGCTTAAAATATTATAGAGCAATAAATATCACGGTTCTGGGTATATCGGTTATTGTATAAAATATTAAGAGTAATTTAAGATCGAAAATAATCGATTTATATGCCTTAAAATAATTTATATATTTAGAAGAGGTTTATATAATAAAATATGAAAATAGTGGTTTAAATACGTTATAAGGTATTATATCCTTTTTAAATATAAAGTGATAAATAACCCGGCATTATATATACGTTAATTATATTATATTATATTATATTATATTATATTATATTATATTATATTATATTATATTATATATATACTTAAATATAGGTTTTAGTTATTTTTGATTGCATTTTTATCTAGTATATTGGCCGTTTACACCGAGCTTTATCTAGGTTATCCGTCTAGTCTTTTAACTAACGCTTTAAACGACGTTTAACCGTTTAATATATATTTAATAATCTAGTCGTTTCTTTCAACTACCCTCGGTTGTTATAAATTTTAATATATTTGACTAGTACTTTCCGCGTCGCTTTATTAAGCTTACCTCATAACTTCCGGTTAATGTTATTTAATGCCGGCTAAATTTTAATATCTTTAATGCTATCGAAAATGGTTTCGTTTTAAAAATAACTTTTTAATTATTACGTAAAAACAAGCCCTTTTAAAACTTTGCTTTTAAAAAGGCATAACGTACGTATTATATTAATTAGCGTAAGGTCGATAATATTGCCGTAAAAAGTCTTACCTTAATAGCTTTATAAAGCAACGTCGTTTTATAAGCGTAAAAGCTAGGTTTGTTAAAGTGGCGTAACGTGATTTAAAGCTGTTATTAAATAATCTTAGCGTTTTAAACTTAACGAAACGAAAATATTCAAGTTAATTATATGGAAAAAAATTTGGGGAAAAAAGGCTTTTGGTAAGCTTTTGAATAACTTATAACGGTAAAGACTTTTCGTAACGTAAGACCGTAAACTTTATTACTATTAAAATTTACCCCGGTATTGTGACGTTCTAATACGGTACAGATATGTCCGAATGAGACAGAGCCCTGGAGCCCGTGGAACGTCAGGTATATCTACCACCATAGAATATTCAGTTGCCATCCTGAATATTTCACATCCTTTTGTGGGGAGCTTAGCCAATTGGTGTGGTGGTCAATTGCTATTCTGTAACAGGTATTACCGCGCGTTAAAAAAAACCTCTTGTAACTACGTAACTAATAATAGCTAGTAAAAAGCCAGGTTAAAACTAAAGGCTATATTAGTAAATTTTTGATTATTATCTTAAGCTCAAAGGTATAGTCTTTATATTGTGTATCTTTTCCTCTTATTATTAAACCTTTAATCTTATTATATTTAAACAACTTATAATTATAATATAAAATAACTCTATAACGTATTACGTACTTACTATTAAACTTTATAATTCGTAATAAATCTAAGATTTTATAATTATTAAATGTTACTAGTAAGTAACCTTTTCTTCAAAATTTAACTAATTATAACTTATATATATATATTAATGTATATTTATTTATTTCGTTTATTATATTAAGCCTTAAAAAATAACGAAGCTATAAAAGCTAATAGATATATATGCAAGTAGAGCATTAAAAGTAAACCACTCGTCTGCTACGTATAATCGGTTTAAGCCTTTCATAAGCAAGATTAGCAAAGGCATATTATATGTAAAGAGCTCGATGTTAGGACGAGTAACGCAAATTTTAGATAGAAGCGATACTTCGGATCTAATTGCAGCGGTAGCGGGAGAAGGTTAATTAAAATGTAGAGAAGAGCTGGAAGCCGGCTTATTATCTTCAATGTGACTCCTCGCGCGGAAAGGTGGCGCAGCGAGTGCACCCACCATCGCCCATCGGAGCGGCTCAAGGTAGGTAACGATATGGCATGTCGTGTAGTCCTGCAAGGGGCACAATTCGAACTGAACTAACAAGCTCGTTCACAATTGTTCTGTCGGTCGTAGCGAGACTCCTTCGAGAAGGCTCGCATTGCCATTTCTGGCCATCTGTCGGCCCTTCAGCAGAGCCATGAGTTAGTAGTAGATGGCCACAATACACGAGAACAGCGCCTAACCTGCAGACGATGATACGACGAAGTAGTTACCCCCAACATGCTTATGCGATAGTTTTGAGCAAAGTAAGTCGTAGAACATGGTGGTCGCAATGTTTTTGTTGCAATCACTAGCAGTCTAAAGCGAGGAAAGCGTCTGAGCGACGAAAGCGAGATCGAATCAGAAAGTAAGACATCGTAATTGACATCACATCTGTAATCATGCACGTAGTCTGGAGCACTTATTATTCGGTAAGCGTGGGTAAAGAACTGATTGTTACTTACAATTTATGTACTAATACTGGTAACTTACGGACCAAATGCGACATCCAGCGCCTTTAAAGATTACATTCACGGATCTGTACAAGGTCAAGTCAGTACTCGGCCCGGTACTCGACCTCCCTACGCCTGCGGTCCGCCTTGAGGTCTTCAAGAATTTGCATCTCCCCCTCAAAGCCATCCAGAAAAGATGCGAGCATCTCCTGCCACAACGGGTCACGGGACCAGTCAAGGGTCAGGTCCATGGCGATGACATATTCGTGCGCCGCAGTGCACCACCCGGCGTCCTCCCAGTCGATGAGGCAGACCGTGCCATCTGGCTGAATGACGATGTTTTGCGCGTGCAGCGACCCGTGCGTGAAGACTGGCGCGTCGTCGCCTTCGTCTGACGGGCGAGTGAACTCGGCGCGCGCAAGTACCCACTTCTCCATGTACCCGAGGCGGAGTCGCTCGTTCCTCATGAACTGGCCATTGTTCCTGCTGAGTTGTGTAACGGAGTTGAAAAGATAGTTCCGTGCTTCTTCTTCCGCGTCGAACGGGCCAGCACTAAACCATCCCTCGGTTGTCTCGACCCATCCACCCTCCACATACGGCCGTCGACTAGGCCTCCGTAGTAAGACGGCGGCGCAAGGCCGCGCAGCTCGTAGAAGTGATATGCCAGCTGTACCGCGATAGCGTCCTCTTCTTCCTTCCCGAGAGAATCCAACTTCGAGGACAGAGTTTCTCCAGGTACGTATTCCATGACAATGACCTGGTACTTTACACCCCTACGGAATCGGAAGTTGAGGTTGTCGCGCTCGTAAATTGCGTACACGGCCGGGACGCGGATCGCAGTGTTGTTTTTGACGAAGAGCATGTTCTCGCCCTCAACTGTCTTGACATCAGTGCCTAACTTGGCTACAAAATGCTCACCAACTCGAATCACCCCTCTCTCCAAGGGCCAATTGCGGTCTATTCTGTTGTGGACGCCAGCGTCGACACCATCGTCAGTAATGCACCTCGCCGAGAGCATTTCTTCAAACGTAGGGAGTGGGGCTGGCAGCTGGTCCGCCGGCGCGCAATACGGAAGCTGAAGACGGGTTGAAGTACTCATTTTGATGGCTATGGCGATCTGTGCGTTACTTTAGTGGTAGTGGATTTGTGATAAGATGATGCAGAAGAATTGCAGACATAACATCAGACAGGTCGAGCGCTCATTTATATGCAGCAATCTGCTTACCGACGTAGACAATGCACCAGGACAAAGCCATTGTTTTCATATATGCCATACAAGCTCTCTTACAAAGCGCTGCTCCAATCCCTTGTGCTTCGGCAACGAGCAGACATTGTTAAAACTGAGCGTGTTAAGAAGATAATCCATTGTAGAGCCTCTGAATCAAGAAAGCGAGAAAGAAAGACAACCGCCTCGGACGACTTCTTTGAGTCATATGGCATTCAGACACTCAAAAGTTCGACTACCATGCACATCTAAGGGCTGGATGATAGCACCTGTGTGGATCCTAACGAGTGGGCCATTAAGATCTAACATTTTCATATCTTACATGATTCAGGGGCGTCCACTCCCCCTATAGAGATTCCCTATATACAAGTGGCTAATTGATTATCTTCTTCCACTCCCCTCCTCCATTCTTGACCTCGGTGAGAGCCTTCTGGACGAGGTCGCACTTCTTTCTCGTATATTTGACCACTTCGGTGTGCTCGAAGCTGAACAGGCCTCCGCACATCTGCTCTCTGTAGGGCCCCAGCAATATCTTATTCGGACATGCTCTGACGGCCCACTTGAAGCACTCTCTCCATGTATCATCATCCTTCCTATTCGCGCACTCGCTCTCGTCGTACTGGCCCCTCACACAGCCCCATTCTCCTACATCAAACATTATGAATTCGTCCGAGGTCAGACGCGGCTCCAGCGAAGCCGCTCGTGGAGCTGGAGGGGATGTTGCTGGGGAGGAGAGAACGCCGGTGCCAAAGACGGCCAATGTGAGGGCGGATGTGAGGCGCATGTTGACGTGACTGGAGGATGAAAGCGCTGGTTGATGGATTGGGTTTGCGATGTGGAAGACGAATATGTAGTATGAATCGCTGTTGTCTGGTGTCTGGTCGACTATTTGAAGCGCCTTGGATGAAGAACTGACCTGCCACTTATACACAGAACATCAGCAGAAATGACCTACGTAGTGGCAAACACTCCAGTGACGTGTGGCCAGAAGCCGGGGTTGCCTATACCGACAGGCTACAGCATCTGAGATGACCTCTGAAGTTCCGTAGGAACAACGGATTCCGGCACAGGTGTCAAAATTGGAGCCCACATAGATCCTCGTCCTTGATGTCAGCATGATTGCTATTCATAGCATGCATGGCCTTGCACTCTGTAAATCATTGACCGGGTCTTTCGGGACTCATCGAATACGCATCAGTGAGCGGTCGTTCGTATAGTATTACCCTTTAAATAATGTTCAATGGCGTCCGAACTGTCACGTAACAGGTGTCCAAAACGTCGCAACCACGGTACTGATCTTTTTTGATCTACATTGAACCTTTTATATTCACACCTTCCCATGTATATATACCACTACTTCTTATCTTATGAACACTCTTTTAAGAGATGGTATAAATACTCCCTTTGGGGTGACCATGTAAACTAGGCTATCGAGACCCCTGAAGTATTGCTAACGGTGTGCTTGTAAGTATCATGATGGTCTGCAAGGTACATTATACCAAGGATATGACTGTAGACCGTCAACGGCGGCGAAGCGGATAATAATAACCACATCGTCTGAAGCCGCAATGATCTGTCTTCCAAGGCTGGGACCGAGAGCCTCACATGGGGCAGTTACAGCCAAGACGGCCCCACCGTTCTATATTGTGCGAGCTGATCAGATAGAACTGAAACAAAGGGCTCACGCGCATGCATCATGGATGACGTGCGAAGCCAGCAGCCAGCCGATAGGTCTCACTCGAAAACGTCCGATGCATCAATGCACGGGACTCGGGGGCCACTTGGGGGGATTGGCAGCAGAATTGCCCATTGACCAAATCATGCCTTGCCTCTAGGCCCTGTCGCGGATCAGCGCGTACAGCGTTTCATCTCGTCCTGCACCGCGGGGTCTAGCGAGAGCAAAAAGCGTCGCGAGGTCTCGGTCGTCAACAGGGCTGTCCAACTCACATACCTTCAGTTGGAATTCCAATGATTTTGCCTCCGGTCGCTTGATTTACTCTCAAGGTCCACTTTAATCCAATATCGCCGTCTTGTCTTTTTCTTGCTCACTTCCCCGCCTTACTTGACCATCTGCGCTATTACGAACCATTATCCAACTTTATCACACTGAAAACGTTGAAAATGCTGTCGAGATCTTTGGTCGTGCTGGCGGCGGCGGCGTCGGGGACGCTGGCTGCCACTCCTCAGGGCTTCGAACCTGCGGCCGAGACGAGTCTCCTAGTCACGTATGGCCCCATTGTGGCGATGGAAGGCAGCGTCCTCGCGCAAGCCGGTAGGGCTACCCCCGAAAGACTCAACGTGGCCATATTTGGCTGACAAGGCCCTCAGCGACGCAAATCGCTCCCAGTATTGGGACGCAGAGCCAATTGGACGGCACGTCGTTCGCGGTCCTGATGATCGACCTGGACATTCCGACGGCCAACCCGCCGGAGACGAACACGCTGCTCCACTGGATGCAGACGGGCCTCACGCAGGACACCGCCGCCACCACGATCAACACGACGATGGACGCCATGAACGCATTCCTGTTTCAGACCTCGGACGTGGCTGCGTTCGCCGCGTACATCGGGCCGGCACCCCCAGCCCGGATCCCCCTGTCTCATCGATATACGCAGATCCTCGTCGACACTTCGGCGGCGACGGAGGACGAGCTGGATGTTCTCAAGACCGCCGCAGCGAACCGCTCGGGGTTCAATGCGTTGTCGGTCCTGACCGAAGCCGGGCTCGCGGACAAGGTCCTGGCGGGCAACTTCTTCAATGTCACGAATGCTGGTCCGGCGTCGAACTCGACGACCAACAACGCGGGTGGTAGTGGCTCGAGCTCGGGAACTGGTTCGGTCAGTTCACCAACTCAGACGGCGGTCTTCCCTGGCGCAGCAGTCTCGCAGAGGGCGAGCGAGTTGTTTGTTGGCATGGCGATGATCGGTGCCGTGTTCTTGGCATTGTAATTGTAGAGTCAGTTATCTTGTTCTACAGCTAGGTGCTGCTGAGGGGTGAAGAACTTCGCGTTTACCTTTCCCAATGGCGCGAGTGATTGATAATAGCAACTGACTGGTGAACGCAACTACCAATCGCGCTGGTATACCATAGACAGCTCCGGCTTTGGTGAAAAGTTGCGGGGTCCTGCCACGTGAGCTCAGCTCACGATGCCTAGTCGCACTAGTCGTGCTCGTCCGGGGAGCTTGTTGGTTGCAGTCTCATTTGGGATCGCAATTCGGGAGAGCTCGGCAACTGCTTACTCGAGCTCCCAAGTAGAGAGAGAGCTGAGAGGACCCATTTTCATCATCAATGCCGAAGTATCCCCAACACGCCAGCATGCAAGCCGCGGGCAATGGGATTGACGCTCTAGGCAAGAGGGAACGTACCGTTACGTACGATGGTTTCTGGCGGGTAGAACTCGAGCTGGCTCGGGGGGATCCTTTCGTTATTCAAATGATTCCCTTCTATCTCTTAGTCATCAAATACGTGCTGTACTGCTCCTCACGGTCCGGTCCGGCGTGTCATCTGCAAATTGCATCATTGTCAGCAGCGGATCGTGCCCTCTCCCAAGCTGGCATCTCCTAGCCATTGGCCAATAGCCGTTTTCGAAAGTCACAAGGTGCAGGCCGATCTAGAAGCAGATCCATAGCCTTGGCTACGTGTATAGCTTGACACTGGCATGACTGGCAGGTGCAAGTTGCAAGCTTCCCCGCATTGGAACTACATGAAACTCTCCACTTCACCGATGACCGCCCGCGAGTTCTGATTTCGACTCTCCCCCTCAACCCGACAGCTCCGAACCGAAGAGTGCGCAGACCACCTGGGCAGTCAGCCAGTTGACGTCTGTGTAAGTGCTGTACAAGCTCGACGAGCTCTGATGAATTGGCATGTCCAGACTCCAGACTCCAGCTGGCTATGAGACTTCTCGCAGCACATTCTTGGGCTCCATTTCCCATTGTCGGAGCCAGCCACTGTCGGATGATTGCCACCGCCAAAAGACGACCCGGGAGGCATTCGGAATCGTGGGGCCGTTGGCTCACACACCGAGTCATCCCCGAACGAGTCCGGCAAGCCACCGAGTACTCTTCGGGACGGCCAGTATGGCCCAATTGACACGCCAGACGCGCTCGAAAGGCTATCCCATCAGGTGACACTGGGGATCCTGGCGCCCATTCGCAGCCTCGAGGTGTTGTTGGTCATGCAGACATAATAGCTACTGTGTGTATCGGCATTCCCCCGCCGCGCCAGTGGATGAAGCTACCTCAAGCTGCAGACAACATTAGCCGATGCGATTCTATCCGAGACGGGCAGAACGGGAGGACCGTCTACGTGGAGCTGGCCGACGTTTCTCGTGGTTGAGCCTTGAAACCCCCGGTTCGAGTCCAAACCATAAAGGGCAGTCAGGCCCCCGTGAATGATGTCTTCTCCTCGTGTCTCTTCCATCATTCTGCTCTCATATCTACAAACCTAGAACCTGCTTTAAACTAGTTCAAACAACTCGTCCACGCAACTTCATAAAGCTACCTACCCCCATCTACACCCGTCTACTCGCACCTCTCAACTCCAAGCTAAGCTCACACACAACGTTCAAAATGGTATTTCTTACTCGTTCTCTTCCACGTTGCGCTCGTTACACATCTTCGCGGGCTCTGTCAACTACGGCAGCAGCCCGATCTGTTATTACCAATGCTCGTCCGGCTGCGGCGTCGCTGCGCGCTGGCCTGACGTCACGCGCGGCCGTCGCACCAAAGAGCCACACATCACCCCTCTTCAGCTCCCCTTCGCTCAGGGCTCCAGCTTCGACACGTTTGCTGACGACACAACGTGAAAAGGTCAAGGTACTACTCGTGTTGTACGATGGTGGCAAGCACGCCGAGGAGGTAAGCCTATCTTTGCCCCCTTTTGCTATATACAGTTCCATAGTTGGTGGTGGATGCTCCCTCCTGTCCTTCACCCTCACCCTCACCCTCACCCTCACCTCGACTTTCTGCCGTCCCTACCCAGCTTGGCTTGCGACGCGAACACCGTCCAATGATGGTGGTCCGTTGAACCAATGGCCGAATCGTATGTGTCGACTCGCATACATGTACGTCGCCAGTTGGAGACGACGGCAGATGAGAATGGGAGAGGGGTCAGACTTGATCGATGGTGTGGGGTAACTGGGGCTATGTCACATTCACATAACTAGCTACCAGCATCGAGCTCCTCCCACTTGCGGCATCGTGCATGAAAACATTGACTAACAAGCTTTCGTCGCCCGCTTGCAGGTTCCCGAACTCCTAGGAACGACCGAGAACGAGCTTGGCATCCGCAAGTGGCTGGAGGACCAGGGCCACACGCTGGTCACCACCTCCGACAAGGAGGGCGAGAACTCCACCTTTGACAAGGAGCTGGTAGATGCTGAGGTCATCATCACAACGCCGTATGTAGACACTATATCCCAAGATGGTTGCGATGCTTGGTCTGGTGAAGGCGCTAACCTGGCTGCAGCTTCCACCCAGGTTACCTGACCGCGGAGCGTCTGGCCAAGGCGAAGAAGCTGAAGATCGCCATCACTGCCGGTATCGGTTCCGACCATGTCGACCTCGACGCCGCAAACAAGACCAACGGCGGTATCACCGTCGCCGAGGTCACCGGATCCAACGTCGTGTCCGTGGCCGAGCACGTCATTATGACCATCCTTGTTCTGGTCCGCAACTTTGTCCCGGCCCACGAGCAGATCCAGGAGGGTGACTGGAACGTCGCCGCCGCCGCCAAGAACGAGTACGACCTTGAGAACAAGGTCGTCGGCACAGTCGCCGTCGGCCGGATCGGCGAGCGTGTGCTCCGCCGTCTGAAGGCGTTCGACTGCAAGGAGCTGCTGTACTTTGACTACCAGCCCCTGAAGCCTGAGGTCGAGAAGGAGATTGGCTGCCGTCGCGTAGACAGCCTCGAGGAGATGTTGGGCCAGTGTGATGTTGTCACCATCAACTGCCCGTTACACGAGAAGACCCGCGGTCTCTTCAACAAGGAACTCATCTCCAAGATGAAGCCAGGTGGGTACCACGACTCAGTCCTAACGGTTCATTTTGTGTTCAAGCAGGCTAACGCTTTACCAGGCTCATGGCTTGTCAACACCGCCCGTGGCGCCATCGTCGTCAAGGAGGATGTTGCCGAAGCCTTGAAGTCAGGCCACCTCCGCGGCTACGGTGGTGACGTTTGGTTCCCGCAGCCCGCCCCCAAGGACCACGTCCTGCGCTACGCCAAGAACCCCTTCGGTGGTGGAAACGCCATGGTGCCGCACATGTCTGGAACCTCGATCGATGCGCAAAAGCGATACGCCGATGGTACCAAAGCCATCCTCAACAGCTACTTCACCGGCAAGCACGACTACAGGCCGGAAGACCTCATCGTCAAGGACGGCGACTATGTAACAAAGGCCTACGGCCAACGGAACAAGAAGGCGTAAGAGCTGTATATCAGTCGGCTGCCCTGGCCTCTATCCCTGTTCATATATTACGATGATGTGTTTTGGATATTCAATGGGGTATCATTTGCGACCAGCAGTGTCATTCTAGCTGGATAGTTTTACATCTCATAGCATCACCATGTCTTAGTATGATGGACATTGGAAATGAAACAGTTAAACCACTTACCGTCCACACATCGTGACCAGCTCAACGGTCCATAGGTACATCATAGTGACACACTTCTTCCTAAACCACATGAGACTAAGTGATCACGTGATCTGTAACGGGTCTCTGAAATCGAGGTACCAGTGGAAATTTCCACGCCATGTCAGATGCAGCAGACCGGCCCAAGTTTCCCCTCCTCCGCACGCCCTGGCAAAACCGGGGCCGACTGACGTCCCTCTTACACACCATGGCGCAGCGGCGTCGTCAGACCGCGGACTAGCTCTATGGCGCCCGCTGTTCTACTGGAGCATCAGCATGTCTCAGCGTATCACCACCAGTCGATCTTCGGATCGCCGGATCAAGTCTGCGGTCTCGCAGGAGGGGAGCGGGCTTCCGCATATCCTGGGCAGTGGACATTTCCGACTAACGAACGTACCATAGCGTAGAGGAGCAGACGGGTATATAAACCCCTCCTGCTTCCACCCGACCTTGATGGGCACCTTGAGGGACACCTTTGCTGGACAACCTTTCCACCACCGCTACCTACCTATTATTCAATCACATCGTGCACCCACCACTTTATACTACCTACTATACAACCTACCAAGATAACCAACCACAATGGGCTGCAACTGCAACACCTCCGGCGCCTGCTCTTGTGCCAGCTCCGGCTCATGCCAGTGCGAGCAGAACTGCGGCTGCACCAACTGCCCTGTGAGTAAACCCTCTTCCCACCCCACAAACCCCCACGCGGGGCCCCGCTGGCTTCGGTCTGATGGATCCGTACGGGTCTTGTGAGCACTCTTGAGTCAGTTGCTGATGTGTGGTTGTAGAATAAATAAGCTATTGGGCTATTCTACTGCCCTCTTGGCAAGCTTCGGGATTGGGACTTAAGGGGTCAGCATATCATAAGTGTTGGACGGGTCGCACGTATCGGTGACGATGCGATGGGGGCTTTGTGGGGTGTGGAAAGTTTGGGACTATGAAGAGTGTAAATACTACCGCGACTCAAGTGGGTTTCCCATGGGTTTGTCCCAGGTGGATTGATCGCATCACGATCTTTACTTGATGTACCTTATAATAACCACATCAGTTAGGGTTCTAGCCCATCTCCTTGAGATAGATTGCTGGGGGAATAGTACATATTGTCATTCATTGACGTTGAACGCAAGCAACGGCTCGAGGAATTATGTGATGGTGTTCCGTCTCTGGACTTTCCATCGACGAGGGCCACTTCTTTGGATTGGACACTACAGCATCTCGGCGCCGGACTATTCGCGCCTCATGTGCGTCCTCGGGCGTATAAGGATATCAAGGTGGGATATGCAACCCGACTCAAGGCGCCATGGCCCATAGCCAAGCGTTCAAATTGAAGCTTCTCAAACAGGAAAAATAAGAGCCCTTCTTCATCTCTCAACCACCCTGTGTAGAAGGGCCCCGCCGTGGGTCCAATTCCAACTAACTTGTCCAGGCCCTGTGTATGAGAATCGTCACCTTACAGCTTTCAACCATGACCATTCACCAGAAGAGCATCTGCTAGCTCTCACGGAGAGCTCACATCTAACCCTGGACCTCGACCTCGACCTCGATCTCAACCTCGGAGTTAGATCTTAATGACAGGCATGGCTGCTCATATATTATCAATTACCCTTCAAGAGGGTTTCGAACTTCTGCGAGGTATTTCTAGGGGTGGCTTGGAGTTTGGGTGTGTATGCCCCCCGGCTGAGAGAGGGGGTGACGCCGTTCAGGGGGGGGGGTGGGGCGACGCCGTTCAGAGGGGGCGGCGCGGCGCGGCTGGACGCTGGCTGGGTCCGGTTCCCGGCGGAGCTGCAGAGGGAGCGCTGGACAGGGGAGATAAGCATCAGGTTGAAAGTGATGGTCCGGGTTGGGTTCCAGACAGTCGTTGGATGAATGGACGCTGCGTAACCGGCCGAGGTAGAGTTCGTTGAGATAGCTCGTTGGGTTAACGACGCGAGGCTGGGAGGCCGAAGTGGATTTCTGTGAACCCCCTTTTCCATGCTCTTCGCAAGCTGGAGGGAAGAGCACTGGAGCTTGCTTTCGTCATGAATTGATGATCAATATCGCACCAAGTTGCGATCTACACTTGATTGGTGTGAGCAGTATCCATCTGTATATGTAAGCGGTATGTGGGGATCAGCCACGGTGTCGGGTCGTACAGGGACCCACAGGGCATCTAAGTGTATTCTACCACCAACAAACAGTCCATAGACCTTTTCCTGAATACAACAACGCTGTCACGCTCATACTGCACTTATCGTTTCACGGATAATGCTCTCAATTTGGTATCTAAAACTGGCAAAGTAGAATTAATACACTCCTTTTCCGCACAACATATCCAGACCCCTATATACAACGCCGGGACAGGAAGCATGCTGCGTATGTACCCAAAAACGCCATAACAATGCAACCTTGACCGTCATCATTCTTCATCACTGCTATCGACAAGAAACCCCGCTCTGCCTCTCGGCCGCCGCCTCTGGGACGGTTTCGAGGCCGGGAGGTCTTCGTCATCGGCGTCGTCCATGCCCTTGTCGACATCCGCTGGCTCAGCTGGGGCCGCGGCAGGACTTGGCTCTTTCGACACCCGTCTTCGCTTCGCACTCGATAACGATCCAGCATGTGGGCTGGACGACAGTGGTGTGTTATCAGTACCAGATGCATCAGATTCATCCTCCTCTCCCCCCTTTCCATTCGACTCCTGCGTAAGGATCAAATCGTCGTCATTATCGCTGTCGTCCGACACGAGCACCACAGCTTTCCGCTTCTCAACGGGCTTTAGTGCAGTAGGCTTTGAGAGCTTTTTGGCAATGGCATTGGTGTGCTGCCGGATCTTCTCTTCGTTGGCGTAGAACTCGGCCCACCGCTCTCCGTCGTCCGACTCGTCGTCGCTGGCGTGCACAAACAGTTCACTCTTGAACTTCTTGGCTTTCGCCGTTTCGCGCTCCTTGCGAGCTTGCTTCTTCTCTTCAAGTTGTTCTTCAGTCAGCTCCTCCGCATCACTGTTGCGGCGGCGGCGGCGGCGGCGAGTCTTCTTCGGCTTATCGAGAAACCCATCGGCCACCTTTCTAGCCGTCGGGCCGCCAGCGGGGAATAACATTTCGTCGTCGTCGTCTTCGCCACCCTCATCGTCATCGAAAGTGGCCTTCTTCCTCGGCGCCGTTTTCCGCCTCAACTGGTCCTGAGCTAGTGCACCATTCTCGAATGTGGGCGGGTCGAATTCTGCTTTGTTGATCATATCAAGGGAGTCTTGTAATTGTTCAGCTGTTAGATTCGATGGGACGACCCAAGCTGACTCTGTTGTTTCGTCCAAGGTAGGGGCAAGTCGCTCGATGCCGACAAGTTTCATCAGGAGTCGCAGATGCGAGTTCTTGAACATAGCTACACGACGAGCATCATCGTCCGGACGTACAGCTGAACAGTGTTAGTGGAAATCAAATGAGAACACGGCAAGAAACTTACAAACAACAGGCGCTTCTTTTCTAGCCGCGTCCTCAGCCAATGCTTCGCCGCCTTCTGGGGCTTCAATCGAAGGTATTGCCTTATTCGCAGCCTCCCAAGCTTTCCTCTCAGTCATTGCATTGGATAGCTGATCCTTGACCCATTTGACGTGGTGGGCCAAATTCTTGTCTAGCAAGACACCAACTGCAATCGCGACTTGCTGGTCCTTCTCGACGATGTGTCGGAACTCAAGTGCTGCCGCTGGCTTGGACTGTGTGGTTGAGATGGTCTGTTTCTCATAGCCGTATTCCAGGTAGTGTGCCGTGGCGTTGATCTTCGAAAAGAGCATCTCGATAATCAGTTGCGGTCGCTCTTCAATCTTGCGGGTGCATTTCCTCAATATCTGCTTGACTAGCTCTTCCCATTCTTTAAACAGGCTGTTGCTTTTGTCCAACGGCTCCTGGCCCTTGATCATACTGTAGAATAGCTGTATAATGTCGACGCGAAAAAGCATCACACTCATCTCCTGCTTGAAAGCGATGCGGTAGAAGTACCTATGCGCTCGCTTCAGCTGCGCATCGCTCAGATCTTGGTAGTACTTCGTGAAGCTGACGAAGGTATCGACGACAGCCTGTGGAGTGAAACGAGCCGCGAAACGGGTGAAGTCAAATTTGCGCTCGCGTGATGCCCGTTCAGCATTGGCTTCGTCGTTCTCGGACTCATCTCCCTCGTCTACTGGGTTCTCGTTGTCCTGGTCAGCAGCTTTGGCTGCCTTCTTCTTCTTCCGGACACGACGTCGTGATCGAACTTGCATATCCACATTTTGCTTAGAGTAAGCCTCCAGCACTCGGAGATAAGTATGCGTAAGCTCTGTACAGGCATCAAGATATTCGAAGCCTTGGTCTTTGTAGTTCTTGGCGATGTTCGCGATTCGATCGTGGGTTTCGTCCTCGTAGAAAATACGGCTGAGTATGTTCTCTGCAATCTCCTCATCTTCTTCGTTCCCGGACTCGGACATGTCCTGAACGGTTAAAAGGATCTGTGTGAAACATCTCATGGTAGAACAGAGCTCCTGCCAGCGTTTGTTCTCCATGGATTCGCTCATTGCCCTGTTCAGAGTGATGAACGTCTGCTGGTTGAGCACACCAGCAACGAGGTTAAAACTTCTAACATCGCCAGCCTCAGTTGACTGGCTACTCTTCGTGGCCTTCTTCCGTATTCTTTCTGCCTCCAGGAACCAAGCGACCAGGTAGAAGAATTGTCGCGAGTGGTATTCAAACACGTAATCCTTCTGATCGTCCAGCTTCTTCCGGACGTGTTGGAAGAGGGGATTGAAACCAGAATCCAAGAACTCCTCGACGAAGCCCTTCAATTGCTGCCGAGCTCGGGCGTTCAATGACACTGGAGGACCAAGATCCTTTGGCTCCATTCCCTCTTTCCGGGGCCTCCGGGGTGGGCGGAAGACTTTGCTGCTGTCCATCTTCTGCTGTCTTGTTGCTGAGTCAAGTAAAGCGTCTTGGCCGGATACGGTAGACACCTTGCCACCACCACGCTCCACCCAGATCATGGACGCCCATCGATTATGTCTAGACGGTGCCTTGCGATTGTAGGGCCTGTGCATTGCGGCTTCCTTGTTCATCATGGCGGTAAGTTCGTTCGATTTTGTCTTGCTAAGTTGCTTCTCGTCCATGAATAACTTAGTAACATCCACACGCTTGACCAGGTGAAAGATAATCTCCATCAGAATTACACCTTCCTGATTGAAGTCTTCACCCATGTTGGAAGCGATCGTCAGGATGGTGAGAAGGATATCTTGGTAGGAGAAGGCATCGATTAGGGCGGACCGAGAGATTTGTGACTCGTCGCCGTCGTACTTGACACCTGGAGGGGGTGCGATCATGGCGATGTTTCGCAGATACAGCAGCACTAGCTTGATGATACCATCGTCTCGGGCGCTTCGGTCGCCGCGGGAGAGGGCCATAGACGGCAATGCGACTCGCACGGCGGTATGTAGGATCTGGGCAGCGTCGAAGTTGATAATGGCTCGCTTGTAACCGACTTGGGCGAGTTGAAGCACGGGAAGATGTCGGTGGTGGTTGACGGTCATCTGGTCGAGATCCCTCTCCAGTGGCCAGGTCAACGGCACCATAATCTCGAAGCACGCGAGCGCTGCTCTCGCCTTGAACCTGTTCTCGGTTGCGTTCTCGGGCCAGGAGGCCAGTATATGTAGGAGGTCGCCTTCGACCAGGTTCGCTTCGGCTAGACATCGCGCAACATCCATTCGGTTCGTCTTCTCGTCGTAGAATCGGATCCATTTCTTGATATCCCTCAAGACTTCCAGGGCGGAGTCTCCGAGCACGTATCGTCCGTCATCGTCGGCGCTGAATCCACCGAGCTACGCGATAGTGATCAGTGACGATGGCAACTGAGAGACGGGTTGATTCCACTCACAGCAGACACAAGACTGTTGACATGTGCGCGGACTTCGGGATGCACAACGTCGGAGTGACCTTCTGAATACTCCATGTTGAGAGTGAGGAACTTCGTCCTCGTTTCCAAAGCTTATTCGCAGTCAATCGGGCGCATTCATGGAATTGTCAGATCGACCAAGTTTGAAGCTCCTGCTCTAGTGGGCTGCTGCAACTGTTTAATGACCAACGCGATGGACGCGACTTGGAGGTGGGAAAGCGCGACGCGCCAGTCCAAAAGGGTGGCCTGTGCTGTCCACTGCATGCAGATGCGGTACGGCGGTACATGTACCGTCAGGGGTCCGTCGCTGGAACTGTGGATGCAGCTGATGCTTCGATCTCCACAATTATCCGTCTCCCGAGGTTATCCGGTCTTGACGGAAAGCTCCATTCCAATGTCTTGAGAGACAGTTGACCATCATCCATCACTGGATGTCTGTAGCACTTCTCTATCCACCATGGCAAGCGCAATTGGACGAACAAGAGCTCTCCAGCTCGCAAGCCGGGCCAGACAGTTCAGCTCCAGCTCACGGCGGTATGCAGCTGAGGTGAAGAGCCTGGGTGTTATTGGAGCCGGTCAGATGGTAAGCTCCCTTCGCATGTGGTTGACCCGCCGTCGTCACCATCTCACTCACGCCTCTCAGGGCCTGGGTATTGCTCTGGTAGCCGCACAGAGAGCTGGAGTCACAGTCACGCTGGTAGACACGTCACAGGCTGCTCTGGATAAGGGGATGGGATTCGCAGGTATATCACCGCTCCGCCCAGACTTCAAGCTGGCCAGAATCAGATGGACGTAGGCTCAATGATTCGCAGATAAACTCCTGGCCAAAGATGTCTCCAAGTCACGGCTTACACAAGACCAGGCCGACGAGGCCCGGTCCAAGCTATCACACACCATAGCCATGGAAGATCTGGCCAAGGTGGACTTCGTCATCGAGGCGGTGCCCGAGATCCCCCAGCTGAAATTCGACATATTCGCCAAACTCGCAGAGATCTGCCCAGCGCACGCTATCCTGGCAACCAACACGTCGTCCATATCGATCACCAAGATCGCGGCCGCGACGACGAAGGACCCGACAGACACGTCGGCAAGCTCCCGGGTAGTGTCGACGCACTTCATGAACCCGGTGCCCGTGCAGAAAGGCGTGGAGATCATCAGCGGGCTGCAGACCAGTGCGGAGACCCTGGACACCGCCGTGGCATTCTGCAAGGCCATGGGTAAGGTCACCTCTGTGTCCGCCGACTCGCCGGGGTTCTTGGCCAACCGGATCTTGATGCCCTACATCAACGAGGCCGTGATATGCTTGGAGACGGGCGTCGGAGACCGGGACTCCATCGACTCCATCATGAAGAACGGCACGAATGTGCCCATGGGGCCCCTGCAACTTGCCGACTTCGTTGGCCTCGACACGTGTCTGGCGATCATGAAGGTCCTGCATCAGGAGACGGGCGACTCCAAGTATCGGCCCAGTGTCCTGTTAGCCAAGATGGTTGATGCCGGCTGGTTGGGGAAGAAGAGCGGGAAGGGATTCTACGATTATTAGACTGATCCCAGTCGGCGAGATCTATGTGTATTTTTTATGAGCGTCAAGGAGTACTTGCAAACCGCACAAGTTCTTCGAACGGCAGGTAGGCAGGGGTACCAGGCACATCTTACTATTGAGAAAGTCATCAATCGTTATGAGACCCTTCCTGAACGCCGCCGTATCCCAAAAGTAACACAGCCCGATGCGCCGAACTACGCAGGGTTGCGCCTCTGTCCTGATCCCTCGCCACCATGCAAAGGAGCGAGGCGAGGCAGACGACAGACCTAGGCCTTCCCCCCTGGAAAAAGAGGATACCCAAGCTTCGGCGGTGGGCTCTTGCCAATGCGGGAGTGGGCTTTCGGTACCGTATGCGGTCACATATTGGCTGGACAGTCTTGTCCACGTGTGGCAATGGAAAAGGAGGGTCAGCAAGCGAACAAGAGTGTTATCACCTCAACTTGCTTCTCCACGTGTCTGGGTATTATGACCTTTTATCCCTTTACAGCTGAAATATGGGTTGGCCATTAATCTATAGTGTAACTTGTTATCTATGGGGCATACTTTTAAACGAGTGCTGTCGCTGGCCAAAGGACGCCCGCAAGCAGTATATCTCTCCTTCGTAAACATCGTGAATCCTCCAGAAACTATCTCGTTTCGAAGATGGGACTATACGAACGAACGTCTGCGTGATGCCAACATCATGCATGATCGGTTCTGCCCCGTACAAAACTCCTCTACTCATAAGTGTAGCACAATCCATGCTTCTGAGTTTCCATCACATCACGGACCTTGACGAAAGGCCCGGGGACAAGGTTGTGGTAAGTCATCTTGTAGTTGAGGGTGACGTTTGCGTATGACGGGTTGGTCCCGAAGAAGTCGAACGGGTAAGCAAACTGGGTGTCCGGTCCTCCAATGTCTGACTGGCGCGTGTCCCAGTCTGTGCATATAGGTTAGCGTTGGTCCCGGAGTCGTGAGAGGCGCAACTTACCGAGGTGTTGCCATTTGTGCCAGAGCCTGTCCATGTTCGCGTGGTGCATGAAGAATAAAGGGTCGCCGGGGGAAGAATAAATATCCGCTATCTGGACGGTTGAGAGCGATCAGTTTCATGCTTCTGAGGTCAGGACTTTTCTGCATCCAGACTTACTTCTCCAAGATCGCCACCAACGCCCCGATGGCCGCCGCCGTGGTAGGTTGCGGCGTCTGCAGAAATTCCACCCTGGACTCTGATGTCGAATTCGAGGAAGTTGTCGGCGGACAGTACCCAGTCCACCATTGTGCTGTTCAACTTGGAAGCCGCGAACTCGGGCGCGATGTCACGCCTCAGACAATGCGGGTTCAGTTTCGTACTCTTACCTGGGCCCATGCTGACCTTGCGGTCTTTGAAAGGCCCGTCTGTGATGCAACCTACATATGGTCAGCGCTGACCGGTTCATTCGGCAAGGTGTGTTCTGTTACCTCCACCAGTCTTTCCGGGAATGTGTGCCACCACAGAGGGATCGTTGGCAGAATCGACATAAGGCCCGTTGCCTTAGCCAGTTAGCCTACAGTGATCGATCGAAACATATTTCTCTTCATCTTACCTCCGAATCCATCAACTGCGTCGAACACGGGTGCCTTGAGGAAAGCCTCTGGGGACACAGCATCGAGGGACCAGTCTGTACTATGTCAGACGTATGGAACAAAGCCCGGTTGCAGCTATCTCGCTCACCCCAGTATCTGCTTATATGTTAGTGCCTCACAGCTTGTGTGGTAGATAGGATTCGTACGGTTGAGCACCAGTATAATTGCACCAACTTCGAAGATCCGACTCATACTGAGCAACGAACATTCGGTGCCAGCTATATCAGAAGCCAGCGTGAGTTGTCGCTCTTGTGATCCACAGCCATAGCGCCACTCACGGTTGGAAGAAGCCCTATGATAACCCAGTAAGCATATGCATCTGTTGTGTTTTGTAGAGGTGAAACTTACAACAAAGTGGACCAAGTCGGTCATTTGAATATGCTCGGCTTGGAAGTCGTCATATCTGGACTGGACGCCGGGGTAGGAATCGGACGTCTTGCCGGGGGTTTTCTGCAAGCACTGCACAGCCGAGAGGTAGCTTTGCTTCTCTTCGCTGCTCAATGTCCGCCTAGACAAGGATTCAGTACGCTTCCCGACATGTACAGACACGCTGGGAGGTTACCATTCTTTCCGCACAAGTGGCTCACTGCAATCAGCTTCTGCGAAGACAGAACTCGGCGGCGCAATGGCCAAGAGTGCGAGAGAAGACAGGATTGCCAAGCGCATGGTGTCTGATTGGGTTGGACGGTCTCTTGTTTAGAGTTTGTCTTGAGGGGTCGTCTCCCGAGAGGTGATAATCAGTCCCGATTGGGTAGAATGAGTATGAGACAAGGCACCAGGAAACAGTATGACTCGGGTTACAGGGAGCCAGTGATCTGTTTATGAAGGCTGTATCTCGATCTCCTGCAACAGCATGAGAGTCCAGCTACAAAGGAAAATGGGTCACTTGGCAACACTATTGATTTGGCAAGTTGACTTCGGGGCCAACCCGACTCAACCCTCATCCACAACTACGGGGTCCCACGAGCCCCTTGGACGGTGGAGGGTGGGGAAGCGCCCACTCCTACTGCCTTGCTGTGGAATTTTGCCTTACCCACGAACCTCTAAAGGAACAAAGACACAAGTGAGAGCGGTGGGTCACCACAGCCATAACATCCTTCCTGCCTTCCAGCGAACGAAGCGTCGTCTTCTTTACACAATCGGTATTTTCTCTCTTTTATTTTTTATGTTTTGCGAAGCTATGGAAAAACCCATGACCCCCTATTACGACATTGTGCGAAGCTATGTAGAGGTGGAGGTAGCAGTATGAAGATCAAGGACCCTTATGCCCACACACAAGGATCCCTTTCGGGGAACTTGAGATGGCTACCAGATTGCGGCAGATCGGCGACCAGTGACCCGGCGATCATTTGTGGGTAAAGAGTTGGTCCACGGCCTTATATTATCGATAGTTCCACCGAGGGAGCAATGTGTTCCGAGATATTGCAGGACCAAGCAATCCGGTAGCTTGGTAGGGTTCGCACAGGCACGGTCTGGCGGCTTTGGCCTTCGGTTCGTCAATGGCTGTGGCTCTAGAACAGGAACGGAATAACCTACGCTAAATCAGATAGTTTGAGGCTCCCCCACGATGATATGAGCCCCGTTAAGGGGTCCTCGCACTTCGTTCTGGGGCATGGGACCCTGCTTCTGGGGCGCGGACATCCCGTTCCTTTTCCGAACCCCATATTGACTCCATCCCAGTGGATGGAGTCGCGCATGTAGATACAGTACAGGTTAACCCCTGTGAAGATGGACAGTGGGCCAGTTTCGATAGGGAGGCCTGTTAAATACCATTATTCAAAGGCCTACACCCTCCACTTCAGATATTTTCTTGAAGCAGAAATTCAAATATTCCATCATTTCTAGAAGTAAGATGCCAATGCCCTCTCAGTGGTCGGCCCAGAGTGGGCTCATCGACTGACCCAACTGTCGTGATTCGAGAGCAGTGAACCTCCATATCCTATTCGCTGTGTGATAACGTTACATGTGCTAGTCCCTCTAAAGCACGACCCTAAGATCGCAAGCCATCGACGGACACTTGTTTCCGGACAGACTATAGAGACTAAGTATAGCCCCGCTAAAGCAGCTGAAACCAAGCCCGCGAGTCATAGATACGGATGCGCTCGGTTCCGATTTCCTCGGGCCCGATTCCCTCGGTGACTCTAACGAGGTCTTCCGACGTTATGGTAGACTACTGATGTCAAGCGACAGGGTCCACCACACTGACTGGCGCTAGGATTTAGCAAACAAGTTCGCGAATGACAGGAGTGAGGAGCATATACGGGACCGATAGGCAACCGTCCCGCTGCATAATGACTCAAGCTAGTGAGTGAGGCTCGTGCCCCTTCGAGAGACGGCGTGCCTCTAACAAGGTAGTACTGAGAAGGAGTGTGAAATAAGGGATGGGTGACATCTACACTCATCCTTGTATCCTTCGATGGACTCGTGAATATATTCGAGTCGTTCACTCGTCCAAGGTAGAACATCAAGGAGTTATCACGTAGGGGCTGGGGAGAAGCAATTGTGCCACGAAAGATATCATTCAGTGTTTCTCTTCACTTGTCAACGCCCAGTCGGCCACTCAGGGATACTGTTAGATCGCGCAATCCGCAGTGAAGAGGTATGTCCGCCAAGCCAATGCGGCAAGGTCTGAACATGTCAAAACGGGTAGCCAAGGCGAACGGTCAGAAGCCGCGTGCTTCTAGAGGATCGACTAAATGGCTTTACAAGGATTCCCGTCCATTGCTGATTTAAAGACCCAGGCCCCAGCAGGCGATGATAGGCCGGCCTCTTCGCACAAGATGGTGTTTGCTTGGCTTGATATTGGCCATTGGATAAATCCCCCGACTGCCAAAAGACAAGCGGTATCAATACTGGCCCAACTAGTCATCGCATGCATGATTAGATGCCTTGCGCTGAAGCATCTCGAGCTGGCGGCCCTAGGGTTGAGGCGTCGAACTACTGTGGGATAGGAGACAATGACGACTTCAAATACCACAAGAATGGCATGGAATTGTGGCTCTCAACCCACCCTATTGCCATTCATTTTGCTAGAGATGACAATGGACAGTCGACTGCCGTTTTGTCTTCTGAAAGTCTAAAAGCTATAGCCCATATACCTTAGTCGAAAAACGGACTGCCTCTTCCCCTTCCGCTCCTTCTTGCCTTCTTTATTTTGTCACCTTTTCGGCACTCCTCACCACGGGCTGTCTCCCAAATTGATACCTTTGCGCAGCTAATCATGGAATCCACGGCCCAATCGCCTGCGCGCAATTTCTCGTGGGCGAACCTGCCTCCTGACTCCAGGGGTGATGAACTGGTCAGTTTGAACGCATCATTGATCGCCATCTCGACTGTGATCCTTGTCACTAGACTCTACGCGCGGACATTCCTCCTCAAGTCTCTGGGTATCGACGATTTGCTGGCGACGTTGACTTATGTAAGTCACCCATGGGGCCAGATGAAGACGGAGAGTATGGACGGCTAATGCTGCATAATAGCCGCTGCTGGTCACTCTATCGGCTCTCGAAGCGCACAGTATGTATGCTCTGCAAAAATACTTGTCCAGCTTAGGGGCAAGGGGCTAACCTGGTCGCTTTCGGAATCACACAGCTGTCAACTATGGATCAGGCACGCACATGGACGAAGTTCCCCCTGAACTGCTGCCAAAATTCTTCTCTGTACGTCACTTTCTGCCAAGACTTTTGCTCAATCATCGAGAATACTGAACCTCACTGCAGCGTCTCACCACCATGCAACTGATCTACTTTACGTCTGTCGGTCTGGTTCGGATATCAGTAGCGTCGTTCTATCCGCGCCTGAGCAATGACAGTATGCATTCTCCGAGCAGTCCATCTATTGCTAAGAAATCCCTATGCTAATGATCGTGACTTAGAATGGTACCTCCGGGGCATTTATGCAACCATCTTCGTTACGTTCGCCAACACAATGATGGCATTCTTCTTTATGTTGACAGAGTGCAAACACATCCCGTATGCAGACCCCTCTGCTGATCTATGTCGGTTAAGAACTGACTGGAGAAAATGGACAGTGATCTCTGGAACGTCACAGCCCCTGGCCGGCAGTGCATACCCAAATCACAGGAAGCGCCGGTCTTTTGGGCGCACGGCGCCGTGGGAATCGCAATCGACATCTCGCTTATGGTTCTGCCGATCTGGGTGATCTACTCCAAGATGAAATTCTCGTCCAAAACTGTGCAAGTGATCCTCGTATTCTGTGTCGGCATCTTCGGCATTGTCACTGGGATCGTGAGACTGGCCATAAACATCAACACAGATTTCACTACTGACACGTGAGTGCACACTCCCTTCTCCCAGCTGCCCCTATTCCTCTCACAGCAACCGGCCCCACAGCCCGATCCAGACCCGTGAGGGGATCAGACCACTAATGAAAGCTCACCGAGAGTATAGTACATACAAAGTAGCGTGTGTCGCCCCCTGGACCGACCTCGAGGGCCATATCGGTCTCTGGACGGCCTGTTTCCCAGCAATGCAGCCCGCGCTCCGCTTCGTCAGCTACAAGATGGGACTGCGCTCGACGCTGGGCAGCACGGACAATAAGTCGCGTTACGCATACGGGGCCAGCGGTGCCGCCGGGGGCGGCAACTCGCGCTCGCTGCACTCGAAAGGGTGGCGCAACACGACGGGCCAGGGCGGACACTCCAGGGGCTATCTGTCGTTCAATGGGGATAGGGACGGGGAGAGTGAACATGGCATTACGACGACAGCGGCAGGTGGCAACGGTTCGGATCTCGAACTGCAAGCCGTGTCGGACTCGGGCATTCACAAGACGACGGATGTCATTGTGCATGTTGCGGATGCGGCGGACAAACAGTCTGGGATCACGCCGAAGCACTGGGATGCGCTGTGAGAGTAGAGCCGGAGGGGAAGAAAAGGGGTCTAGATGGCTGGGCATAATATACCCTACTAGCAAGCTCGAAACATGTGGGAGGCGCATCACCATGTTGTAGCCAGCTGACAAGTTACTACTTCAAGAAAAGTCTCCGGCATAAAATCGGAATAGAAATCGGCACATTCTGTGTCCAGACGGGTACGAGTTCGGGACGTTGTTGGATCTAACCCTTTGTCGAGGGCCTTTTCCATGTCGTTGATGTTGCTGACCTGATGCGATATCCGATGGTATAAGAGGCAGCCTCCATTTCTTCCACTTCGAGCTGCTGCTTGGTGTTGTTTGACATGATTCTCGGTCTAAGCTCTTCTTGTCGGACAAGGTCGTTGCCAGAGAGGCGTGGGATAGAGCACGGTGACCTGGGTAAGACGCTGTGGTATTGACTACCTGCTGCGCCGACTGGGGCGAAACGAAGCCGATTCAGCGCAAAGGGGGACGCGTCACGGATTTTGAATATAAACCCCCTCAACACCAAAATTCGGCACATACGACCATAGGATCAGGAGAACTTGGCATCCCGTCCGCTCTGCCTTAAATAAGCCTGATACCGCCGGATTAGTAGTTGGGTCGGTGACGACCAGCGAATCCCCGGTGTTGTATGTTTTTGTCATTTTTGCACTAGGGTGATTATGTGGGCTCCGTGATCCACCACCTGCGGCCCCCCCTTTTTTGTTCGTTATGGAGAGCGTTGACACCTCTTCCCCTTCTTCTTCTTGCTGACTATCCGTTCCCTTCCATGGCGCCTGGGACCACGTGCTGGACATGGGGAATGAGCGATATGCAGTTATGCTTCTCTGGTAGCGCACCTGGAGCTATCAAGAGCAACAGTTCGGACTGTCAGGAGGACTCAACACCCATGCGAGCAAGACGGGAGGGAAGTCGAAAGGTCGACAGGATATCTTAACGATGACGCTCTCAAGCGAGTACCCAGCGGCATTGATGCTATAGATGATTTTGCTGTAGACGTCGACTGTCTGCTACATGACAGCCCAGGATTGTAGCATCGTCGCTTGTGACGTCTAGCTACAAGATCATTGCCCCGACTTCCTTTGAGTCCGCCATCTTGGCTAGGTTCCGCGACGTAGCCACAACCATCACCACACGTAAGGTCCTCGAAGCCGATGGCGCGGCCGAAGCCACTGCTCGCTCCGGCGATGAACCAAACGTTGCCTGTCGTTATGATGACTGGGCTCATGGTGAGCTGACGATCTTCCAGGGGAATGTGAAGATAGGATTATTAGCATAGTCCTATGAGTTAATCAAGATGATGTGCGGAACATCGTGCCCAAATCGTGAATTGCCTTTTTTATATGTGATTTTTACTCAGGTTGAATTACTACCCATGTAAAGGTCATCCTGCTTTTGGACTGACACAAGGCTATTCCCGGATTCGCTCATGCAATGGTCGTGGGGTATAGGACATAGGACGTGGTATTAGCACGGGCACTGCGCTTAATGGGATATAAGAGCGGCATCGGGCATAAGGGCTGGCTAACGTCTGGTAGGGGGTAAGACGGCAGCGCTGAGACTCATCGAGGCCAACTTGAGCAACCACAGATGACCTGAGGACTAGCACGTGGGTCTTCATAAGTCTCGTATAAGCCCTGCAATGCTATTATTAGTTCTGTTTGGTCCTTTTCATCATTCGAGACGGGGTACTGCCTTGTTTTTAGAAAGTGCAAAAGGTCTCTTGTTATGGATCAGTGATGGGGCAAAGCCTGACCTTTCAGCCAAGCAAGCTTCCTGGTCTGAGCAGGGGGTGTATTCACGATAGTGGTGCTCTCAGGGTTCTAGAAAATGCAATTATCTACTAGAAGACCCATCGATGGCTTACCGAGGAAGCGTTGATGGGGTCCTCTAGTGAGTCGAGGGTAGATATAGTTTGTTGAACGCTCCTTCGCAACGAGCCAGGCGACGGCGCTTCCGGAGGGAGCGGCATTCCGTTCAGAGGAAGCGGCGTCGGGTTCGGAGGAAGCGGCGTTCGGAGGAAGCGGCGTCTGACAGACAGACAGTTACTGCCGTTCTCAATCGAAGTGTCGCTGCCCCGCTCTAAATCGCTACTACCTCCCACCAAAATTAAAGCTGCCACCAGACAACGATATTATCCTTTATAAACCATTTAACCAATGACAACACACTTTTACGCTGTTTTAATTTTTTTGGCATTTTTAAGCAATTAAATGCTTAATACGCGCTTTTATGCTGCTTTTATTCTTTGATATTTAATATCTTAAGATAAGCAATTATTACGGCTATAATAACAAGCGTTTAACTAAGTAATAATTATTTAACTTACATATAATGCTTGTAAAAAGCGACCAGTTTAATAAAAAGCTTTAAAATATATTTAACTATTTAATTAAAACGATCGAACGATTTTAAGTAAAGTATAATGTTATGAAAAAGATACTTAGGGGCTTAAAATCAAAAGGTAGGCGTATAAACGCCTCAAAGCTATTCCTTTAAGTTGAGAAGGTTGACATATTTTCTAACCATTTAAATATATGTTAATATTATTATTCAAATGTTTTTAAACGAGTTAACTCTAAAGTTTGACCTTTATTTTAACAAAATATAATAATTCTTTAAAAAACACTATAACAAATTTTTTATTATTTAAACGATATTTAAACACTTAATTAACATTAATTAAGTTAATAACAAGCTAAAAGTAATAATTACGTAGCAAAACAAAAGCCTTTTAATCCTTTACCAGTTTTAAATAATAACGTAAACGTTTAATATATTCGTCTTCATTACTGAATCTAACATTAATAAAAGGAATTATAATATCCGTTATAAACAAGTATTAAAAGAATATATATTATTCATTATACAACTTCTTATAAAAATCGATTTAATATAGTATTAACTTTTGTGATAAACAATGTTTAAAATAATTTTATATATTAAAGCTTAACGATTATAGCTAGCTGTTTAAATAGTTAAAAAATATATATACTTTTTGATAAACCTTGTTTGAACCAGAAATTCGTATTAGTAATAAATAACGCTATATTTTATTATTTAAAGAAGACTGGTAACCTAAAAACGAGTTTAATATTGTAATATAATACTTATTACAGTATTTATAAAAATATAACCTTATAAAGGCGTTTTTATAAAATATTAAAGATGTATATATATTATTACGTATATTGAAAAGAGAGCTAATTTAGTATGAAAAAAGATTTCAAGGAATTTTCTAACCAGCGTATTAAAGAAATAAGTTAGCGCATTAATAAAATTAAAAAGCATTTTAAGTAAACTTATACTAGTTATAACCTCATAAATTAAGCTAAATAAGTAGCTTATAATTATGAAAAATTATAAAAGTATTTTATGTAAATAATATTAGTCTTAATACTAGCGTGACTTAGTAAAACGCGTTAATATATAATATTTAACGTTTTCAGCCGACTTTTTTAGTTAATAAAATTTTTAAAGCCATTAATAAAGTTTTACTTTTCCAACGTTTTAAAAAGCTATAGTTAAATTTATATAATATAATATATTAACGTAGCTGACAATCGAGTTGGCATTATAAGCGAATTGGCACTCGTAATGAACTTTCTTACCAACAGGATTCAAATATTATATCTCCACCAACAACAATGGCACCGCGTTACAATGAATCAAACTTACAGCTAGCTGTTTAAGCTAAACAACGTGACCCTCATATTTCTATATTTCAGCTTGCGAAACTCTTTAACATACCTTGTTCCACTTTGAGCAATAGAATCAAAGGAATGCCATCACGACGCGACAGCATGCCCAATACTTTGAAACTTACGGTTTCCAAAGAGAATGCTATTTTTTCCTTTATCCTTAACCTGAATGCGCGAGAATTTCCACCCCAGCACAGTTATGTTGAAGATATGACAAATCAATTGTTGGCGGCACGTAGGGCTGGACACATTGGAAAGAACTGGATACAGAACTTCATTTCACGCATACCAGGCCTCCGGAGGCGTTTTTATTGGAGGATGGACTACCAGAGGGTCTTGAATAGAGATCTTTACGCATATTGCGCGTGGTTTTGCTAAGTTGTAGCAGTAATTGCAAAACATGGTATCCAAGACGCGGACATTTACAACTTTGATGAGACTGGGTTTATGATGGGCATTATTGGGTCTGGCATGGTCATCACAAGCACCAAAAGAAGTGGCAGGCCTAGACAAGCTCAGCAAAGCAACAAAGAATGGTTTACAGCAATCTCTGTTATCAATGCTGATGGATGGGTGGTCCCGCCGTTCATTATTCTACAGGGCAAAACCCACCTCGCATCATGGTATTGCGACACAAGATTACCACGCGATTGGAAGGTGGCCGTGTCTGACAACGGATAGACTACAAATGAGATCAGTTTGAAATGAATTCAGCATTTTGATAAGTATACCAGACTGCATATGACTGCCGATAAACGCCTCCTCATCCTAGATGGTCATGAAAGCCATTATTTCCAGAGACTAGCCGAAATGAGATTATATTTTGTTAATAATCTCAGAACTTCCTTTAAATATGTATATCCTTATCTTAATGTAAAAACTTATTTACGATAATATTTTTTAACCTGGGACGGTATATAATCGTAAAGTTATATTTAAAAAAATTCTTATTATTTAGCTTCTTTTAAATTAAACACTTATCTTGTGTTTAAAAATTTAATTTTCAAACAGTTTATAATTATGAAAACAGTCTATTAATTTTAAATATAATAAATTCAGGTTTTTAAACTAACGATATTTATATAATTATAAGTAAAACTTTATTGTAAATATTGTGATTTAGCTCCGCTGTTTATAATTTTGTTTCAAAAGACATTACAAAATGTAATAAGCCTTAATTTTAACCAGGGTTTTCTCTTTGTATAAAAAATATTACAAAACTATTACCGTTCAACAAACTACTTAAAAAAATTAAAGCTATTTAATAAGAATTAGTTTAATAAAAATAAAAATCCGTTGTCGTTTAAGAGTTTAAAAGTCTAATAATTTATCTATAACTTTCAATAAATCTATAATAAAAACTCTAAAAGTTTTTAAAAAGCGTACTCTTCTAAAAACAACATTATTATTGACCATAGAAATTTCTATATCGCAAACTATTTAAATCTTTTAATATCAACTTTAATTCTATTATGTGACGAGTCGTCTAACCTATAAGGCTAAAGGGTTCTATAGGGTTTATGTTCTGAGGTAGGTCAACACAAAGGACGATAGAGGCTTCTGTCAACTAGAAGACACACAGATGCTGGGGCTTGGTCTGAACTGGGTTCACTGTGTAGTCGAGTCGTCAGGAGATTTCTCCCACCTTAGGGTTGGCTAAGATGCTTAGACTGATCACTGAGGTAGAGACTGTCTATCTATCTGGTTGGGAAATGTCTGTCCTTATATATCCAATCTCTCCCTCACTGATTAGGTGGCTCACCCTGGATCACCATGGTGATCCAGTGATCCAAATTCTTAGTCCCGTGACCCAGGCTCTGCTGGTCGCGTGATCTGTGTACCGTTGCTCCGTTGCTCCGATCTCTCCACTGATCAGCACACCACTCTCTGGTCAACCTGTTTCTAATTGTCCCCTCTAGGCCTGCTATCAGGCCGCACTGTTCGTTGGTTTGTAACACATTAGTACCGATAAAAAAATCTTAATAACGTAAAATTAATATTTATCAAGGTCGACTTATACATTAAGTTCTTTTAGTCAATTAAAAATCTTCTAAATATAAAATCAATCCTTTTTACGCTACTTAAAAAATAAATATATTATTAAAATAAACTATATAAAACTTGTTTAAGTAATCTTGACAATATTATTCATTGATTTAAATAAAACCATTTTATATTAATATATATTATATTTATAAAAAAGGTTAATTTTTTTTATATATAATTCATATGTTATACAAGGCTTATTAAACAATGATTTTTGTAAAAATCTGAGCTTTTTCAAAGCATAATAACGTAGCTGACAAGCGAGTTGACATTACAAGCGAGTTGGCACTCGTCATGAACTTTCCAACCACTACGATTCAAACCATCATATCTCTATCAACAACAATGGCACCGCGTTATAACGAATCGGACTTGCAGCTAGCTGTTCAAGCTAAACGACGTGACCCTCATATTCCTATATTTCAGCTTGTGAAACTCTTTAACGTCCCTCGTTCCACTTTGAGCAATAGAGTCAAAGGAATGCCATCACGACGCGACAGCATGCACAATACTTTGAAACTTATAGTTTCCGAAGAGAATGCCATTTGTTCCTTCATTCTCGACCTGGATGCGCGAGCATTTCCGCCCCGGTACAGTTATATTGAAGATATGGCGAATCAATTGTTGGCGGTGTGTGGGGCTGGACGCGTTGGAAAGAACTGGACGCGGAACTTCATCAAACGTACACTAGGCCTCCAGACGCGTTTTCATCGGAAGATAGACTACCAGAGGGTCTTGAACGAGGATCCAGACGCGTATCGCACGTGGTTTTGCCAAGTTGCAGCGGCAGTCGCGAAACATGGTATCCAAGACGCGGATATTTACAACTTCGACGAGACTGGGTTTA